ACTTGAACAGGACCGTAGCTAGCTTACGGCAAATCGAAGTTCTTGCCTTATTGCGATTAATACTTGTGACCGGCGGCCTGCCTCTAGACCTAACTAGCTGTTCTTGCCTTTCATGCTTCACTTGCCTGGTCTGTTTTGAAAGTTTAGCAACGTCACACCACAGTTGTGGTACTTTTTTCTATTTGAATAATAGCTGTACATTTGTTTCGTATCCTAAAATTTCTTAGGATAATAAAATTTGCTCATCAGGGTGATATGAAAAGCCTTGCTTTTCGCTCGTTGTAATTATTAGAATTGTATTTCCTTCTTTGAGTGGAAGGGCTTAGAATTAGTAGTAGCTAGTTTCATTAGTAGTTAGTTTCATTTGATTGCCTTAAGCTGAGACCACGTCTCAAACTCAAAGATGAGATTTAAAAACGCCCCAGTTGAATAGAATAATGTAGGATATTTTCTCATTTAAGGAGTGAGGTCATTTTTGCTAGAGATTATGCCACAACTATTCTTCACTTAGCAAATGATGCGAAAGTACCGATGTCCGATTATCATACTTTGAGTTAACGTGCTCAGTCATACGTAAATTATTGCGGCGAATTTTAAAACAATATGACCCTTAAAATTGGTATTCTACGTGGCCAAACACTTGAATAATCTACTGTTTGGATAGCCTGCGTGACAGTCGTTTGAAAGGAAAGGGGATGGCGATTCCAGGCGCGTGAGAAACGCGCGCGAAAGGAACGCGAGGGGAAGATCTCGGGACCAAATTCCCTTTCGAACGTCGGCCACGCGGGCAACTGTTCACGCATCGAGGTGCGCAAAAAATTCGCCGTGGCCAGAAACCACAGGACCTCGCCCCTTGACTGATTAGAGCCTTTTTTATAAGAAAAATATTGTCAGTTGAATTAGTTCTTCCTTGAAGTTCTTCTTTGAAGGTCTCTTAGAAAGTTGTCTGCAAGAAAATCACCGTCTTTCGCTGTTGTCCGCTTGTTGTACAATTTGGACCACTCGAGTAGTAGTCAAGCGAGTAAGACGCGTGTACGCGAAAACTCATGCGCACACTTTCGTATTCCTGTCATAGTATTAGACAAGGGCAACTATTAGTATCAGACAAGTGCTATCGCAAAATTAGCTGTGTAGTCGCGGATAAATGATATTGGAAAAAAGTTTTTATATGTGTTGCAAAGTATTTAAGATTTTGTTTTTGATTTAAGTAGAGACACCTTTGTTGGAAAGTAGAGCGCTAGCGAAGATATTTTGCTAAGCTGTAATAAAAGAACTTGTCAATAAAAGTATGTTTGCATTAACAATACGTAGTGGTGTAACGGACGCACTGCTTATGGAACGCTATTTACTGCGTAAAACAGACTCGAAGAACGCGAAAGGGTATTAAAAAATATAATTGTTACTTCAGTGGGTGCAAACTATGTAACGATGGATGAGTTACCATCACTTAAAGAAATCGCGCAAATGTAAAAGCATACATGGTATATTCCCTCTGTATACTAAGCGTTTCTGCGAACGTCGACAAAGAACAAGGTGATTGTTCGTACCACACAAGTCGATCTACGAAAGCCCAGAAATGTAAGCGAATCAACTTAAAGAGTAGGAAATATTCAATCTTTCTCAGCGGCAAAGTCGTGCTTGTAGAGAGTCTAGTTCGATTGTAATGAGTCATTGACAGCCTCCACTCATCGCTCCCGCTTCGAGTTTGCCATATATAGTCATAATCGACAAAACTCGGCTCGATAACCATTTTCTGTTCCAGAAAAAGTGGGCCCCCGCTCCTGAACGAACCAGCGGCGGAAATCGAGCCTTTGACAAAACTGAAGACCTCAGTTACTTTCAGTAACGTTAACGTCACTCAAACGTTATCAGCAGCTAGAAACATTAGACATAATTCTTGTGAATCTGATATTTGGGTGAAATTGTGTTTGACAGAAGATTGTCTCTCCGGCTGTTTCTTGACCTTTATCCTTTATTGAAGGGCCTTCCAGCCGGTCGCTTTTAAAGACCGCGTTAATTTTGTCAAGTGTATTAATCAGTGTTTTCTGAAGTGTTTTCTGAGCCTGTCATTCGCCTCTCCTCCTCTCCTTTTTAAACTTCTTTTTAAAAAGCTACCAGCTAGACCTACTCGTGAAATATTGGCGGTATTTGCTCATTTCACAAAAGAGAAGTATCTTGAAATGATCAAGCCGGAGAAAATGTTGAATATGGATTAACGGCCACACCGAAAGCTTCGACCTTGTAGTGAGACTGTACCGAAAACATTGACTGCACTAATAAAACATGATTTATTTCTTTTGAAGTGCCAGTGGGTTTTAATAATAAACTAATCGCGAGTCTTCTCGAATCACCTGTTTCGCTTATTAATAGCGGTTAGGAATTGAGAAAAATATTGTATGTAAGGCAACTTTATTTCGAATATTAAAGTCTTCTTATTACCCTGGATGCCATGCAGTGTTTTATCCCCCTAAATTAAGAATGGCGCGGCAAGATTTTTGTTGTAATTGGCTGCTATATTGGAAAACAAGAGACAGTAAAGGAGTCTAGTATCTTGAGGAACTTAAAAATTTTCTTAAAAAATATTTTTTGGCAAACCTTAAAAAAGAAAGGAAATCAACGACAGCTATCTGCTTTATTGATACAAAAAAAGACAAGAGGAAACATCTCTTGACTGAAACAGATGTGTGGTCGGTTCGTCGGATAATTCCCCTCTGCTTTATCTTGGTCAAAACGCTGATAAATGATTCCGGATAAGAGAGAATTAAGATTGGTCAAAAATAAATGAGAAGCTAGAATCATTTCATGTCCTTATCTTTAAATTTGTTTTCGCCAGTAAAAAAATCGCAAGACATTGGAAACAAAGTAATGGCAACTCTAACATTTCAGGCTTGGCTTATATGTATATTTTCTTCAGTTTTAACCAATTTATCTGATCGATCATTTATCAGCGTCATGACAAAGATAGCATTAAAGATAATTCTTTATCCTATTTTGATTTGTAGAAAAAGTGCCTCAAAACTATTGTCAGTTTGCGTATGTAAAGCGTCTTTAAAGGATGCCTAAGGCATTTTAGTTTTATAAACATCAAAAGAAAAGTAAATATTTGTCGTTTAAGCTAAACTGCAAAGCGCTTAATGTCCTTGAAAAAGAAGTGCGTTTATTTTCCATGAAGTAGGTTAATGTCAAACCTACCTTTACTGAAAACCTGGTCAACTGAAACAAGAAAAAATTTTCACACTCGGTTACTGTAATAGGAGTTCGAGTGTTGATAAAAGTCTCCGGTGAGACACCTGCCGGTTAAGTTTTAGATAGGAGAAGGATTCGTTTTTTCACGTATCAGCTCTGCGTGTGGTTGACAAGTACTTAACGCCAGGAATAAGCTTGTTTAGAATTTGATTAAACAAACTTTTCCCTAAGAATGCCAAAAATAAACTCTTCAAAGATCTTTAAACATAGCGGATAGCTGACAGAAGACTTTTAAAACCCTATCAGAGGCTTACCTAACCACTTTGGGGCCCGGAGTTTCGTCACCTGAACCTCGTATTTTAGCGAAGTGCATAAAATTTTCGTCTTTTTTTTAACAGGTGTTCGCCATGTAATACGCACAATTCAGCAGAGCTGTTACACGCGCGTTGTCATTGGTTTACTTTGAAATTAATTGACGCACATTCACAGCTATTGAATGCCAAACAATGCTAGTTTAGTGTTTAGCGGAGCTCGCCTCTCAGAAGCACGCGGACAGCGCTTGTACGAAAGAGACAAAGGTAAATGAAAACTCGTACAAGACGCTTTGACTAAGATATTTATTGTTTACACGAACTGAAGTTATTTTATTGGAAATTTAACCAGGAGAGCGCTTTATATCGCCGGCTCAGTCGCACGGTAACCAGTTATTTACAATCACGGGCTCGTTCTTAGTCATCTGTCAGTTTTATTCGCTGCCGAAGCGCGTAACTGGTTCATTTGGAAGCTGTGGAGTTTAAGTCCGGCTTAAACCATGGAGAAATCCCTGGGGCAAGAAACAGCGACGATTATTAACTTTTCATGAAGATCACGTTTTGTCGAGATTACGGCCGGAATAATACTTTTCACTACAACAACGCAGATCTCGTTTCTGAAAAAGTATGCCTGGAAAGCGGATATTACCACGTGCAAGTTGTACGGTAAATTGCTACTTATTGTTTATAGGAATTATTTACTGCGCGCACTTTTTCGAGAATGGAACATCGTTTGAAACTATAGAAGTCCTCGAGGGTTTACCGCCTGGAAGTGCCATTTTGAACTTGAACCGAAACTATAGCGTTGCTTACTCGCTATATCACAGTTCTGCTACAGCTGATGGTTCCAACCTGTTTTATATTGACTCAAATGGGATTCTCACTTCCAAAGTAACTTTGGATCACGAAGATGAGCGAGGAAACGTGTTTGATTTGGTGGTAATATCGCGGGAAATCTCCAGAACTGAAGGTGGCCTTGCCAGCATTGTGCGTGTTCGAATACTCGATCAGAACGATCACACGCCCAAATTTCCCAAAGATTTATATACTGCCACGGTGGCAGAGAATAGCCCTATTGGCACTTTTGTTTCTGGTCTTGAGAGCGTTTACGCTAGTGACTTAGATAGTGGAAAAAATTCGGTTCAAAACTACAGCATCGTGGCTGGAAACGAGGCGGGGAAGTTTGAAGTCGATTTCCACGTACTTTCTGGTTTGAAATTTTTACGCCTAAAAACCAAGGCGCCCATCGACAGAGAAGAAACACCGTTTTTTGTCTTGACAGTGAAGGTTGAAGACGGGGGAACTCCGCAACTTTCAAGCACTGCTCAAATACGAGTAAATATTCTTGACGAGAATGATCAAACGCCGAAGTTTGGACTGCCTACTTACTCGGTTGCTGTCAGTGAAAATGTACTCGTGGGAACCTCGGTTTTGAAAGTAAACGCTTTTGATCTGGACATTAGCAGGAACGCTGAAATTTATTATTATTTTAAACCTGCTCACGACTTCTTTACAGTAAATGCTCATACAGGCATAGTAGAGACAGCATGTGAGCTAAATTTCCAGAAGGGAAGTTCTTTTGATCTTACGATTTATGCAGTGGATCGTGGAAGAAATCCGCGGCAAGCAAAGACTATCGTGCGAATTCGTCTTGTGGATATCGCAGGTTTTCCGCCGTCTTCCCTGGGAGTAATTTCTAGTGAAAGGACACCACCTGTCTTCCGTAAACACAAGTATTTCGTGAGAATAAGAGAGGATTTTCCTGTTGGAGGTGCCACTGTTCGAGTGGAGGCTCACCAGGGAAGCGGGTTTTACACAGAAGAAAAAGCTTGGAGATATGTAATTTTGAACAAACCGTCTATTATTCAAACAATTTTCGACATTAATCCTCGAAGCGGGGTAATTACTCTCCTTGAACCCTTGGATTATGAAAACAAAACCTCGTTTTCTTTCGTCGTTAAAGTGAAAGACGAGGAGTCTAAAGATTTTTATGAATCACAAACGCGGGTGGAGATTGTAATTGAAGATGTAAATGAGAATTATTTCCCGCCAATTTTTGCCCGTTCTACGTCGATCGTTCCGATTTCAGAGAATGACCGCGAAGATTCTCTTGTTGCAAAGATTTCAGCCACTGATGCCGACGAGGGAAGTAACGGACAAATTACTTATTCTATTACGGGAGGATCTGGAGTGGGAAAATTTAATATCGATAGAGACAATGGGAAAATACGATCTCTTGTTCCATTCAACCTTGAAATGGCCTCGCAATTTGACTTACACGTGCGGGCTAGCGACCGTTCAAAACAACCGCTTCATTCCAATTCATTCCTGTTGGTCAGATTACAAAGCGGCAGACAAAAAAGGCCATTCTTTTCAAATCCAAAGCAGATTGTCAGTGTTCGAGAAAACAGCGAAAAGGGGACGTTCGTGGCTTTGGTTCGAGCGAGTCTACGTGAAGGAAGGTTAAGAAGCGAAACGCCATTGGAGTATTTTTTTTCTGGCGGAAATCAAGGCGGAATATTTTCGTTGAATTCCACTTCAGGTAAGTATGTTTCTTTTTAATTAAAACGCCTAAGGGAAATTATAAAGTAAACAACACGAGTATTGGAGTCTTGATACGTTCAAGGTTGTGAGGTGATCAATTTGAGCTTATATTAATAACAAAGCCTCTTTCTATCGCGCGAGTCCGGCCTCAAACAATGTAATGACAAGGGAGAAATATTCTGAAAATACCCAAAAAAGGCTTTCCGCACGTAAATGGAGTTTTATACATAATTCACACCTCGGAAAGTACAGTTCTGGTTACACACCATCACCTGCAATACGTTTAATTGAGAAAAGCTTTAATAGGTCATTGAGATGCGCTAGATTTTCATAATAATAGTTCTGAATTATTGGTGGAAAATGTTTGTGGCGTTTCATTCACCAAAAATGCAATAATCGCACGTAGGTTCACTGTGTGAATTGTATTGCGAGCGATTATATAGCCCTCTGCGTGAAATAAGGTATTGAACCGCGAAGTGTGAAAATACAATAATTTGTTGCATGATAGAAGTCTAGATAAGATGCTCTTGGGGAAAATCTTTGCATGACAGGTGGTGGAACTCCAATTTCATTTTCATTTTTTATACAATTCTAATACGGCGCTGTTTATTGAAATGCCAAGTTCAGCCAGCTTATTTTAAATCAAGGCATTTCCAAGGTAGAAATAACAGAGTTTTCTTCTTGATCAAAGTTAAATTCAATTAATAAAATATGTTCACATGATGAGGCTGACCTTAAAAAACTTGCGGATAAAGCATAATTTTGATACGATTTTAAACAAAAATTGAATATTTGCCTAGATCATAGCTGAGAAGTAATTTTAAAATAATTATCAACCAAATCGCATCTTTTGTGAACAAAATTGGCCAAGTTTTTCTTGTCTTAATTTTGCACGTACTAGGTTTTTAATAGGCTTGATCAACTGCATCAGACTTCTTTTTATATTCTTTCATTTATGGTTTTAAAGGTGATTTAATTATGGTAATATCTACGATTTTGAAGGGTTCATGATCATTGGTCTTCTTATTAGCTCGTCTTGTTCATGTTATTTAGTTGCTATCATGGTCTCAAATGAATCTTGTTTAGGAAGATCTTTGTCTGCAAGCCACAATGTTTTTTAGGATAAATGTTCCACCAAGATAGACTTAAAACAAGCAAACTGCACGCATTTCTTAGACATCACTTTTTTTTCCTTATTTAGTAGAGAAAATTGCAAAGAATAAAAGAAGAAGCCTTTTACTTTTTGAAGCTTTAATTACTTTGAAAAACACTTATGAGCACACATGTATGTTTTTGCCTGAAAAAAAAAATTTTGTTCAGTTATCCAAACTCCAACTGTTTTAGCTGATAAAGGATATTTTTGATACTTTTGAAGATAGAATGTCATCCTTTTAAAACCAAAATCATGCATTTCACTTGTGTACTACTGCAGAAAACTTGCTAATCTATGAAATACCCCTTTTAGCTGCATTTCACATGTGCAAATTCACCATAGTCGTTACAAATTTATGCACATGACAAACAAAGGTCTCTTATCAGACACTCTTGTGAGTACGGAGTGGCAGGTGGGGAGGGGGTGGGTGGGGGGAGAGTGCTCTTCTATGAGAATAATGGGCATGTTTGCTGGAGATTTGTACTAATCCCTAAAGGGAACCCATAAGGGTGTGGCTTAGGTCTATTTGACCCCTAAAGGTCAGCATACTCTAACACAGCATGTTGGCAGTAATGAATGTTGGCGTTCTGTCCTTAACACCGTGAGAGAGAGTTAAATCTGCCATTTGTTTTTACGTGAGATGACGAGCATTCCTCTCATTGTCATGTCCTGGGAAGTGGGGGGGGGGTTACTTTCAAAAATTTCGGATAGATGTGTGCCGCTCAGGGTCTTAAACCTTGACCCTATTTAAGGATGAGACAAATGAAAACTGATACATTAATAATTATTGTACCCTATTTAAGGCAAAAGCAAAAACTAAGGATTAACTGAAGCACACAAATCTTTTTATTCATTGCTATCTAGCCAATATGTGGGACTACCCACCCTCCCTGCTAGTTCACCAAGGAGTTGTGAGCAGACAGCTCCACTTACAGCTGCCTTCATAAAACTACATACTTTATCATTCCCCTACGCGGCAGCTCCAGATATGAACTGACAGTGTCCAATTATTAAAGGGAACTTTGAATTTGTATCCCTTTAAGTGAAACAATTGCTGGACAATTGACTGTATTGAAAATAGCGAGTTTTCGAGATGCCTTGGGCATTATTTGCCATATTTTGAGAGGCCATTATTTGCTTCCTGTCTTTTAATTTTATTTTCTTGTTATCATTGTGTGGACAGTAATATTAACCTACTACCTTGGAAGATCATTTGAAATTCAGTGGGGTGGGGTGGGGGAGGGAAGACAGAATCTGAGTGGATTAACTCTGCCAGTAAGAGAGGAGTCGAACTGAATGAAAAACTCTTGGACAAGGAATTGGAGGGTTATATGTACTGTCATGTACAACACACCTTTTTTAGCTGAAATTTCAGCAGTAGAAACTAACATGAAAACAAATTTATGCGATCCTTTTTTGTTGGTAAAGTTTTCAATTTTTTTGGTGTCCATCAAAACTGTATTTTTATCTCTAATATAAAGAAACAATGTTTTGCTTTTTTTTCACTCTTTTGCTTGGTTATTTTTTGTTTGCCTACTGTTTTTCTTGTAGCTAAAAACCACAACCTGTATTTTATTGCCAAACACAATTAAACATTTATAAAATACATGCAAATTAAGAAAAAGCAAGGAATTAAATATTAAGGATTTTTCTAATATATGGGTAACCCTTTTAGGTTTTTTAATTGTTGGCCATAATAGAAATGCATGTATAGCTGCCTTTATGAAGTTTATGAAGACATTTCCCATACACAGCTGACTGCTCTAAAAGTTTCAGTGTTTAAGATTTAAATTTTTAGACTTTCTTTCAGAGTACTGGGGATTGGTGGGTGAGTACTGGGACAAACACATTTTGGGGGTGATGGGGTGAGGGAAGTTTTGGGCTCTTTTGTAGGTAGGCAGTTTTTGGACCACTCTGTTTTCACTGTTCTAGCGTTCCAAAGGAACATTGTTCTTATTTTAAGATTGATGTGTTCAAAAAAAATCATGATCAGGGTCATGATTGAGGTCATCAATATTGTTTTCTTAAAAAAAATTTATACTTCTCAACCTTAAAATGGATTCTTTTGGCCTTTCATTAATATTTGTGTTCATTGGCAGCCATTTTTTACAATCTTAATTATCTAGCTACCATGTGAAAGTAATTAAAATACCTGGTTACTCAAACAAGTGCCACATTTGGGAGAAACTAAGCGCTGCCCCCGAATAAGTGCCACACGCCCTTAATAGGTTACTTCTGTAAGTTTAATACGGAAAATAATATTGTACTTTAAATACCATTCTGATCGTGTCCAACTTTATAAGAAACACTGCCCTCAAATAAGCGCCGCCCTCGTATAAGTGCCACCGTCAAATATGAGCTGCACTTGAGGCGTTAAAACTTAATGAAGACCATGGTCCTTATTTGAGTAAATATGGTAATTTAATTTCTATTTTTTAAACCTTTACAGGAATAATTTCTACAACAGCTTCTCTTGATCGGGAGAGTACAGATCTTTACATCCTTAAGGTTCATGCGCGTGAAAAAGGCGCTGATCCGTCAATGAGCTCACCCTCCCAAGTTGTTGTCATGGTTACAGATGAAAATGATAACACCCCATCATTTGATCAACACGAATACAAGGTATTACAGTGCTGTAAAGTACTCCATGTAAGCTGTTCACAGTTTCATCAAATTTGTTAATGCTATCCCCTTCTTTGTATTATTGCTAGTGGTCTGTTCTCATGATTTGACAAAAAAACATTTCAATGATGATAATGATTAAATAAGAGGAGATTGTCACAGTTGTAGATGCAACTAAATTTTGTAGTTCTGCAAAATTTAGGCTTGTAAAAGAGTTCAACCCTTGACTTCTGTGCTATTGGTTCATTATGCACCCATGAAAGGATGGCAATGAAATTATTTTAATTAACTTTTGCCTTAAATAAGAAACAAACTAAATTCCTCCTGAAAAAATGATCTTGTGCCTTTTGATCAATTGAAAACCAAAAACTGGTCAGCAGAGAAATTTTAAATAAACAAATCACCTCATTGAGTTGTACACCTGAGCCTGTGATTTAGTCATGTGATACTGGTCAGCAGATACCATAGTTTCACCATATTTTGTCAATTGACCATAACATGGATGTCTAATGTCAGTCCTTCCTGACTGCAGTTATTATTTGAATATCTTTTTACAATTAAATTTCATAGATGTCATCATGAATTCGGTGAAATGCCTCTTTAATGGTTCTCGTCTTGATCATATGAAGAAGTGCTGTTGCTCTCTTTTGTCTCCAATGTCTTTTCTGTGTCACCACTATGTTCTTTCTGCATTTTGGATGTGCTGTGAGAACTAGCTAACATGAAATAACATGGGCAGGATGTGGTTGGCTTGGAGTTCTGATGAACAGACAGACAGTCCTCGCATTGGACTATCATTTTTCGATCGAACATTGGACAATCAAATTTTATTATCCATTTTTGTTTTCACCATGTATTATTTTTTAAACATTACCAAAGTATTACTGGTCCTGTGATTGTGGTTCTAAGTTTCTAGTCTAAGTCCAGGACAACAATAAATAACAGGGTTTTGGAAATTTTATTTCATGATGAACATGAAGGAGGATCATGAACAGACAGACAATTCTGCCATTGTGCTCAAATTTTGGTAGTCATTTTGGAATATTTTGAGTCAAGTATCACAACCGAAAAATTTTGGAGTCATTTTGGAATATTTGGAGTCAAGTATCACAACCGAAAAAGTAGTCGTTTTTTGCTCCGAAACTAAACGGAAACGCTTGCTACGCAGGCTACCAAAAAAGCCATTTTCAGACTTTCCAGCATGTGTTCCTGGCATGTATACACTATCGTGAGGGGTACACGAAGTAGCTGTGGTGGTCCGCTGACCTGGAAAGCTCAAACCCAAATCCATGATTGCAGTCATCTAGTAATTTTCCATCGTAAATTATCCTCTTCCTGTTTTGTCTTGCAGTATAATTCTTTAATTTCTATGATTTAATTAAGGTCTACAACGTTTACAATTAACGTAAATTGTATTTGTTGCGAAAAAGGTAAGGACAAAACTGTGTTTGTTACCGAAAATCTCTGGAGTCGAAGTGGCTCCGTGTTTGGTACCGAAAATTTCTGGAGTCGAAGTGACTCCCTCCGTAACCTCAGTGGAGTCATCTGAACAATTTTGGCGTAAACCCTGAATAACTGTTGAACCTTTGTTCACTTAGGTGGTTGTTACTGAAAACATGGGTCCCATATCAAATCTCCTGTGTTTAGCAGCCTATGATCCTGATGCCGAGCAGAATGGCAACATCACATACTCTATCATCTCCAGTACAGGGCCCTTCTCTATTGATCCTGCTTATGGTCTTTTATCAGTTGACAAGTCTTTGGATTATGAACACAAGCAATTGCACAGACTTGTTGTACAAGCAGCTGATAATGGTGTACCTAGCCATATGGCAAGGGTAACTGTTGAAATATCGGTACAGGATGCCAATGATGTTCCAGTGTTTTCGCAGGCCCACTATACAGGTAATGTACTGGCTTGTGGAAATCAGTAATATTGCTATGAAGAATTTGGGGGGGGGGAGGGCTGGGGTAGGGGGTTCGCAACGAAGTTTTATACGGGGAGGCTGCACCCCAAGGTCCAATCCCTTACCATTTTATATACCATGCTTGACCTCAAAGGTAGCCATTTCGTGTACGTTCTATTGACAAATGTTACCTCTTTCACATACCTGGTTTAGAAGTTTGCATCCCTTGTAACTTCTGTACATGCACTTTCCATGACACAGTACTCTCCCATCTCTGCATGCCTTGTTGTTAAAATTCATTATTTGTAATGTTTCACCAAGTCAGAACTTAAAACTCTCATGATAGTTTGTTGTGTCAGCATTCATCGATCACCTTGAGGAACTTTTATAAGAAAAAGTGAATTTTCTGTTCCTTTCTTTCTTCTCTTCCATGTTCCCTTTTCTATAAGCACCATTGATTCTCTTTTTCTGTCAAGTTTCTCTTGAGGATACAGTTTGTAGTAGAGTCTTATCCTGCTTAAGATGTAGAGTACAGTGTTAATCTGTCATAAAGCATGTTGTCTGAATATCATTGTTACCAGTATTAATGTTTTCTTCTGAATCCTCTGAAGGCAAGAAGGTACATTCCAAGGATGACCATGTGGTCAAACTTTAAACTTAGAGGAATTTAGATTGGATTTCATGTCTTACTTTCTTCAAGCAATACACCATGCAGCTAACATGTTGAATCATGGCTGCGTCACCTTTTTTTTTTTTTAATTTCTTTTTTCCTCCATAATGAACACAGGTCTGAAAATGGGTTCGATGGGTTGAAATTATGAGGAAAAAATGAGTTTCTAGCTACCATTAGCTTTTCCATATTTTGATGCTGTTAGCCCTACAAAATATGGATTGTGTGTACTGTAGATAGTAATATACTTACAGTTTGCATGCAGATCCTCTAATATCACCTCTAGTCCACAGAAATCAAGATGAATCATTTTTGTAATGTAACAAAAAAATTGTTGCTAATTACTGCATGATTTATGAGGATGCAGTACATATAATCCATTTTAATCTCTAATGCATGTTCTAAGCAATCGTGATTGCATGATGCATGTTGCATGCTAACTCAACTAATACTGTGCATAATAATGTCTTGTATTTGCCCTGTAAGCATGCTGGTAAATTTAACATTCATTTTGATTCCTCTGTAATTCAGTAACAGCACTGGAATCTGCCAAAATTGCAACAGACCTTCTGGCTGTGTTTCATGTGACAGATGAGGATGCTGCAGTGAAGGGTAACATCAGGCCTATCTCTGTTCAGTTGTGTTTTGTCTTTTTTGGTGTTTTTCTATCTGACTTCTCCTTCAAAGACACCGACTCAAACACTGTGTAAACGAAGATTATTTGTGGTCTTGACGACTTTTACAGCCACTAGAATTCCTGGTCTACTTTTTTAACCTTTTCATCTTTTGTGATGTATTCATTTTGGATATTTTTGGTCATTTTCTTCTTTTTAGCTTGACTTGAGTTTGATTCACCTAACACTCATTCAACTGAACCTCATCTTCAGCGTATTAGACAAGTTCTGAGCTTAACATGACTGTGTAGCTCCTCCACTTTCACATATATGCAAACCATAGTACTTGAACATGCCGAATTCCAGTTTAAGCCATTAAAACTACTGCAACTCCAACTGATAACTGCGGTGCAGACTTCTTTCTTAACTGTCCAGACTTGTTTGCTTGCTTTTCACCGTAAGTGTGTTCGAAATCGGTACACATTGCAACAAAACGTAACTATGCGACCTCAACTTTCAGCCTTCTGATTCAGGGCACAAAACAGTCTTAAGGACTTTATACCAAATACTCAACTGGTGCGATTTTGAAGTGTAAGGTCCGTTTTAGCCCTTGCTATAATCTGCTGAGATCTTGGCTTTAGTTGTGTACCCTTTCTCTTTCTGCTTTTATGTGAATATGATAACTGTTGACATAACAGTTGCTGTTGATCAGTCAGAACACATACCAAACGTTTGCAGTGCTACATGTCAGTAGCCCTTTGACTGACTGCATTTCTTTTCATCTGGCAGCAAATCTCTCAGCTATGTTGTGTTAGAAATACTTAGAAGGAAGCTCCAGTAGTTGGGGCTGGTAGTGGCTCTCTGGAAACTTAATCGTGAATGCTTTAAAATGGGCAGGAAGCTGTATTATAGATATTGGAAAGGGTAGAAGGTCTAAGCGTGGGCTGCCTGTTGTTCATGTGAGCCATACAATGCTTTGAAAAAAAATGAAAGCGATAGTTTGAGTATGTGGGACAGGACAATCAGACTGATTTCATCAACAAAAAACGCAGCAGTACTTGAAAACAGCGTTGAAAAACACTGAAAGGATACAAACCTTGACGGGTTTTGAAGGACAGGTAACGGTCAACATTGTATTAACATCAGTTGTTGTTAATTTCTGCCTCTTAGAAATTACTTGACGGAGAAGTGATGTATTGTTGATACTTTTAAGGTGATGTTACACGAGAAGATTCGCAACGACGATATTTAGCGCAACACAGCGTTGAAACATTGTTGCGACATTGTTTTGAATAGTCACAACATTATTTCAACGTTGCGACGCTGTGTTCCGCTAAAAATCGTTGTTGCGAAATCACCTTTAGGCCCCTTTTATGTGGAGAAAAGTTGTGCGGGGTAGAAGAGTCACCCTCCCAGCCAACTTCCTAAGTGCTGACTGTGGGAACGCTTTTTTCCATTACAGTAAGTATTCCTGAAGACTCCGACGTCGAAGGAACGGTGACGATCCTGGAGACTTCAGATCAAGACCGAGATAAAAATGGCAAGTTCGAATGTAGCATGGAAGACATGGATCTACAAACCATGGATACGTTTTCTGTCAGGCGGATTCCTGAAGGCTGCGCCTTGGTGCTCAGGTCATTCCTTGACTGGTCTACTGCAAATCAGTACTCCTTCACGGTTCGCGCCACGGACCAAGCTGATGCTGCGCAGCGGAAGTCAGCGGTTGCAACTGGTAAACAGGCCTTTTCGTTTTCGTCAAGCGTGATCAATTTTAAGTTTGACGCTGTGGTTTTTACAACAACAAAAGTGCCCCCCACCTGCTGGTCAGGTTTCACAAAAGCGAGGCTTGGAGATAGCTAATGTGACACATAAACTATTGGTATCCTTGAGGTACATAACGTACATTTACCCTTTGTCACAAAATAAACTGTCACTATTTCCCAATTTGATAAAGTCAAACCTCGTTGATACGGATACTGAAGGGATCATAAAAGTGTCCTTATTAACGGGGTGTCCGTATTAAGCGGGTCGTGTTATTTAAGTCACAAAGACACCTTTTATTACTCAGAGGGAAAAATTAGTAAAGAAACAAAACATGACATTAGCATTGTCAATTAGTGTAACATCTCTAACCTTTACAAAGCCGTCATTCCGCGGACTAAATCCACTGAAACAATGAAAGATTGCTCATTGATTTACTACTTAGGGGATCATAGTGACATACCGTAAAATTCCGAAAATAAGCCCCTCCACGTACAAGCTCCTCCAAATATAAGCCCCCCAAACCGGTAACGCAAAAAACCCTCCGTTAAATCGCCCCTCCAAATATAAGCTCCCCAGGGGCTTGTACTTGAAAGATTGCCCTCAAATACAAAGTAAACAAAGCCAAAATGGTAAATTTACTTCCAACTACAAGGCTAGCCCAATCGATTTGGAAACGCACCAATGTTGATTTGGCAAGAAACAAGTGTCCGTTGTCCGTATTCGTATGAAGCGGGTTGAATTAAGAGAAAATTTAAGGGCTTTCCCCAGGGACAAAGAAAACTGTCCGTAATAACGAGGTGTCCGATTAAGCGGGTGTCCGTAAAGCGCGGTTCAACTGTATATAGATTCGAAAACATTTTACGGAAATTACCAAGAAAGGATAATGGAGCTATTTTGAAGTGTTTCCTTTCTGTTGCAGTGACCATTCACGTTCAAGACACCAATAATCACAGACCCGAGTTCCTACAGTCGTCCTACTGGGTGTCGTTGCCGAATGATGCCAACATTGGAACAACAGTTTTAACTGTCAAAGCTTACGACCTCGACGAAGGCGACAACGCTAAAATAACATACAAACTTTCAAATGATATGTTTGATGTTCATCCCTCTAAAGGTGTTATCACACTGAAGCAGGGTTTCGGTTCTGTCACAAACAGAAAGTACGAATTCTCTGTCAGGGCTACAGACCAGGGAATCCCTAACAGACAGTCAGCCGTAAGTGTTTCGGTTTCCGTTCCCTCGCTATCTTTCATCCCTCCAAAATTCAAAACTTCTGTTTATCGCACAGTCGTCCCTGAAAATTTCTCCACTGGGGTGGTGCTGTTAACGGTGCATGCGCAGAAGAGCGTTAGTGTCCGTAGTTCTATCGAGTATTATATTGTTGGTGGTGATCCGCAGGACCGGTTTAGCGTGGGCACACGAAGTGGCGTCTTTACTCTGAGAAAGTCGTTGGATTATGAAAAAGCTAAACAGCACGTTTTGGTTGTGCGAGCCGTGCAAAAGGGCTTGTCACGTGACATACCGTCTCTTCCTACAGAGGTCAGTACGTACAGACTAAGTTTTTTTAAAAATGAAATTCTTTTAGTTTATTTTGATTTAGGAAAGGCTATTTCACACTTAAACATGACTATAACAAAATTCTCAAATCTGATTGGCTATCAACTGCCCTGATTTCAGCCTTAATAAGACAATTTAATAGGACAGTACTCGTCATGCCTAAGTAATTGGACAGTACGCGCCATCACGCGCGCGCTAAAATGGCTTTTTTTCACTGCTAGCAAAAAAAATTGGAATTTCTTGTATTTTCATTTTAAAAAAGAGCCTTATATATCACAAATTTTGTTAAAGTCATGATTAATTGGTAACAGAACTACGTGTCGTCCAATTTGGTCCGTAATCATACTCGTGATTAAACGAATCGGACTCCCGGTCTTCCGATTTTGTTAATCACTCGTATGATTACAGACCGAATTGGACTCCACTCAGTCCTGTTACCATTACATACCGGACAGTTTTTGCGCCGGAACGAAAACCATACCGGAAAGGACGTCTGTTCAACATAAGAACGGCGATTTCGGCGCGATTTCTTGAACTGATCTAAAGTGGAGAATCACATATCTTATAGGCGTTCATACTGCGTCGCATAGCTTTTGGTGGCGGCACGAAAGGCTTTTCGGTATATAGTATGAACAGAGCCTAAGTTTAGCTGTAAAATGTAACTGCTAAGATTTTTAATGTATAATTAACAATTATTCCTAGAGCCCGAATGAGCTCTGAGTCAATAGCCCAGAGGGGAATGATTGTTTTTGTAAAATCCAACTAGTTGGTCAAAGATATCTAGAAAAACAACTTTAGCTAGTTAAAGCAAGACTTTAGTCCGTTTTTTCCGCCCAAAAGCCGGCGCTTTTCGCTACTAGTGGGCTATAACATATAGCCTAGTAGTAGCTCAACCAGTCAGAACGCAGCATTGATAATAGACTACTAGTTGGATTTTACTAAATACAAAGATTGTAGCTTAGTTAAGTCGTATCTTTAACTCTGTCTGCGGTGAAATTTGCAGTTATTGTCAAAATATTAGTCATTTTAGGAAAACTGTAGGACATAGAAGAAAAACTTCTTACTTTGCCCTTGAAATTGCTGGCTTCGCGTTTGATAATTCATATGTGTGGGAGGTGGGAACGAGACGTTCCTACAGAGGTTGGTACATAAAGGCTAAGCTTTTCTTGAAAGAAACTTCTTGTAGATCAGTTTAATTCAGTTTAAGTACATAGAAGAAGGACTTCACACTTTTAAAGTTTTGAAGTGCCAGTCTCACGTTTAATAATATATGGGATTAGAGAGGGGGGAATTTCCAGAATTGAACCGGTACTTAATTCAGTGCATTCTTGATTGTTTTGACTCAGGTTAAAGTGTTTGTAAACGTCACGGACGTAAACGACAATTACCCGCGGTTCGCTCTTCCGAGGGATCCTCTTGTTACATCTGTTAACGAATTCCAGCCCGCTGGTGCGGTGGTTGCCACGGTAAAGGCGTTTGACAAAGATACCGGAAATCACTCTATAATCACATACGGCCTCAAGAACCTGTACAATCCATACAGTGGTGATTTTCAAATCCATCGCACTCTAGGGACTATAACGACTACCAAAGAGCTCCTCCATTCGCAGGGTGCTACGCGCTCCTTCGTTGTCACGGCAACCGATTCCAGCCATCCGTTCCGGAAGGCGGAGGCGAAAGTGGTTGTAATGATAAATCGTGCTATTCCTCCTCCGCAGTTTGATAAAGAAGAGTTTGCCGAATTTATTCCGGAAAACATCCATGTTGGCAAGTATCATTTTTTTCATCTTCACCGTTACGTTGTAATAGAAGAGGTTGCGTTTCCGTATTACAGAGATGCCTGTGATACTAGGTTTCTAATAAAAACCATACTACGAATATGATGACTGTTGTGATAACGGCATCCGTATCAGAGTTTTCTGTAGAGTAAAAGAGTCTTCCTTTTAGAGATGTCCACGGTGAGAAGTTTTCGGGCGACTCCACGTAGACTGCTTAAACGCGCACAGCAGTACAGAAGTCTTCCGATCAAATTCGCCGCTTAAAAAACGGGAAGGGAACAGGAGCCCGTTTCTCGAAAGGCCCGTTAACTTTTCGGGTTCGAAAGCAAATTTTGAAATCAAAACCAATTGAATAGTAGCAAAGTTTCTAGCTCACAAGCCAGTCAATTTTGCTTCGTTAACTGATAATTTCATTGTACCATTTTCAAAATTATTGAAACTTTGATCTTGAATGCAAACACGGCAAGCGTAAAAGAGCTTTACGGGCCGAAACGTTATCGAGACTTTCGAGGAACGGGCCCCAGGAGCCAACGTGCGTCCCGCAAATTGTTTCTGGGATCATGATTGGGGACGCGCCGATCAGCCTTTTGGCCAATTTTTTTTGCCCTGTTCGTAGTAACAGTCCCAGACGTCTGCGAAAGTTAACTCATTCTAGTTTTCATCTCATTTCTTAAGTGACAAATGCCACACCTTTGAAATCAGTCTAACCTACATCCTTGTGTTTGTTTTGGCATATTCCTTTTTTCTTAACTGAACAAACATTGGCCGTTTTTATACGAAGGACGCTTTATCCGTCTGGACGAACTTGGGCAAACATTTTGTAGTTCGTCTGGTTATGCGTCTCTAGTATGAAGACCGGTGCAAGACGCTTTATGCGTCCAGACGAACTACCTTTCGTAGTGCGTCGTTCAAGACATATTTCGAAGGAAAGTTCGTCCAGACGCATAATGCGTCTTGTGCCCGTCTTTATACTTGAGTCGCATAACCAGACGAACTTCAAAAGCTTACTCAAGCTCGTCCAGAGGGATAATGCGTCCTTGGAATAAAAAACGACCATTGACCACGAGCCCATACACAGGCGCAGAGGGAGCGCATGTTGGCGCTGTATGTTTTTTTATTAAATTGATGTGTTCTGGCTAGTTTGACTGTTGACCAGTTTTGGAGTTTTAGAAACCCAATGGGCTCTTTTGATGATGGCGTCACTTGACTTGAGCTACTAGAATTCCTTTCGTATTTGTTTCCTTCAATCTGAGTTGTCTTAGTGAAGTTTACCACAGCAGTAGCTCTAATTTGCAAAGGAACACAAACACTTGAATGATTCTGGTAGTTGTACTGAGTCAATTTATGTCATCGTGCAATTTTGTTTCTCGATAAGAACCGCTCTAGTAGAGAGTTTTATGCCTATAAAGCAATTAGAAAAACTACAGTAGAAGTAAATATTAACAGTAAAATGTGCTGACCACCTTACATTTATTGTTTCATTTCTCTTGAATTTTTCAGGTAAATCCTTGGTTCATTTTAACCCACAGCAGAATGCTCGCTCGGTTCTGAAATACGAGTTCGTAAGTGGTAATGGTGGTAATTTTTGGTGTTTAGACATCACTGGTAAGATCCGGGTGAACAGGCGACTCCATAACGAACAGGGAACTTCTCATCATCTCAAGATCACTGTGCACGATGGCTCCAGGGTTTATCGCAGACTAACAGCCTTGTTTAACGTTGATGACGTAAACGACAACGCACCCAAATTCACTTCGAACAGTTACAAGTTTTACATCCTTGAGAATGCAACCGAGTATGACAGTGTAGGGACTGTATTAGCTGTAGATTATGATGAAGGGTCGAATTCCTTGGTAACTTACTCCATAGCAGGTGTGGAGGATGCCAGGTCTGTTGGTAAATTTGAGATCGACCCAGACTCTGGTCTTCTGAAGACTGCAAGAGTACTGGACAGAGAGACCATGCACCAACACGTGGTCACAGTACGTGCAGAGGATCATGGGAATCCAAGACTTCGTTCTTTGACGCGTGTTACTGTAGTTGTTCTTGATGTGAATGATAATGACCCGGTCTTTGCAACAGACATCTTCAGCACTTGGGTTCCAGTTGATATGAAAGTTGGGTCCAGTATTTTCGCTGTAGTGGCGTTCGACAAAGATTGGGGAGAAAATGGAGTCCTGAGGTAACTTTTTAACGATTCATAATTCTTTTTAAGCACAAGTGCAAATAAGAATTTAGAGCCGAGACAGTCATCACGTTAAATTATCTCCTTGCAATGTATAGAAAGGGTTTAAGGTCATCTCGCCATTACGTAATAACTTTGCAATAATCGACGGTGTTTACGTGTCTAGCTGTTTTACTTCTTCGTCAAGCCCAAATACAAATCTGTTGATCGTAATTGACGATCCTTACGTCGAACTTCTCATGGTGGCGATTTCGTTAGTGGCAAGATGGTTTGGTGGCGACCTGTCCGGATATTAGACAAAGAAGATCATTTCAAAAATATTACAGTATAACAATAGCAATTTACTTTATTTTTATCCTAGATATTCTGTCATCGGGAGAAACGCGGAGAAATTCATCACTCTTGATCCTGCAGACGGTTCTGTCGTTCTTTCTCGCCCCTTGACGTCTCTAAAGCCAATAAAGTTCACAGTCATGGCACGTGATCTCGGATATCCTGTTAGAAACGCGACCGCTGATGTCGTCATCTCGATTAATGCCGTGCCAGGCCCCCCTCGATTTCTGTTGCCATCTTACGTAGCTCGGGTCGTAGAAAATGAAAAGGCCGGAACCGGGGTTGTTCGTTTAGAGGTTGCAAGCGTCGATCCAGTGATTTCCTTTGCTTTTTTGAACGGAAATGATAAAGGTGATTTTCATTTACGAGCGGAGACTGGACTGATCACGACTGCTGGACCGCTGGATTATGAAACCGTCGCGCGGTATGAGCTTATTGTCATGGCAACAGACAGCAGCAATAAAATGAATTACGTCAAAGTGGTTGTGCAAGTGGAGAACGTCAATGATAACGAACCACTCTTTGTTGGTGTGCAGGGTGGAATGCTTGAAGGACAGATCTTAATGGACGCCATTGGTAATAGTCACGTGATGTGGGTAAAGGCACGTGACCGAGATACGGTTGACATCATTACATATAAAATTCTTGACGAGCGTGCAGCGTCATATTTTCGTATTGACTTTGAAGGAAGGTTAAGAACTCGGAAAGCTCTTACAGGACTACAGTCGCCGTACGTGTTTAAAATTGAAGCTTCAGATAATGGGATTCCTTCTAAAAGAGCCGTTACCTCTGTACGTCTTGTTCTTCTGAAATATCACACTCAACAAAAAGAACTGCAAGCCAGTGTTGCTGAGGACGTGAAGCAAGAGGCCACAATTATCAAAGTCAAGGACTCTGCAGGCATTAAAAATGCTCGTTTTACCATTATATATCCCGTGGGATCACCTTTTGATATAAACGAGGAAACTGGGTCTCTGAACAGTGTGCGACCACTTGACTTTGAAACAATACAAAATTACTCCATTATTGTTCAGGTTCAAAACTCTTTGGATTTAAATGACTACACCAATATCGACGTTGTGATCAAAATCCTAGACGTCAATGACAATTCACCTGTTTTTACTATGGAGAAGACCAGAGGGTTGTACCTGGCCAGGGTCAATAGGAACCCCGTGCAGGGGACGGTGGTGTACACGTTGACAGCATCAGACCGAGACTCAACAGGACATCTGCGTTACTCGCTAGTCAGCAGTGATTTTAATAGCTTTTTCGAAGTCGAGGCTGAGAGCGGGAATGTAAAGACACGTGGTCAGCAGGGCGGCCTGCTTACGGCAGATTTTTACAATCTGACTGTTCGCGTGAGTGATAGCGACACGCCTTCGCGTCACGCGGAGGCTTTGCTTACTGTTCAAGTGGGAGAGTACCCCCCGGTGTTCGGCGAGGAAGAATATGTGTTTAACGTGGAGGAGAACACGCAGAAGGGATTTACGATCGGCTACATCAAGGCGCGAAGCTTCTCTGGTGCATCACTTTCTTATCGTGTTGTGCACGGTAGGTAATACTTCTTTTGTTCAGCCGGGTTAAGTTTTCACAGTCTTCTATTTCTTGGTGTGCTTGTCGTGAGGAATTGCTGAGTTTGAAAAGTCGCTATGCTGCTTTCATATGGTGACTGGGGCGAGTGCAAATTGCCAGTTAAGTAGGGGGTTGTCAGCACAGAATTTCCCCTCATCCCAACCCTATCATGTCCCTACCCTCCCCCTCCCCGCGGACAATTTGCACACTTCCCGGTTTTCGCTCGCCATAAGAAATCAACATACAGTGTACTTGGAATTCGACCTCGGCAATCTTACGGAAGCTAGAATGATATGTAGCGTCGTTGGAGCGTATTTGTTGGCTAAATTTTAGGATACTTGTTTAAATGACGCTTCTGCGAAGATGCAGTAGTGTAGTGGTAAGAAAAGCTGATGGTCGGTCATTCAATTAGGCATTTTAACTGTGGTTGTGTTTTTTTCCTTGGACAACAAACCTTTCTTGTCCATGGGTTGTCACGCGATGGCCTTTGCATAATAGTTGCGACGTTTTGACTGCTTATTGCTGGTGTTAAAAATTGTGATTATGTTGTCTGCTTCAGGCTGTGTGCATTTACCAGTAATGCGGCTTCTGATGTCCCGGGGGGGACATCAGCAGAGGAGCTGATGAATGAGCGAACACGGAGACTAATAGAAATATTTAGAGAGTCACGTTTACGGCAAACGGTAAACGTGAGTTTGTATCACGTGACCAAGTTTCCCCTTTACTTGTCGTTTACTATTCATTAGAGCGATTTTCTTATGACCTTGAAAAATGGTTTCGGTAAGTGTTCGTTATTTCTTTTATCTGCCAGTGGATGAAAAAGTCAAAACATGGACTCTTCATTTTCCCGCCAAAGAAACCCTAATATGGAGAAGGCATTGTTCGATTGGCCAATCGTGTTGCAGTATGACGTCAAAGCGAAGTATCGATTGATTTCTAGAAAGTTCTCGGGCATGAAGTTTTTTCACCCGAGCGTTCGCTTAACCAAAAAAGGTCCACGCGCGTTTGTATCCGTTCGATAAACCAGTCAAATCGCTCTATTTCCGTTCGTTTGTTGTTTCTGTTTTGTTCGTGCGTTTTCATTTCAAAGTCATACGAAAATAACTAACTCTATAACTACACGGAAATGAGTGGATTCGTGCCAGTTTTAACCATAAGAACTTTTCAGAGCTGTTTTTATCTGCTCATCTTCTATTTTGAGAAATTCTCAAGTTAAATCTGACGTTCGCCGTATGCTGTAAACTCAACTCTAAATCTCTGAGGTGGACTAACATGAGACAAGCAATGAACACTGCTATCATTTCAAACCCATTATCTCCTCACCCCGTCCCTTTGCGCTTTAGGTCTCTGGGAAAATACGGTGTTGATCTGTTTTTCCTGATTTTCCCCTCTCCTTACAGGAAGAACGCAAAATAAAGTTAGTTTGGATAGCAACACTGGGCGCCTTGCTCTTCCTGATCCACTGGATTATGAACGCGACTCGAACGTTTACTACCTCAGAATACGAGCGGAGGAGGTTGGAAGTCGCTTCTCTCGTCGTCAGTCCTCCGAAGTGAACGTACAAATTCTCCTCAAAGATCTTAACGACAACTCACCGGAGTTCTCTCAACAACGATATAGGTACAGTGACAAATGTTTTGGTTATAGTTTAGTTTTCGTTCTATTTCAGTTACAAAAAGGTTTTGTTTTTTTTTTTTTTGCAAAACTTAACACAAGTATGAGAAAACGGATGTTTGTTATCAACTCCATCTTGAATTTAATCGCGCGAGAGAAAAGTAAAAAGTCGCCTTCGCAGTGAGACGTGTGACTGCGGTGAAATAATAGTATTCGGCTTTTTTAACTTGCATCGATTTTCAATCAGGAAATTTTGTTTAAAGACTCATTGGGGCTTTTTATACGAGAGGCGGAATAAGACGCCTTTAGCGTAGAACACCGTACGAACTTCCAATAAAGGGCACTTTTTCTGAAGTAAGACGCGATTAAGCTTAGAAGCGTCTTACCTTAGAATAGCCTGTAATACTTGTTCTAAGATAAGGAGTGTCTTAGCGAAGACTAAGAAAACCTCATGAAAAATGACATTTGCGTCTCATAAACGACACGAACGCATGGAAAGCATATGAAATCTTAACACGCGCCATTTTGGATATTCGTTGCTATGGGCAACAGTCACTCGAAAATGAGACTGGGACTAGAGGCCTGTTTACCCGATAATTAACGGACCTGGGGCCTGTTGGTAGCTTTTCGGGCTCGGAAAGCTGTTTTATGTTTGCTGTTTCACATTCAGATGGTTACTGGGGTGAGTGTATTTAGTTGGGGGTTGTGAGCACGTAATTTCATCTGAGCCAAACCATACCAAGTCCTTGCACTTCCCCTCCCTGCGCACAATTGTTGTGAGTTGTTTGTGTCCTATTTCACACATTCTCGTATAAATGGTAGAGTTCGCCTCTCATGTGTTTTGGTTTTTCCTCGTATTGAGTGGCCCTTTTTTTTTATTTTTCTTATCTTATGGTAGATACACGTTACCGGAAAGCGCCCCCGTAGGCACAACTGTGCTGTCAGTAATAGCACAGGACAGTGATTCAGGAATATATGGTCAATTTAGATATTACGTGGAAAATCCTTTTTTCGCTGTTAATCTCTTTACTGGGGAAATCACCACAACCAAACCGCTGGATTATGAGACTGCAAGCTCACATACCTTTGTCGTGTTGGCGCAAGATGGCGGAAGCCCAGCGTTAAATGGGACAGCGTGGGTTGAAGTGACACTTACTAACGTGAATGATAATCCTCCGCGGTTCACACAGACAATATACAATGAATATGTGACAGAGGATGCTGGCCCGGGGGAACTGGTTACCACTGGTGAGTCTCTAGAGCTGGATCAAACCCCTCCCCTAAGTTAACATTTTGCCCTAAGTCAGAACTAAGTGTTAATGTTAGCTTAGGGGAGGGGTAGGTGGGCAGTTTCCCAGAAGCCTACATTGATCTCAAGAGCTTAACAGCTTTTAAATAATTCAAGAGCTAAACCGGCCGAAATGTTTTTTTGGTTGTGCATGACTTTCCTAGAATGCCCTTAAAACTTAGGCTCATTTACTAGCCGATATGTAAACCCGGGTTGTTGAGAGATGGATGCAAACCGGATTTCCTCAAACGGCTGGAAATCAAGCCTATTTAAGGCTGTGTTCTGAGTAAGAAAACTTACAGGGAGACCAACGCTCTTAGCATACGAGTAGTCCTTCATTTCTCTCAGGGATACAAGACCGAGCAAACCACGCGAGTGTGCGTAAAAAAGCCAAGTTCCTAATAAAAACCAGGGCACCCAGCGATTTCCTAGTAGCGTAAGGGTAAAAAAAAAGTTGCAATAGTCCATAATGATTGTGAAACAGCTGAAGTTCTCTTAACAGAGAAGGTATCCATTCGTTGTCTTCTTTATTTTCCTTTGCTAACTTATAGTTTAACTAAACTTTTTCCCGCCAAAACTTCATGAATGGGCAACTGTGGCGTAAGAAGGTGACAGTGCTGTGCTAATCAAGAAAAAAACATCGCGAGTGTGAAGTTGTTTTGACGTAATGTTTCTCGTGTCATTTAACATGTTTAAGGTAAATATTATAAAGATGCGAAAGTGAAAGTGGCTGTCTACACTTCTTCCTTCTATTTTGTGCCAACGGAAAAGGCAGTTGCTTCGTTGGTTTAATACCTTTATTTTGCTGTACTCTTCAAGTGACTTAGTTACTCCTCCTTCGAGCAATAAGTCTGATATGCTTCTCTTGGGTTTCAGCGTTTATCGGTACAAGACCTCACTCCTGCATTTAAGTGTTGATTACTTTAGTGCTAACATGTCTATTTCTTGTCTGTATAGTTCAAGCAAGCGACTTAGATCTCGACCCAGTCTCGTACAGCATCATGTCCGGCGACAACAGGAGCAATTTTGTGATTGACAGCCGTACAGGCGTTGTCCGATTAGTGAAGCACAGGCAACCCAATCTTGTTGGTCCGCTGTACGTTCTGAACATCAGTGCCTCTGATGGACTGCATGTAAGCCAGGCAGTGCTGTTGGTGGCCATACAAGACATAAATAATCACAAGCCTGTGTTCAAAGACTGTGACAAGTATCGGCCAGTCATTGCGGAAGACATAGCCATAGGCTCTCCTGTAATTCAGGTTTGTAGTGTTTATCTTTACTAACGAACCTCTTTGAAGGGCTAGTGTTGGTAAGTATCAGGTTAAGTTGGAATCTGCCAAGCGATCTACTATCCGAACGCCTGCAACAGGCTAGTGTTTTCTTGACCTTTCGTACATCGCCTCTTTATTTACTTACGTTAAGAAAATAAGAGTTATCGTCCGTTCGCGCGTTAAGTTTACACGACAGCGAAAACTCATCGTCTGTTGCCGGCGCTTCTTATTCTTAATCTTCTCTACATTGCAGGTGAGCGCTGAGGATCGCGATATGGGAGATAATGGCAAGGTCAGTTATCACATTGAACGTCCAACAGACGGCAGGGTTTACTTTGAAATCGACAGTGACTCCGGTCTTGTGACTACAGCCGGGACCTTTGACCGCGAAAAGAAGCGATCTTACCAGATAAGAATCACAGGAAAGGATGGGGGATCCAGTCGTCAAGAGGCAGAAAGGCTAATGGGATTTTGCCAGGTGGAGATAACAATAGGTGACGTAAACGACAACTCGCCCATATTTGGCAACCAGGCTTATACAACTAACGTCAATGAAGACCTAGAGAAGGGCCAGATCGTACTACATGTAAGCGCCACCGATATGGACGCCGGAAGTAATGCCCTTATAACCTACACCTTTGAAAGACCCAACTTGCAATTTAGGATTTCTAACACCTCTGGCGTAATAACTACAAGAACAAAACTGAAATCTTCAAAATACAGGTTTTCGGTGATCGCTCATGACAATGGAATCCCTAGCAAGCAATCCAGGGCGGATGTTGTCATTAACGTGTACAAAGCCGGAAAAAATCCGCCGAAATTCAGCAAAAGCGTGTACACCGCGCGTGTGCGCGAGGACGTGTTACCACAACAGAATGTGACGAGCGTACATGCCACGAGCCTCGACCCCAACAACATGATTTTCTACACAATTGTGAATCATCCGCAGCCTTTTTCCATCGATCACATCAAAGGCATCGTACGAAGCCTGTGGACTCTTGACTACGAAAAAGCTGCCAACCACACCGTCCATATCCGTGCACAGGATACCCAAAACCCGCCGCTGGTGGCGTTTACGCGGCTCGAGATTTTTGTTGAAGATGTAAATGACTCGCCGCCTGAATTCCCGGTCTCTCGGTATGAAGGTCAGGTTGCTGAGAATTCTCCAGTGGGTAGCTCTGTTATTGAAGTGAAAGCTGTTGACGCCGATAAAGGACAGAATGGACAAGTGTCTTATAAGTTCTTAAGGAAGGAAAGCTACGCCTCCTTTGACATTGACCCAGTCACTGGACTAATTTCAACCAAAAAGGTGAAAAATCAGCTGTTAAGAGAGTCTTAATAGTTTGAGCTAAATTAGTAAATTTGCCACAGCATAATATAATCTCTTTGCGTTGCTAAACTTTAATTATCATCTCATTGATAAAACTAAAATTCTCGTGTTTCACCCCACTACTAAAGCAGCACCACAATTTTTGAAAACTTACTCCTATATGATTTGTGTCAAACAACACTCTTCTTAAGATTATCAATACCAAAGCTGCGTCAATGGTATTGGCGCATTCCCCACATTAAAACCGAGAAGGGAACTGGGCCGAGTTAACTTTCGCAAAGGCGTCTGGGACTGTTACTTAAGACAGGAAAAAACCCAATAACGATCCCAGAAGTCTTTGCGAATATTAACTCGGCCCAGTCCCCTTCTCGTTTCTAAAGTGGCGAATAGTTTAGAAGCATTCTTGATCCCGCCCTCCCCTTCCCTCCCCTCCCCTCCCCTCCACTCCCCCTATAGATTAAAGGGGGAGGGGGCGGGTATGTTTTAATAATAAGTAGCTAAAGCAACAACGACGACGACGTCTACGAAAACGTCACTTAAAAAGTGAATTCGCTCTGCCTCAAACTTAATTGCGCTTATTCCATCTCGTCAAATGTTGGCAAATATTTCTGGAGTTGAATTCTAAAGGACTATATCAAAGTTCAGGAAAAGGAAAAGAAAGTCGTCTTCGTTCACGTCCTCGACAAAACGTGCAATTAGGCACTTTCACGTTGTAGTCGTGCAGCGACGGTAACGAAATGTACAATAAAGCAAGATACACGTGCAGAGTTGTTGTTTTGCTTGTCTAAACCTATTTGCTTTTTTGCCGTTCTCGTTGCCGTCGCCGTCGTCGTTGCTTAAGCTCCCTAACATTGCGTCAAGTGTCTCAGACTTAAAATCTTAATAACTGCTGGTGCATATGATAAATATATTGGTATTTATTTGTTAAAACATAGGTGTTCGACCGGGAGAGGACTGGGCGCTACACTTTAATTGTCCAGGCACGTGACAGTGGCGACATACCAAAATCCTCCAGCTGTCTTGTTGATGTCATCATCAGCGACAAGAATGACCAGACGCCCGCGTTTCAGCAGCCCGTGTACAACGTGAGTGTGTTTGAAGATATCGCCAGAGGGACACGCATTTTATCAGTGACGGCAGTAGACGATGATATCGGAAACAATGCCAAAGTTCAATATTACATCACTGCGGGGAACAAGGGGGCCGCTTTTGCGATAAGCAAGGATCTAGGACAGATTGTTGTCGTTAGCTCATTAGACAGGGAGACACAGGACTACTATCAACTTATTATAAGGGCACAAGATGGCAGAAACGCTGGTACGGCTGTGGTTAACATACTTGTTAAAGATATCAACGATAACAACCCAAAGTTTTCCAATAATTCATATATAGCTTATGTGTACGAGAACCAAGCTAACGGTAGTTACGTGACCACTCTGTCGGCTACCGATAAAGACCTGGGACTTGGTGGAAAGTTTTTATTTTCTATAAGCGGTCAGGGTAGAGACGCGTTTGAAATTGATGCCTCGACAGGGGTTATGAGAACAACTAAGTCTCTTGATCGAGAGGCTAAGGCTCGTTATGTTTTTCTTGCGTTCGCTACTGATAATCCTTACTCAGACGCCGGTTCGAGGAGGACTGGGTCGTGTGACGTCGAGGTTAGGATCCGGGACAAAAATGACAACCCGCCGAGGTTCCCGGATGGTGAGTACGAAGGAGGCGTTCAGGAGAATCAGCTACCGGGTAAAGAAGTCATGACTATGTTAGCGGTTGACGATGACGACCCGAACGAGAACGGAAACGCTGTCTTGAGTTACCAACTTCTAGACGATTCGGGAGGCCTGTTCAAAATAGATGCTCATTCGGGCCTAATCACCACGCTTGCGATGCTTGACCGAGAATCACGCGATGAATACCGACTGATTGTCAATGCAACAGATCGAGGTGAACCTTCGCTTTCGGGTCAAACCGAAGTTAAGGTCAGGGTCACGGACGCCAATGACCACGCCCCTCGGTTTGTGAAGGAAAAGTTCGAATCGAGTGTCTTCGAGAACGCTTTGGTGGATTCCTCTGTGATGCTGCTTAACGCAACTGATGGAGACATTGGAATCAATGCTAAGCTGAAGTTCAGTATCATAGACAGTGATATTAAGGGGGAGGAGGACAGTAGCAGAATGTTCCGCATTGTAGAGGGGACGGGAGAGTTGCGAGTGGCCAGGAGTTTAGATTACGAGACTAAGAAGGAATATCACCTCAAAATCTTGGTGAGTGTTTCGTTGTACAGCAAGACATAACTAATAAGTATCTTGAATATGATTGTCCAGGTGGCTGCGTTCTTGCTGAATTTTGTTGCGCCGATGCTAAGCAACGATTAGCAGGCTGCATAGCCTGTGCCAGACTCTCAGATGATAGAGAGATCGCGAAAACAAGCCAGGTGAAAACAAGACGCGCAGAAATATCGAAGGGGAGCCTTCTCTCCCCCAACCTCCGCGCGTTTGTGCGTCTCTTGGAGCCTGGGACACGCTGAAGACGGTATGGCCCAGTGGCTTAGGACATTACATATGATTCGGTCTTCCGGGATTAAATGCCTTTTTAACCACTAGCTGAGGTTGTTATTGGAAGCTCCGAGTCCTAATTCTTGTTCATAGTTGTAAATAGCCATCTGATTTGTCCCTGGCTAGTTTAGTACGTATTATGTTTTACTGATTTAGCATATCTGTTGATACCTATGTTTGTCGGCAACCGTATGAACCACTTGGTTACCAGTAATTGTGTTTCCCCTATGAAGTTACTTTATTGATTTTTGTGGCAAGTTGTAATTTTTCAGTTGGTATATTGTGACTTCTGTCACTAATTATTGTAAAAAATGAGAAAAACAAATTTTCATCGTCAGGCGAAAGGCCACTGACAATTAACTGTCCTATTAATGCTAAAATAAAATTGCTTGTAACCATTCAGATCAGAGAATTTTTGAAAGAGCAACTAATAAGTCAATTAACTTTATGGTTATGGTCTTCATTTAGGTGCGTGATTCAGGCGACCCTTCTTTCTCTGATACAGCTGAAGTAACAATCGAAATTAAAGACTACAATGATAACCCACCGGTTTTCAGTCCCGTGGGATACGGGACTAAAGTGCGGGAGGATATCGACCCTGGATCATATCTAATGTCGGTAACCGCCCGTGACTCAGATACGGGGACAAACAAGGACTTCAAGTATTCGATTTTTGAGGGAAATCCCGATAAACAGTTCCGTATCGATCCGAAACATGGACACGTGTATGTGAATCAAAGGCTGGACAGAGAGACCCAGGAGAGCTATCTGCTTACTATAAGAGCCACCAATATAGGTAGGAACTGTGTAAAAATTGGTGCAAAAAGCTTTTTGGTTCACAAACGATTTTGGGGACAAAACGAAGTGATTTTGTTAAGTTTGGTTTGCGCCTTCGAGTGCAAAAATGTATTTATTGAACAAAACATCAAAATTACGAGCGTTATGCCACCCGCGTTTTCGCGTGAAACTCAATCCAATCGGAGTTTTGTGGCTTGTGAGGGCTTTAAGTTTACCATTTCATGTTGCGAAGAAAGTTATTTTATCTGTTTTGCAGCCGAGCTAGTGTTTTTGAGCCAGACTGAAGCTGCAGAGGATCGCTTCGGAACAGCTTCGGAACAGCTTCATTTTGTTCCAAATATGTCCCCGGGAAAAACAGTCTCGTTTTCGCCGTGCTTTTGCTATAAGAAAAGAAATTATTCGCGTTTAAGTAAAAGATAATGAATTAATGAAAGGATAAATTAATTAATGCTCTTTTGTTTTGTTTTCCAAGCATTTCCCCGGCTATACGGTCATGCCACAATGAAAGTCACCTTAATTGACGTTAACGACAATGGCCCCACCTTCCATCCATCCGAATTCCACTTCAGTGTCAAAGAAAACACCGCGCCCTCCCAGACCATCGGAAAAATCAGCGTCAGTGACCCGGATGGTGATCTGTTAAACCAAGGTCCGTTCTTTTTTGAGATCGTCAGCGGTAACGAGGATGGCTTTTTCGCACTTAACAACCGAACGGGAGATTTCTCGACCAAAACCAAGTTTGACCGGGAAAAACTGGATATTTACACGTTACTAATACGGGCTTCGGATAGTGGAACGCCAAAGATGAGCTCTGATACCAGGGTTTTTGTACACATCTCAGACGCTAATGATAACCCACATTCCCCTGGCAACTTAAAGCTGCTGCTCAACTCATACCAGGGCAAATTCCCCGGTGGGAGGGTGGGGAAGGTGTATGTGGTCGACAAAGACACCGACGACAAAAGAATCTACGAAGTAGTTACGAACGACTCCGATTATTTCACGGTTGAACGAATGACTGGGATGATAGTGAGCCGTCCGAATCCCCCAAAAGGGAGGTACTTTTTGACAGCCAGAGTATCTGATGCTAGCGGTTCGTTTGCCAACGTCATATGCTCGGTAACTATAGAGGTAAAGGAAGTGACTTCTGACGCCATGCGTAACAGCATGGCTATAAGACTCAGCGGCGTGCAACGCGAAGGTTTTGTAACGACTGTATTACCGCGTTTTAAGGAGTCTGTGGCAAGCATTCTTCAGACGAACGAAGAAAATGTGGATCTGTTTAGCGTTCAAAATGCACCAAAAACTGACAACGCGGTTGACGTGCGCTTCGCGGCGCATGGAAGCCCTTATTACACCCCAGAGAGGATGACTGCTATCCTTAAAAACAACAGGCCCAACTTATCTAAGGCGCTCCAGGATTTTCACGTGAATGTATCGGTTATTGGCGTGGATGAGTGTCTGTACGAGACGTGTGAGTCGGGTGGATGTGAGAATGTGTTGGTTGCGAATGGAGAAGTGGAAGTTATTTCTGTAAAGAAGACTTCCTTTGCTTCTATTGTGGCGATTCTTACAGCAAGGTGTGGCGATTGTGATGGAAACAGAAAGGAGACCGATTCGTGCGGGTCAAAGCCCTGTTTGAACGGAGGCACGTGCGTCGAGATACCTGAGGGTAAGTTCTAAAAGTTGAGTGTATAGAGCTTATTCGCCACTTTGGGAGCGAGGAAACTTGGCCTAGTTGATCTAAGACTGTCACTAGGAACAGTCAAAAAAGTTGGCCAATGGTTGACCGGTGCGTCCCCAGTAACCATCCCATAAATAATTGCGCGACGCATTTCGGCTCCAGTTCCCTTCTCGCTTCTTAAGTACTTAGATGAGAACCTTCTTGTCGTGGGGAGATTTCTACTGATTACGACCGCAGAGACTACAGTATTTTTTAATGGAATGCCTTAATATCCATAGCAAAACAAATCTAAGTGATGAGACTTCACAAAAAGAACAATGAACAAACTAAAAGTAAAAATACATTAAAAACACTGAAAAACAACTTTTAAAATAGTTTTTTGTTTTTGCAAGCAGTAAGTTGGTTAACCTTAACGCTATACAAAGCGAGTGAAAGGAGGCGTAAAGAACTTTTTAGACTCTTGTCAAAGGGTTTGCCTTGTAAATTTGTAAAACGGGAAAAATATATCATTCTTTGTATCTTGTAGCCTGCAGTGCAGTCGTATTTTGGGTCGGCGAAACCTTGTTCGTGTTCGTATTGTTGTAGCCGCCATCTTTGATTTTATGACAGTGGAAGATTGGGGAGGGTAGATATAGTAACCCTTAGGGTAGGTGCGAGGGCGAAAGGAGGGAGATGGAGGGAGAAAAAAAAACGCCGTTTTCTCTTCTCTCTCCCCGCCGATTCCCCGCCCCTCCCGCTCCCTTGGACTCGCCCCATTTCCTCTTCTTTTTGGGAAGTTTCAACATGGCGCTTTCGCGAGGAAAAACATTTGCGCGACCGAAGAAAACGCCTACACTCCAGGCTTTGTATCTTGTTTTTTTTTACGATGGTTATTGCAATGTCTCTGTAGGATACATATGCCGCTGTTTTGGTGGCTACGATGGTCCTAACTGCGAGCTTACCACTCGGAGCTTTGAGCCTGGAGAATGGATATGGCTACCCCCTCCCCAGCAGTGTACTGTGGGGTCACTCTCCTTGGAGTTTGCTTCAAGAGAGGCAAATGGATTGTTATTATATGGAGGACCAACCAGTCCCGTGGGGAATGGGGACGTATACGATTTTATCACCTTAGAGCTGTCGGGAGGGAAGATCCTGGTGTCCATGTCTCTAGGGGACCTAAACGATGTAGTGCGCCTTGGTGTGACAAGTGGGATGGCCCTGAATGATGGCGAGTGGCATCATGTAGAGGTGTTCAGGGATAAGACGGTAAACACCTTTTTGCTATTTTTGTTGTTTTTTGGAGGGGTTTATTGAGCTTTTTATTTAGACTCAGCAGTTTTTGTAACACAGAGCCTTGTGAAGGCGACCAAATAACTTGCGAAAGAAATACATCAAATGCAGCAGGAAAGGCTGGAGTGCGTTATCCTTTATCGTTACGTAGCTGGAAAATTTTCCACGTCGTTAGTGCACGCTCTCTTTGCTTACTTCAAAGTCACATGACATCTAACAATGAATCTGTTTCCCGCCGAAATTCTCTAAGCGGGCAACGTTGCAAAATCTTTGGCGCCAGAGGGTAACATTTTACTTGAATGTTAACCGTTCGCTTAGATTTACTTCGTTAAAATTGTACACTTGAAATTCTCTGTGCGGGCTATATATCAAATCACAAGTCTTTCGAGAAACAGGATAATTTTGTTTCCCAAGAATCTAAATGTTTGCTGAGGCAGAGCCGAGCCAAATGAACTGCATCCCTTGTAGACTAGTTTTTAAGTGTAAATTGTTTTCCTTTAGCTTGTTCGTATCACAGTAGACAAGTGTCGAGATGCTCCATTGACGAGGACACAAGCCGAAGGCGTTGAAGATAGATCGCAGTGTTCATCCACAGCAAGATTGAAAAGCGTTAAGAACAAGTAAGAAACAGTAACTGCTATCTAAAGCTTTGCTAGGACTTGTATGTAGACGCTATAAAATACTTCAAGAGTTGTGTCGGTTTTAGTCTACCTGACCGTCAAACATCATGTAGTAAATCATTTCTTAGATGGAGTTATTTTTAATCGCAGCAGGATTAGATCAGTCGGTAGAGTGCTTGACTGCAGGGCGGGAGGTCATGGGTTCGATTTCAGGGACCAGACCAATACTTAGTGTCTTAAAATAACTAAAAATGAAGGTACTGCCTTTGCCCTACAAACGGCGAGACCTTCGCGTGGCTCGGATGACCGTGTAAAAGGGCCTCAATTAGTAGTCAAGCGCTAAATACAATAACGTTCATATAAAATGCACTCTTTGTTGGTTGGACAACGATTTTTATAGCTTTTCTCCTAATGGTTTCGGCATGAAGTTATCAAGCCAGGCCTTTGAAAAGGGAAGAAATGGTCTGCGGGTTTTGGAACGTCCTAGGCGTTTGCGTGCTCGTCGTTTACCGAAAAAATTCAGCCCCAAAAATTCAAAATTGCATCCGGTAAATTATAGCGAAAAGGAATAGAACCAGGCAAACGTACTGCTGAAGAGGTTTTATTTCAGTGATCACAATAAGGATGTAGTCCACGGCCTCAAAAGGTAGAGCTACGTGCTAAGCAAATGGTGCAATTTGAGAGTACTACTGAAGAGGTTTTATTTAAATGGTCGCGTCATAGGATTTTGTCAACAGCGAGACGGAAAGTTGAGAACTATATGCTGTATCGTGTAAACTTAGGGCTTGAGACGTTTTGTTTAAGTGGTTACACCATAGGGTTTCGTCCATTTACTCAAACTTTAAACTTTGCTCAGAAAGTATTACGTCTTTGTAAGTGACTCATAGAAATCACTGATTTCCCCCTTTTTTTGGCTTCTGTTATCCTCAGAATGCTGAATTTAAACGGTCCGCTGCAGCTCGGTGGAACATCAAACAAACAACTTCGCTATCCTGAGCTTACCACCACTAGTTACAAAGGCTGTATCCGAAATGTTATCAGTCAGGGAAAGTACTACGACTTGAAGAACCCATCTCTCAAGAATGGCACGAAAGAAAGGTGTCCAATGATGGACCAACACTGTCAGCAACACCAGTGCCACCGTCGTGCTATATGCGTGCCGTCGTGGACTGGTTACACGTGTTCTTGTCCCTTTGGCCGCGCTGGTCGCACGTGTGGACAGAGTAAGATAGACAATTACACATTGTGAATTGTAAAACAAGACTAACTACGAGAGAACGACTGAAGAACTGACAATTTGACTAACAACAGACGAATGTTTAACTGTGACAATAGACGGATCGAAATGAACCAATTACTGATGAAGAGTCTTCATAGCCAATAACATCACGACTTAACTAACAGACGACCAATGACATCGCGACGTAATTGACCAATCAGATCAATAACAAGAGTATAATACCATCAACTGACGTGATACAACTCACTTTGACTCTGAAGATGACTACCGCACAGGTTGTCGAAACGTCAGTCACTGTCAACAACAACAGTCCTATATAGGACTACGTTCACCCGGACGATCAAACTCAACCTATTCACCCTCGTAAGGGATTTTCATCTATAATGTGCGACACTGGTTGGGGGACTTAACATTTAGCAAAGTAATGAGTTATGAGTAATGAGTTGTACATTGCCGGTAATATCAATGTGAATGTGCGATAGACTACCAGACCTGGACTAGGTCACCAGTTTTCTTTACGAAAGGTATCGGTATGTGGGTTCTTTAACGTCGCACAGAATTAATGATATGTTTAACGGTTGTGTTACGGAAACTGGTTTATTTTCATTATCTGAGAAGACTTGACGGTGTAATTGTTTGCCGGCAGATGTCACGCGGCGCTCTGTGCACTAATCGGGCGGCTGTTACAATTTGACGAGATTTTCGGGAATTCTATAAACTTATCAGATTCGGTGTACAATTGAGCCTGTCGTTGTGCCTATGAAGGGCCGGAATCTCTTATTGCCCCGATGAATATTTCATGTTTCTCGTTTTTTCTGAACTCACTGTCTATGTTAGCCTGCGAAAACATCCGTTTCACCGCGCTCTTCGCCGCTGAGACGTTTCGCGCGGAGGAACGTCTCAGCGACAGAAATTCCATACAGATGACGCAAATCAATGTTTAAATAATAAATCCGGTAGTCATGGGGTTCCAAATAAAAATTTGTCCCATTTTACAAGCCTATGGTCGATTTTAGTAAAGTGTTGTGTTCATCTGCTAACGAGCTCCAGAAAAACTCAAATGCTTCTTCTGGAAAAGACTATATTCCACAAATATTGACTGTTTTGTTAGAGATTCTTCTCGTTTATATTTGACCTTTGTGGGCTTTTGTCTTTTGTCTGTCATTCGTAAACAATAGCTAAAACAATGAAACTACTCCGTCGACCAATCAGCGCTTCCGACCGGATTCCGGACAGATTTTACGTCATCAGTATGGAATTTCTGTCGCTGAGTCGCAGACGTTCCTCCGCGCGAAACGTCCCCAGTGGCAAAGAGCGAGGAGAAACGGATGTTTTCGCAGGCTATGTCTATGTCTTCATGCGAGACGCATTCAACATCGTTCCTTGAAGCCAAATGCAGGACTCGTGTCGCGTGTGAACTTAGTTAATTGCCAAACTCATTCAACATAGCACAGTGCGCTTCGGTTATCTGGGAAGACATGGCTTAGAATCAGATTCGCAGTCACTGCAAAAGGCAAACGGTCAGTATTTAAGGGAAAGTGCAATACCTTAAGAGGATCACTCCCAGTGCTTGATGACACGAAATCTGTGTAACGCTTCGGTGTCTTGTAGGCCACCAGCATTGATGCTTTTAACCCTTTCACTGCCAAATGTGGCCAAAGGCAAATTTCGACCAAATTTGCAAATTTCATTTTTTAAAATTTTGACAAACAAATAGCATCATGTGTAAGTACAGGCAGAGAGCTTTCATTTCAATGGTCACATCATAGGATTTCGTTCATAGACTCAAAAGTTAGAGTCACCGCACAAAACTCCATCAAACACTCTGGCAGTGAAAGGGTTAAGTTAGTTACATATTTTGCAATAGGTAACCAGTGTCAAAACGCTGTGTACTATTTTTTATCAATGTTATTTTGGGCTGCCGATATTTATGTTGCGTTTCTTTTTGCTTCAGAAACTCGCACGCTGAACTACGCAGATGGGAGTTTCACCAAGTACGTATTCTACTTGCATAAGTTCGAATATGACCCGCGACAGATTAAGATTCGCATGCAGATCCGAACACGTGACCCCAACGGCGGTATACTGATGTACACTTCCGGAAGTGAGGAGGGCCGATTCTCTTCTTTAGAGGTGACTATTTCTTACTCATTTTGTTATTGCCTAATCTTTTCTCTGTGGTAATTAAAGCAAACGAAACTTAACAGCCTTCAGTTTTTTTAGGGCTGATCGATGACAAGAGAACATAAAGAGCTTTTTCCTCTCTTGTTGAGGAAGATTTCAGAAAACATAAAACAACTTTAATATTCCAAGTAAAGTTAACCGTGCAACCAACCAATCAGAACTCCAAGGGGAAAGACGAGCAGTGTGTGCTGTGTCCTTGGAGATTTCATCGTCACCTCGCTTCTGATTGGTTAAGAATTAGTAAGTTTTCTCCGATTGGCTAGTGCAATAGACACTACTTGTAACGTGCACGCGGACGCGAATATGACCAATTGTAAAAGACAACACATGCTCGAGTATCGTCACATGATCTACATTCGCCACCTTAAAAACGACAAAGCGAAATGCGTCCCGCAGTTGTATCTGGGATTGTTACTGGGTGACGTGTCGGTCAGCTATTGGCCATTTTTTTCCTTTGTCCCGATGAACAGTCCCAGAAGTCTTTGCAAAAGCCAACTCGTCCCAGTTTTCTTTCCCTTTCTAAAGTGGCGAATGGGGGAATAGAACTGAGCAGAGAATTTGGACTATTGTTTTGATTTGACCAGTTACAAAGCTCGGCAAAAGTAATCAAAACAGTAAAACACACAGTAAACTGTATTAAAGACATTTGTAAGTGTAAACGTTTGCTCTTATTTCCTGTTTGATAAGGTGGTACCGTTCGATATTGAGGGGGATGGGGAGAGGGAGCTGATTGTCACGTATACCCTAGGATCAGGCAAGGAAGGAGGCCGTCCAGCAGTAGTACAACTGACCGGTGTGAACGTGGGCGACGGGCAGTGGCACGACATAAGTGTGTTGCGTGAGAGAAGGCTGCTCAAGCTGTCCGTTGACAGTGATAGTGGTGGATATACCGTGACAGGTAGCGATTATATATATGTTGATTTCCACTGACGTGTTTTTGGCTACGCACGTAAATTTTAATCACTTAAATAAAATAGAGGCAAGATATAAAGTGCTGAGCTTAAACGAGAAGTTGAGCGAGGTTCAACTTTTACGCTTACCGATACGAGCGACCTTTCTATTTTATTTGCGAGCGTAAATTTTACGCACGTAAGAATTTATGCAACACTGGAAATCAACCCTTACGCACCTTAATGGCTTGAATTTTTCGTAGTGGAGCTGCTTCGCACATGCATACTCTAGCCTGACCTCTCACTCGAGACCTCGACCCAGACAGGGAACTCGATATAAAATGTCTATATCTACACTGCAAAACAGTCGTTTTTTCTTTTCTCAAAATCGTTTTAGTGTAGCGTAAGAGCCTCGCGCACTCTTACGCCCGCTCTCCGTTTTCAGCCTCTCTCCAGACCGTTTGTTTGACTCTTCGTACTTGAATACGCAAAAATACGGACTCGGACTGTTTTGCAGTCTAGTCTATATCAGGGATTTAGACTGTGGTGCGACGCAGTACCAAATCTACTTAGACGTCCGCCCCAGGACCCCCTCGACGCAGTTGAAACCAAGATGGCTGCCGTAACGGAGGCGCTCGTTCCCGACGATCTTGCGGAAAAATTGATGACTGTAAGCAGCCTAAGAGTGAGGTGTCAAGGCGGAAATGTCACATGTAGGCGCTGAGTGTAGGTAGTCTTATCCCCGATTATTAGTGAACTTACGCAAAAGGACGGCGGCGGCAAACCTTGTGTGACAAGCGTGACAATAATTTTGTTTAAAAAAATCTTTCCACCAAACTTTACACTCTTTTAAAAAGATCTTTTTGTGAAAGACCAGAAAACAGTGATGTTAGGTAAATACCACGACGAAACATGCAAGTAATAGCCCTGTCACGTTTGTCGCACATAAGCGTTTTGCCGTGCTGTTGTGTAAACTCACCATTTTTCCCCAACTTACTTTTCCCGTAGCGAGATGTTAAAAGAAGTGAAAGACTTTTGATCTAATCATTTCTGATTTTCAGAACATCTCGGCACCGAACATGCCCTGTTTGTGCTGGATCCAACGAGAACATTTATTGGGGGACTTCACCCTCCTACCTTATCACGACGCCGGAGGGATGACGCTAAAGATTTCGTCGGCTGCATAAACGACGTGCAGTTCAACGGACATCCGCTTAATTATTACAATGAAACGAGTAGTCTGGGCATCGCTATTTCTGTAGGTGGGTACAACTTGAACTTTCGGATCACCTACCCCTCCCCTAGGCTAACATTAACGCTTACTTCTCCCTTAGGGCAAAATGTTGGCTTAGGGGAGGGGTAGGTGGTCAGTTTCCCAGAACTCTTGTTTTCCATCTATTCCTATAAGTACCACCAAGAAAGTTTGGATCAATTTAGGTTTCTGGAAACCGACCAGCTACCCCTCCCCTAAGCTAACATTAACGCTTACTTCTCACTTAGGGCAAAATGTTGGCTTAGGGGAGGGGTAGGTGGTCAGTTTCCCGTGGTACTTATAGGAATAGATGGGGAACAAGAGTGGTGCACTCGCTTCCCAATGTGGCCTGGGTTCGAATCCAGGCCTCGATGTCATATTTGGGTTGGGAGAGGTCTTTCCAACAAATGCCTTAACAATCTACAAAAATTGCAATTTGACTTCACCTTAGGACTTCCATAGTTACACCTTGGGGCCTCTTACGAACATGTTTTTCTTCTGAACATATTAATAATCGAAAAGAAGACCATCAAAATGATTCGCTTTGCAATCGTTCATTTGTCAATGTTTTTTTTTTTAAAATATCGCTTTAAGCTGATATTTTTGTTACTTTTTTTCGCCTTGAGGATGAAGTTTTTTGCACAACTACAACGAATGTTAGAAGAACTTGAAACGGCCGGAAGAACCCCTTCACATAATTATCACTTAGCAGTCTACTCCTAGTAACACTTTTTATTTATCTGCTTCGGGTACATCGCTTGTTCACCTCAGCTCACTTCCTCCAAGATAAGATTTGCCAAAAAAGAACGTATTTGCACCTATTTTGCTCGACAAAGATTTCAACATTCTCGGGCTGAGAAGGGAAAGATAGTCTTACTAATTTCACGTTAAGTATCCCTCCATTGTAGCCGTGAATGCGAAACAACATTTACTTCTTCAAAAATTATACTTTTTCACAAACGAATCTTTTTTGTCCTTAGGTGTCAGCGGAGGCTGCACTGCAGAACCCGTATGTACGCCCAACCCGTGCATTGCCTCGGAATGGTGTCGAGACATTTGGCGGAAGTTTGTGTGCTTGCCCCGCCTTTGTGCGTCTCGACCCTGTAAGAATGGCGGCACTTGTGTGGAAGGCGTGGACCGTGAGGGAAAAAGTAAGTTCCGCTGTCAGTGCCCTCGTTCTTTTGAAGGCGCCCTTTGTGAGGTGCAAAGCTCAGTGGTGATTGCTACAGAACCTGGAATAGGATTGGAGAACGGATTGATTATTGGTAGGTATTACAATGCAGTTTCGGTTACATTTGATTGTCTCTCGACAATTTATTGACATCTTTTTTAACATCCATCGAAAAGATTGTTTTCCTGCTTTGGATGAAGGTTTTCAAGAAACTTTTCAACGGAAATTTAAAAAAAAAAAAAAAAAATTATTGGTATAAAAAATATGGTTTTCAAAAAGGACCTCAAAACTAGTTTTGATTGTATAAAATTGCAAAGGGATTAAAAGATTTATAAAAAATTGAAATAAGTTTTAACATCCATCGAAAAAAAACATTGTTTTATTTACCCTTGAGTCTTTGGATGAAGGGGAGTTAAAATCGAAACTTTTGTGTTCTTTGCATACTTTCTTTTGACAAACAAAAACCTTTGTTTTAACCGAAATCTTTCAATCAAGTCCATTATCCCATTGATGCGTTTTCATCAGTCGAATGTTTAACGGCCTTATTTCAACATATTATCCCAACGTTTTCATCAGTCGAATGTTCGATTCAACTCTCGGTCAAGTCATGATCATAAATCACGTGATCATTTTAACGCGTCGTATATATCTGGTAGTCCAGGCCCCCATCTCTGTTCAGTGTTGACGTGAATTTTCCCGTTTTTTCTTTTTGCCCGGTTCGCAAATTACCATACCGGTATTCCAAGTAGAAACTCAAGTGTTGAAGTAAAATGGGTTGAAGCGGATGCTAAACTGTTTAACAGAATGTTTTTAATAATGTTGATTTATGAACAATTCAAGTAAATTTTTATTTGATAATTTCATCACCAGTATAATCATTCACGTCTTTTTTTTTATTTTAAGAAATACATAACTCATATTAAAAAGTTAATTCAAAAGACTAATAAACTTAAACAGCATTGAATATATTAAAAGGCATTGACGTGAACAGCGTGTTAAAACTAGTTTAGTTTTGTAATACGGAGTCATCCTCTCTTTTCTAGGTTTATCGGTGCTGGTGGTGACGCTAATTTTATCGGTTCTCGTTTTGATTCTGTATCTTCGTCGCTCCCATCCCAAGAAAGAGGAGATACGTGTGGGCGAAGAGCCGTTTAAACGCGACAACGTTGCTAACTATCGCATAGAAGGAGGTGGCGAAGAGGATATAGAAGAGCAAGACCACTTAAGGGACATCTTGCGATCTTTTGAAACGGCAGATTTTTCTTCTTGTAAACTTTCTGGAAGTAGTAACGATGTCAGTGGACCTTATGTCGTTGTGGCTCCGCTTAAAAGGGAGACCGATCAGAGACAAAGCGATGGAATACCCGGTGTGTCTAAACCTGTACAGAAACCCGTTGAACCTGTCGCAAAAGGACAAAAAGCCGGGTGTTCTCTTTGGCGTGACGGTTCTAATGAAGATCTTCCGGATTCGTGTTCGTATCCCTCAGCAGTATCCACTCCCGAAAGACGCAGGCGCATCTGCCCTTCGTCCAAGGGATACGGAGAGATCAAAGATAGACAGACACCCGAGGGAGGAGAGAGTGGAGCGGAGGGAAGTCCAACGCGGAAATTAACGGAAGTGTTCGGATTAAGTGCAGAGGAACAAGCGGGATGGCGATCTCCGCCCGAAGGCTTTTCTTCACCCACTGAAGAAGGGTTTTCGAGCCTCGGTAAAAGAGAACGTGGAAATGGCGCTTCATTAACAAGACCTGCAAAAACCGGTGAGGAAAATAGAACGGCTGAAGAAAAATGCGGGAGTGTGTGTGAACCTCAAGCCCCTGTTTCCTTTGCAGCGGAAAATCCCATGTCTCGTCCGAACAGTGAACTCCGTAGTGCATCTAAAGGAGACGGACTTGCTCCGGTGCAGAGGTACTCCCTCCCTCCCAGGAAACCCCCACGGAGCTACTTTCCCAGGGGTGCACCACCCGCACCGGGGACCTTCCTACCGGAGGACGTGATGCAGAAGTTTTGTTACGAGGGGTCGGGATCCCCTACCATTTCGCTAAGCACTCTGGGAGATACTGAAGGTGAATCAGAGGCTGATGACAATTATGAGTATGTAAATGACATGGGAGACAAATTCAAGAAACTCGCAAAGATTTATGGGCTGCCACCCTCGGTTTCGTTTAGCCCTCACAATGAAATTATTGGAGAGTAAAGACTGAGATAAAATTGTCGCAAAAGGTTTTAGAGAAGGTAAAAGGTTTCTTTTGTGTAGCTTTTTCTTTTGACAGGCTTCTTTCCCTTGACTTTCACATAGGATGTTCTCCATTTTAAGACTATTAATTCAGGCGTTTGGGTGGATTCGGAGCGACCCAGGGGACGCCATGAAATATCAGACTCTGAAGTCCCGGCTGGAGAAAAGTTTGAGACGATGACTTTGAATGGGAAGACGCTTTGGATGAGAATTTTGTTAGCGAGTATTTGAGGAAAGCTCCGAGGCCTGTTTCTGGAAAGTCCGATAATTTTTTGGATCGGGCCATATGCCACATTTTAAAATCGAAACGTAGATATTGGTAAGCACTGCGGTTCTTAGCTCAAAAAATAGTTAATTTTATTTCGTTCAATGATATTTCATTGCATTACTCCCAAAACTATTGTAATGGTGTTGATCTTGGAAGCATGATCACTGGCGTGAACGCAATCCTAAAAAGCTTTCCAGGCTCGATAATCATCGGGTCTTTCGGGAAACGGTTCCTTGGAGACAAAGTTACCAATGTACTCATAAATTAAGTTTTTTGAAGAAGCGTGGTAAAACGTTGTATCTTCGAGATTTAACCTAAATGCATAGAAGACCGTGTCAACAAAGGTATTTTTACTACGTGACGAGAATGTTCAAAGTCCGCCCTAAAAATACCACAATATCCTTTATAGTACAGGATAGACTCTTTATCCATAAGAAGTTAAATGTTTGTACACAAGGTGCATTTTAGCGCGCCTAGTGTTGTACACAGTGGCTTAATTGCGAGGCGTTTGTTGCGAAATATTGCAGCTGTAGAACTTATTTCTGTATAGTATGGAAGAATTTATTTCAAAAACGCTTCGAAGAGGGCAGTGTAGAATAAAGAAATGAAACAGTAAATTAAGGAAAAAGAATAGGTGTTATTACAGTTATAACGATGTTAACATGGAAACGAGGCGAAATAGTCAGCAGAACCGCACTGGCCAGGTCTTTAAAAAGATCTGGATAAGTAAGAAATAAGAAAAAACAAAATGAAATAAAATGTCTTAGTAATATTTTCCCCTATTTTTCTTTGTGAAACTTAAAACATCTTCTGGGGCTTTTTCTTTCTTCGACGCGATTATCAGATTTCTGCTGTTTCTTCTTCAACTTATTGAAGTTAACCTCGTCCGCATGGCTTATTAAACAAAAGTCCCAGCTCAACTGTAGTAACAACTCTTGAAAACGTTTTACCAAGGAGTTTCTGATAGGATGTTGGGTAATGCTGTATGAAAATAACATTTTGCTAAAGAATGTAAAACATTTGAATTTATAGAGTCATGTTATTATATTTTAATATTTAAAATGATAACGGTGTAAGTAAATTTTTGGCATGGGTGTTATATTATGTACAAAAATAGATAAATTGTTAAAACATTTAGTACCCTATTTATTTTCATAGAGCATGAGAAGACAAAATGTGAGACTGTAACATAAAAGTATAACTTGCGAGCACAGCCGTCCCTCCTCGCTCCTCTCGAGACGTTTCGCGGGAGAGGCGTTTCGCCTGGCCACGAGGTACGAGGAGACAAGGCTGTATCTGCAGGCTAATAAATGTGTTAACATTTCATTTTTTTCGTTTGAAATTGGCGTCATTTTTTTTATGCATTTGAACTGCCTATACACAAGCTGAGTCAAGCGTTATAGCTTATATAAGTAACTTAGATGTTAAGAAAGTATTTGGTTGACATGAAAAGAGCTCTTCTTGGGTGTTTGGTTTCTGTTATATATTGACCTCCTTCCTGAGTGTTCAGCGTTCCTTTACTGTTTTGTTGCCGCAATTTTTAGTATTTTTTATCTAGGAAATGATATAAATGGTTATTTTTGCATGCCTTAGTCTTTATTCTGAATGCGAGAGAAGAGGAGTATTCTGAGATTAAGTAAATAGAAACTCAAATTGATTCATGTCTGCTGCTTGTTTTATACCAGAATATGGCTATTTGTATAGGTAATAGCATGATTTGTGGTGATATTTGGCATAAATACCACGAGTGATATTTCAAAATTATTATACGTAATTTCACGAAGCCGTTAAACGAGTGAAATTTGAGACAAATGACACGAGTGGCGTATATTTTTGCCAAATATCACGTACAAATCATGCTATTATTTGTTTATACTACTACCCGCAAGAGGTTTGTAATTTCACATGTAGGTTTTTCAAAGTAAGTACCACTGCTCTAAGCCAATCAAATTGCAGAAATTTATCATGTAGTAGTATAATGTCTCTGTATTTCACCTATTACATGTAATCCTGACCAATCGTCTTAGGATATTTTTTGTTTTCATCTGGGCCGAATTGTTCAAAGCTGGGTTAAGATAACCCAGGGTTAAAGCGAGATTTGAATTCAAATTTGAAAGCTTAAAAAGCATTTCAGTTTTAATTCTTTTTGTCTACAAGTTGATGATTGGAAGCTCTAAAAATAACAGAGAATTACCCCAGAAAATGCTTTTTAACACAAAAAAAAGAAACCCGGGTTAAGCGCTAATCGGCCTCCTAACAACTCGGCCCTGGCCTTGAAGATACCGAATTGCGAGTAAGATCCTTTCGATGGAATCTGTTTGATGGAGAGCGGTGGACTGCAAAGCCTCTCTACTCCACCGAGGCCTCTTTGTGTCATAGGGAGGCTGGGGAGAGGGGAAAAAGAAAGCGCGCGGGGTACGACGGGAAGGGGATAGAAAGGATTTTTCCTCCTCCTGTCGTCCACCGCGCTTACTACAAAGGCATCCAAAGACGGTTTCCTCCTAAATGCATTGAAAACACTTTTTGGCTATCCAGAGTACCTTTAGATCTCTACAAATGAATTCTATAAAATTTAAATCTGTTCGGTCATCCCAGGACAAATTGAGTCTTTTCGAAATTGCAAGGGCTTCAGTATTGTTTTCACGAAAATTTTAGGCGCAATTTAAAGTATCAAAAAAGTAAGAATTTTTCTGATTCCTCTCTCCATCGCATTTTCGAATCCAAAATTTTAGGAGTCCTTTTCCTGCGAGATAGCTGAACTTGGGGAGTGAAATGCGAAAAATTAAACTTTAGAAAATCGTAGGGAATTTGCTAGATAAGCTTCGAAAATTGTATATGAATGGAAAGGTCACCCGAAATTTTTAGCCTTCCTCCGGCTGTAGAAAATTCCAGGCAATTTTTGCTTCTCCGAACCGATATTTTACAGAAAACAGTCGTTGCGTGCCTCTGTTACTACTTTTCCATTTTTGCCCAAAGCGAGCCTCTGCGGAGGAGAGAGCTGCAAAACAGATTCTCCCAGGTGATCTCCGGTAATTAATAGAGAGATTAAGATTCACGTTTCCACCAAATGGCAAACGTGAATTTGTACCACGTGACCAAGTTCTCCCCTTAATTGTCGCTTACTGTTTATTACTTCTACTCAAAAATAAGTAGTTGGCGTACCAGTTTTGTCCACAAGAATTGTCCAGGACAGTTTTTATCTGCTTATTTTCCGTTGTGAGAAATTCTCAACTTGAGTCTCACGTTTGCTTTTGGCCGTAAACGTGACTCTTAAGGTGCATTCACACTTAGTGGCACTAGTTCCCGGGCACGGCGAACCATGTGCGAACATCTCCAGCGCTGGGGGTAGTTCATCATTCGGGACATTTTGCGAAGGCTTACATGATACACTACCCAGTGCTGGAGAGAAGCCTGAGAACTAATAAACCTCATGAATTTTCAAGATGGCGGCCGTCTTTGGCAGTTTTTTAGTTAGTCTTCTTTTTATTTCTGTATCTCTCGCCGCCAAGGATGTTTTCCACGAAGAGTTGCTCCTTAGACCTTTGAAGACTGGTCACGTGTATGCTCACTTTCAGTTCACTACAATTTGGGATGTTGACATCAGAGACTCGAAGGCTTGTGAGTACGCTAATGCTGCGCCTGTAACTTCTTCTAACATTGAGCTTAATTTTATCAGGTTTTCGGGGGAATATTGGTTTGATCCCTAAAGAAAAAAGCTCTTTGGTGGCCATAAGAATCCTTCTTTCGCTCAAGCTTGTTTAATCAAGATGGCTGCACTTTGGCGTCATTCTTTCTTGAGGCATGCTAATATGTGCCTCAAATTCTCTTGGTGCATGAAAATGAGAAAAAAGGAAAAAAAATATGTGGATGTCCACTAGTACAGTTTTGTGTTTAAAAACACACGATTTTATATGCCTTAGGCACCTAGCTAGTTTATGCCCAGTCATTACAAGAACATCTTGCCCACTTAGCAGCCAATCAGAGTGCGCATACTATTTTAGCCATATAATAATGTTGTGTATCGTCTTCCCTGTAGTCTCCCACTATAACTTGTTTCCAAAGTCATTTGGTCAGATCATCAATCAGTACTCTGTAGAAGAGCTGCACTTGAGTCTCACCCAGGGACAGTGGCAACATGAACATTGGGGATATCCAGTGACTTCTGCTCCACCAGGGGCAGAGCTGTGGGTGTGGTTTCAGGACAGGGTGCAAGACAGGTGGATAATGACTATATTTAGTTCGTCATTGTGTTAGCCTGTTCCAGGCGTTTAGACAGTGGGGAGCAAGTTAAATCATACGCAGTGAGCGCAAAAAGAAACAAGAGGGGAAAAAACGAGGGAAGACTGGGGCAGGAGCGAGAAAACCCCTCCCTCTTCCCGCCCTATTTTTTCCCTCATCAATTTTTCTCCCGTGCCCTAATTTTTTGCCTGCTCCCAACCATCTGAACGCCTGGAACAGGCTATCATTGTGTATAAATACATGTATCTCTTATTAGCTGAGTTTTCGGTCCATACTGTAAATCACAGACTGAGTTTTTTTCACACCATGATTGGTCAGAAAGATTCCATGATATTTCCATAAAGCTGGTGTGGTAATTTTTTAGTTCTTCCCCTTAACAACATTATTATATTTAGGGTAGCAGGGATGGCATAGACTTTCTAAAAAGTCCTTCCTCCCTTTTAACTCACAATTTTAAGGCCCGCTGGTCCACTTCGCTACCTAAAAACCTCACTCCGCTTGCTTTGCAGCTTTTCTGCTGTCAACTCATGAGGTTGGCTTGTGGCAAGACTAGGATAGGCACTAGCCTCCCACCAATGTGGCTGGGGGTTGAGTGGTTTGGTATTGACACCATATGTGGGTTGAGTTTGTTGCTGGTTTTTTCCTCTGCTTTGAGAGGTTTTACTCTGGGTTCTCTTCTGTCCTTAGAAACCAACTTTCCAAACTCAAATTTGATCTGGAAATTGTTTCCAGATAGTTGAAGGCACTAAGAGAACCACATGTTTATCAGTACTTTGAACTGTGTGGTGTCACCTTCTGAATAATGTCAGATTGTTCTTTTTTTTGGTTTATTTAAAAAGCATATGGAGAGCAGTGGGAAGGAAATGTTTTGTAGAGCTTAAAATTATCATTTTTGTAAATTACAGTGTGGAGGAAAACTGGTCTGGACTGACCCAAGCACTGTCTGGTCAATTTTGTGCCTCACTCAATTTCATTGACAGTAAAACAACCACAAGCCCTAAACTTTCATTCAGAAGGGAAGGTATTTCCTCTGACTTGGGTACAAATTCCAGTCTTTTGAGACATGCTGCACTTCCAAGAGAGCTGGTTTGCACTGAGAATCTAACTCCTTGGAAGAAACTCTTACCATGCGACTCCAAGGTAAGAAAATGTTTCTGTTACAGCAGAACCTTGATATATTATTAACCTGCATGTAAGGAAGTCCTTGGTATAGCGAATGATTTTCTTTAGCCCAGCAATTAGTAAAATATATGTAAAAGAACCTTGATATAATAAAAACCTTGTTATAGTGAACATATTTTGCTAGTCCCTAGGCCCTTTGTGATATAGAGGTGCCATTGTAAGAGGCTTTTATCTCTACAAAGCAATAATATTACAAAGGACCATCAGTAATTCTATCACCATATGCTCTCTCTCTCTTTTTTTCAGGCAGGGCTAACAACCTTGTTTTACTCCTTGCTGTTGTACAGTGTGAGTTACCATTCCCTTGGCGTTCATCTCCGTCCTGTTTGCCAGGTACACAAATAATAATATTCTGCTTATTTAGCATAGATTATTTATTTACCTTGCAGCCTTACGTTTTTTCATGGGTAAGTTTAACACAAAGTTTGAGTTTGCCATTTAGTTACTCAAGACATGCAACTTATGAATAACTGATTGAATTTCCAGGATGTAAGCTGTTCACATGTCTCTGTGGAACTGGTTCAATCATTGTCCATGGTTTTAGACCCACTGCTTAGAGGAGGATCAAAATTTGGTGAGTTATTTTTTTAAAAAAAATTGACCTTGAGTTGTCTTTAACTTAAAAACTTTGTTAATAAAAAAACTGCCAGTAGTTTTTGCACTTAACTTACTAATATACCGGTATGCTAGGTATCCTGAATTTCAAAGCCAAGGGTTTTGTCAGAGCATACAGTGTTTGTAATACATGTAGTTATTGTATCTGATATCTGAAGCTCTTTCAGGGCAGGAATATTCTTTTCTTTATGCCATTATTCCTGTAAATTGTGAAGAAATAAGTATTATTTATTATTTTATTTATTTTTCTGTTTTTCATATCACACATTAATGAGTAGGAGACTAATAAAAGAATAGTTATTACTTAACCAATAATATTATTACATCTTTCTCCAACATCAGATTGGTCTTTTAAGAAGTTGTTTGGCCGACCCATCAAGTCAGCATGCCCCCTTGCTGCAACCAGCAGGGTTTATGTTGATATAAGTAGCAACAAGGTGTGTCTGTGTATATAAGTGCTGATCAGGGCTGACCAATATCGGCGGCAAAATTGTTGAGACATTGTTCTCATTTGGGGTAGCTTCGGAGAACAAAACAAACCACACCCCTCCCCCTCCCCCTCCCCTCCATCCATAGCGGGTGTGTTTGTTGTTTTCTACAAGTAGCTCAAACAGCAGCACAACATTTCATGGGGAAGGGATGGAAGAGGAAAAGCTCTATTTTCCCTTTTTTAAGTTAGCGAAATGTTAGAGAGGCCCTAAGGGCAAAGTGTCTCAACTAATTTTGTCGCTGATTGTGGGTCTGACAGGTACTACTGAGGAGTAATAACAGCTGAGAGGGTTAACTGAGCTTTCAAGGTCTGACAGGGTCTGACCAGGTCAATTTTCCACTGTAAACAGATTCAAAAGTTGATGTTTTGGGTGCTGGCTTTTGACAGTGTGAATCAGGGGATTGTGAATTTATTACGATAATAAAATTACTTGAATGAAAATCATCCATTACCTGATTTATTTAAGTTCTTCATATTGCCACCATTAACATTGCTTTTTTATTTATTAATTTTTGTTTTATTTTTTATTTTGGTGGCGGGGTGGGGGGGCGGGGAGGGGAACACCGCAATGTAATGCTGTATTTGTGGCAGGTAAAAATGTTCTCAGGTTTAAACAGTGATCCACCCTAGCCCTAATTATTCCTATAGGAGACAAATACACATTTAAAAGAAACTTTCAGTATTACAATGTACTAAGAAGCAAATTTCTGATCAATTAATCATTTATGTTTGAAGCATGAATGTGCCAGAATCTGGCTAATTGCACATTCTTGTCATTGCAGAGTGGGTCAGAATTTTCTCTTACACCTGCATTCTCCACAGTTGCCAGCCCTCAAGCAGCACAGCGACACCAAAAGCACTTTGCCTTGTATGATGTAAAGCAACTGGGTGTGTTGGAAATAATTAGTCACCATTTAGGCTTGATTGTAATTCTGTTGAAACTTGTCTTTTATTTGTAACATACATGTTAATTATATATTTTGAACTTGCTTTGCATGGTTGTTTTAGGTTTAAGGAACCCAGGTGAACCTGCTTTGAATGTGGTTTTTAAGTGGAAGAAGAGAACTAATCAAGGTTGTGTCTTTGTATTGAAATAAATTTTTAAGTTGTTGTGTCCCCAGTTAGCTTGTAAGCGAAATATCTTGACACGTAAATAAAGTTTATTATTATTATTATTATTAAGTACTAAGTATATTTGTCATTAGTCCATTAACAGCTGAAATGCCTTTCAACTGTTCATTTGTGTCCACAGGTTTTTACAAATTACAAAGGTCTCTATAAAATCCCGGTTATACTTGCTGTGCTTATACAATGTCTTAAAAGTTTTAGATGGAATTATACCCAGGGAGACCTAGAAGCAGAATAAAAAAGTGGAACATTTTAAAAAAACTGATAACAATTAAGCATACTTTATTTCACTACAATTATTTCAAAAAAACCCTCATTTGATCAATGTTTCAAGCAACTCATTCCATGAAAGTTCTTCTCCCATTTCTCTCTGTGTTTGCATGCTTATGTAGACATAAACAATGTGTTTTCTTTTTGAACCAGGAATTCCTCCTCAGCTTTATGCTCAGCGATTTGTCACTGGTAAGAAAAACATAAACACAATCCTCTGAACATGTAATTACTGTTATAAACAACACAATTAATACAAACTACATAATTACTACTCATTTTAGATTCTCATTAGATTGTAATATATTATGCATAGTTTTGACATTTGTACTTTTATATTGTAATTCCAATTATGAATTGTTTCCCCAAATTAGTATGGGGTTTTTCCTAAGCTATACGGTTTGACGCATTAATAAAGTTTCTATCTATCCATCTATTTGTAAAATCAAAATAAAATTTCCAAATTTCATTTTGCATAGTTTTGAAAAACTAATAATGCTACACAAAAGATGGTCTTTCCACGCTGTTGTTTTGGATTGCCATGCAACAGTCTGTTCCCTAAATGTTCTCTGACAAGAGGAAGAGCAGCTGATGAAAATGGTCTCATTTGAAATGATCACATCAATCAGTATAACATGACAAATTCAAGACTTTGCAAGACTGTGAGAAACAGGTTTCAAAATTTGAGACTCCGAGATTCAAAATCACCTGAAAGTGAGACTTCGAGAACAACCAAAAACTCTTCTGAGATTTCGAGATTAAGCCAAAATTTTCCGAGGAACCATCCTATACCCCTACATCACAAGTTCGTTTAACTTAGCCTACATCTCTTGTGTAAAAGATGCTGGAACAATGGGAAATTTATGCAGTGGTGCATGTACCTTGTTTCTTTATATACTGCAGTCTTTTTAACACTCCTGTCACAGGTTTGGTCTACTTGTGAATGGATGCATCAGCAGCTTACCTCCATACCAAATCAGGATACCAAACAAACTTAAAGTGTTTTTAACCAATTTTTGTCTCTAACATACCTTTCATTGTCTTGACACCACCTTGTACAGCCTCTCTGAAGTGGGTGGTTCTTCCTTCTTATTTTGCAGGTTATGGTGAAGAGAAGGGTGGCATCACGTCTCTGCTGCACAATCACCACCCCAGCGATCCCCTGCCAGTAGTTTACTTTGCCACCTTTCCATGGTTCCTCAGGATCTTTCTTCATACTCTCACCATCAGGAGTGAAGGCAAAGACATCAAACCTGGTATGACCTCAATACTTGAGCTTCTCTTTCTTCCTATAACCCAGGAAAAAGCTACCGTAAAGTCACCTAGGCTACAAGTACAGTCGATTCTCTCTTAATGGACACCTCTATAAGACAGACACCTCTGTGAAACGGACACTTAGAGTTGGTGCCTGCCTTCCTTTACTCCCTTTATTTGACTCTCTATAAGATGGACATCTCTCTAAGACAGACACTTATTGCGGGTCCCAAAGGTGTCTGTCTTAGAGAGAGTTGACTGTAGTCCCTCATTGTCCCCAGAAATGGTAGATTATCGCAGCAAAGTTCACTATCATGCATCAAAACATTGTCACCAGGCACAAATAAGGTGACACACAGAGGGAAGAGCTCATTTTTTGGCTCAGTCAAAGGGATCAACTTTCTTTTCATGAGATGTCTTGGCTGTCTCTTTCTCGAGACAACTTTTACCCATATAAACGGTATAAGGTCAAAGGTTTGAATCCTTTTAGGATTTTTTGGGTTGTTTTTCTTTCTCCACTCTCTTGTGACATGTTCCTCATGATAATTCTCATTCATTTTTAGCTCAAAATTTATCACTGTACATTTACTTTTTGTCCAGACATCATCCATGTGACACCGGCTAAGGACCGTTTGAGACCCCACACGCTGGAAATGCTCCTGACTCTACCACCCAACTCTGTGACAGAACTTAGTATACAGTTCCATAAAGGATTTCTGAAGTGGACAGAACACCCCCCTGATGCCCATCATGGCTTCTATATCAGGTATAAACAGTATGGGATTTTGACCTTTAACAGTGCGACTACAGTTACAAGGTTAACAAAATTGACCAATCAGATTAGATTTCTGAAGTGGACAGAGTACCCCTCCCCTGATGCCATCATGGCTTCTATATCGAGTATAAGCAGTGTTGTATTTTGACTTTTTACGGTGCAACGACTGTTATAAGGACAGCTAACCAAGCAGATTACAGGAAAATTTCTTGAACTTTCCTCATGCTATATAGCCTGTACAATGACGTTGTTTAATATTTCTTTTCGTTCTTTTCGACAATCGGCGAGCGCCAGAAATTTTCTTCTTCCCCCACCCCTACCCACTTGCGCTGGCGGTCAATAAATCCCCGCGATTTTTAATTTTTAACAGCGTGCTCGACGGACTTTCAAGAGAAAATAGAGGGTCTGTGAACAGGCTACATGCTATAGAATAATCAACCGAACAGCCATGTAAAAGAGTCCACATAAATTTTGTCTAATCGCTCATGTCAGTTTATTAGTTCAACTTAACAAAAATAAAAACTATGGGAAAAAAAAAACAATAACATTGCGACTGAGATCCGATGGTCATCTTTCCGTTATTTAAGTTTTATTGTTGTTTGCCTGTTAGTAGTTGCTAAGTACAGTGATTACGGACATTTTCATCCACTTATATTCCAAACGCCTCCTTTTTCTTTCAGTTCAGCTGTGATTTCCACAAAACTTCGCAGCCCGCTGAATTACACTGGTCCCTCACGTCAATCATCCCTTCTGTTTCCAAGGTAACTGAACACTTAAAAACTTAAGACTTCCACGGATGAAGGTCTCTTTAATCCGGTAATTAAAATGTATTTAAAAAGGTAAATCTTTAATGCCCTGCGTTAATGTCAGTATAACTTTCTGGGCCCATAAAGGTTTTGAGACGTTTGAGAAACCTCATCTACAAAGAAATCAAGAAGACGCATCTTCTAGTCTCTGTGTTTAAGAGGCTCTGTGTAAGCAGCGCTATTGAATCTGAAAAATTACTTTTGAAAGAAAAATCACAGCTTCGTTTTAAAAAAAAAATGTCTCCCAAGCATTATATCAGTGTTACCTAGTGAAACTTAATAATAAATAATATCAACTTGCCTAGTGAAATTATGAATATATGAGTTTACGTCGTTCACGGGTTTATAACGAACCGATTCAACGACCTGCTCCCAGTTAGCTTGTTAGCTTAATTGGTAGAGCGCTGCACCCGTATCGCAGAGGTCAAGGGTTCCAATCCCGTACAAGCCTGAATTTTTTTCACGCCCTGAATTTTTTTCAGGTTTTCTTTTCGCAACTGCATAAGTTGCGTATATAACTGCGATGATCTCGTCTGTTTGCACGGGGCTTAAGGATTCATACATGAGTAGTGAGTCCGTTACATTTATAAGTATTTCGGATGTCTAAGGTTCATTTTCTGCTCCGTATGCCTTCTTTATCAGTGACCGGCTAACATTCTCTCGTATTAAACTCTACAAAAACATTCGATGTAATTTTCTGTAATATCTTTTCAGCATTGAAGCTGCACCAGAAGATGAGGTGTTTCTTCGTCTCCACACCGAAATTCTACTCATCACCCTCCCCACCCCTGATTTTAGTATGCCGTACAATGTAATCTGTCTCGCTTGCACTGTTGTGGCAATTGCCTTTGGCTCTTTCCACAATCTCTCCTCGCGGAGATTTGAAGCTGTGGACTCAACGAAAAGTACTGGCCCGATTGGGAAGATAAAGGCTGCATTGTCTAAATTGAAAAGCAAGATATTTGGGAAAAAGGAAGAAGCCGTTTCTGAAGAAAAGAAAGAGAATTGAAAAAAGGTGCATCATTAAACTTTATTAAACAATCAGAACGCCATTAAATTATGTGCCAAGCTCAGTAAAAACATTCATCCATTGTCATGCACGTGTAAACTTTTAGCCCGTGCAAAGGATGGCAAACATGGACGCCGTGGCAGCTCATGCAAAGCGCGGGAAAATACTCCAGCGTTACCAAACGGAGAATGTCATTGGCTGATAAAGTCCGCTCGTTTGTTGTGATTGGATGGAAGTCTGACTTGGTTACAGCATGACTTGACAAATCGTAGTTTTTGGAGTCTTTAACGGAGGTATTCGTACAGAAAAGTGGAGAGCTTAACGTCATTACTGAAAAAATCTCCGCTCTTTATAAACAGACAGGGGCCGAAAGTGATACTTGGCTCGTACTTATCGGATAGGCCTTATGTTTATCCAAAAACCGCCATGTCTGTACTGTGTTTTTGTTGGAGTGATTCTGCGTTCCTTGTTTGTACTGTTTAAGGAGTCAAGTACCAGGATCCTAACATGACGGCCAGCAGTCAAGATCGGTCAGGAGCAGCACTTCAGAGGAGTCGTATCTGCATCGGCAGTCTGCACATGAAACAAAATGTCTGTTAGACGTGGTTTTGCGACTTGCGATTAGTGATACCAAGTTATACAAAAATCGAGTGGAGGCTAAAAAGGCCCTTTGGACGAAAACAAAATTATTAAATACAGCTAGATAAATTAAAATCACTTTCAAGTAAATCTAAATGACTCATTAATTGCAGTTTACTCAGATTTCTTGCTCATCCTGATTCAATAAAACTAATTCCCTTTTCGTTAAAAGGGAGGGGGAGGGGAGGGGAGGAGGGAGGGGAGGTACAATTTTCTAAGAGGCTTGATTTGGGGGGCTCAATTTTTGAAAATGCACAAAATGTGAAGTAAGCAGAGCTTCTCAAGTAAGCAAAGCATCTCAAGCAAGCAAAGCATCTCAAGTAAGCAAAGTACCTCAAGCAAGCAAAGCATCTCAAGTAAGCAAATTACCTCAAGCAAACAAAGCATATTCAAGTAAGCAAAGCATCTCAAGTAAGTAAAGCATCTCAAGTAAGCAGAGCACCTCAAGCAAGCAAAGCATATCAAGTAAGCTAAGCATCTCAAGTAAGCAGAGTACATCAAGTAAGCAAAGCATCTTAAGTAAGAAAATACACCTAAAGTAAAGTAGGGAAAGATTTGTTTGGAACACCAATATGGCCGCCGTGACGTAATGTGGATATTCGCTAACTGGTCCCAGCTCCTTTGAAGGGTGATCGCGCGATCGAGCAAAATCAAGCGAAGTTATAAACGAAAATGAAATGACCAGCTGGGGGAAGAGTTTGTACCAGCCGGGCCTGATGAATGTGATCACATAAATCCGCTCCACTATTCTTGTGACCCCATTAACTAATAACCCCATGTTATGATCAATGACCTCCTCAATATTGTGTTTTTCGCGGCATTTTCGTTGAACGCGAGCTTTTTATGTGTCAGTGTGATAGAAGTGATTTGTTAACTGGTAATTTTAATCAAAAGCTTTCGTCAACTTGCGGCGCTTTTCCAATGGATGATTTTTTTTGTCTACCTAAAAGTTTTTAAAGTTTGTATTTTTGCTTTTTGGCACTTTTAATTTTAGTCGTGACGAGCGGGTGCAAAACAGGCTACTGTACTCTTCGCATATTCATCAGTTTTGTCAACCTCATAGTGGTGATCAACATCACTAAGCAATCAAATGTTAGGAGTCAAAATGGTTCTTGTGCTAGCAATTTTTTAACACTAGTTTTCCTCAACTTTCTTCGCCCTTATTGTCTACTAAGAAGTTTGGAAAGTTTGTATTTTTCTCTCCTGGTACTTTTAAATTTATTCAGGGGCTAACTTGAGGTAATTCACACGACAATAGGCCTTTTTCAAAAATACCATATTACGCTTTGTTGTCTCTCCAAAATTTTGCATTAGCATTGTTTTCAATTTCTCTTGGGGCGAAAGGCCTATTGTCTACTCATTCACTAGCCAATTTTGTCATCAATTTGTCAAGTTTTAATCAAGACGGCGTTTGTTTTTCTGAATGCGTCCAATTCAAGCGTTAATTGTTCATTGATGAACCGAGTACGTGCTTTTCTCAATGTATTGTCAAGTCCCATGCTTATCCACTAGTACTGTTTTCAACCAAGAGCTACGTCATGTAATTGAGTCGGCAAACGTTTCTCATTGAATGTGACCAATCTATGCTTTGATTACCCATTGTTGAACATAGAATGCGTGCTTTTCTCACACACAGTTTCAAGAAAAGATTTATCAGAAACATTTCTCACACTGGTTTGAATTTTAATCGAGCGACCGTATAAATGGAGAAACCAATTTCAAGTCGATTTAACTGTGTTTAAAGCCAGCGACCTCTGTACCTTGCTTTACCTACGGTGTAGTGAAGACCAAACTCAGCTAGGCGATCTCTGGTTTTGAGTGAAAGTCAAGATTCTCTTTTGCCTCCTCGAAAACAGCAGGTTTGTTCTTAGTTCAACTTAACTTTTGGTTACACTATCGTTTACTTATTCCTGCAAAAAGTTGTAAGTCAATTTAAAGAAACGGTGATAAGCGTCCAAATTGCTTTAACGGTTCTCACTGGTTATTTTTGCTGCAGAAAGAAGTTAATCTTTTAGACTTTACATAACGGATTTTCTGTCATAATTCTTTCCTCTGTGTGTTGTTGTCGCCCGACGTTACTTGCGAACACGCATGGTCCCTTTGTTATGTTAGTTCGATGAATGTTGAATAGGAGGGACAAAAATGTAATAAACGTTTAGATGTAGTCAACAAGATAAACGCGAGTTGCAATTGTTAGGGTCAAATAGGCCTATTTTGTTGATGTCTATGTAGCTGAATTTTTCTCTTTGATTAAAGAAGTGTTTACTTCTGTAGACAACACTTATAAAATACTTCAAACGTTGGACAGTTTTCCATTACTCTGACTCAGACTATATGATTTTATATTTGATTAACCGCGACCTTATATGCTTTTATACCGCACAAACGCGATGTTAACAAACCAACTGTTGGAAATTTTGGCGTAGAGTGCTTAGCTTGCACCGGGAGAGAATTAAAATGCTTCCCGCACGGGTTCAGCCTAACATAAGATAATAGTCGACAGAAGGGCAAGACAGGTGTAAATAAAACTTAAGGTAACGAGAATCCAGTTAAACAAGAAAATAAGGTTAATCCAGAGTGCAATTCTTAATACGTTGGTACAGTAGTATTTACAACAACAAATAACGCTTTCCATTTTTTAATAGGTACTGCCTGACCATAAAGAAAAGAAGAACAAACTGCCTTTCAGGAAAGCCTTCAAAATAACAATAAAAGCACTGCCACCTTCCTTAACAAGGATATGCAGCCAACTCATTTGTGTGTCTCTCATTTATTCGGTATATACCAAACCTATGGTAAGTTCATTTTTTGCACAACAGAGTGGGTTAGTCGGGTTCTTCATGCAATTTTCCATTGTTTTAAACAGGTTATTATTTCACATAAATTATAATAACAGGTCGTTGGGGTGGAACAGAAGATCATTATTAAAAATAATAACCTACTGTTTCAATTCAGTGACCATGATAATAACCTGCTGGTTTTAAAACTATGGAAAAGTAAGCGCTCGGTCATTATTTCTAATAAGCTCTCGAGGCTGAGCGATTAAGTTATATTCCTACGCATGCTGCATCTTTCTTTCCAATAACTTTGATGTGAGTTTTTTTATCTCTCTTACAATTTGGGTTTGGTATATACACCAAGACAACTGTATGTTGTATGTAGTTATAAATTAAACCTCTTCAGGCCTGACACTGAAAAATTTCAAAATCTAAAAGAAGTTTACGCTTTTGAATTTAGTAAAGAAAAGTAAGTTTCGTAAACAAAACGAAAACTTACCAAGAGCTAAATTGCTCAGCGTGAACCAACAACAAAACAGGTGAAAAGAAGACGGAAATGTATAACAAAAACACATCCGGGCTATTACAACTAAAACGTACTCAAAAGACCGCCGGAAACCAACTATCCAAAAAAAACACAACAAAGCACAAAAGGTAGGTAAAAAAAGGTAAGTAAAAAGGTAAGTTAAATATAATGTTTTCTTTTGAGAGCCCTGGGGACGAAGTGCTCCGCCCAAGGGGGGAGAGCCCTGGGGACGAAGTGCTCCGCCCAAGGGGGGAGAGCCCTGGGGACGAAGTGCTCCGCCCAAGGGGGGAGAGCCCTGGGGACGAAGTGCTCCGCCCAAGGGGGGAGAGCCCTGGGGACGAAGTGCTCCGCCCAAGGGGAGAGCCCTGGGGACGAAGTGCTCCGCCCAGGGGGGAGAGCCCTGGGGACGAAGTGCTCCGCCCAAGGGGGGAGAGCCCTGGGGACGAAGTGCTCCGCCCAAGGGGGGAGAGCCCTGGGGACGAAGTGCTCCGCCCAAGGGGGGAGAGCCCTGGGGACGAAGTGCTCCGCCCAAGGGGGGAGAGCCCTGGGGACGAAGTGCTCCGCCCAAGGGGGGAGAGCCCTGGGGACGAAGTGCTCCGCCCAAGGGGGGAGAGCCCTGGGGACGAAGTGCTCCGCCCAAGGGGAGAGCCCTGGGGACGAAGTGCTCCGCCCAAGGGGGAGAGCCCTGGGGACGAAGTGCTCCGCCCAAGGGGAGAGCCCTGGGGACGAAGTGCTCCGCCCAAGGGGAGAGCCCTGGGGACAGAAGTGCTCCGCCCAAGGGGGAGAGCCCTGGGGACGAAGTGCTCCGCCCAAGGGGGAGAGCCCTGGGGACGAAGTGCTCCGCCCAAGGGGAGAGCCCTGGGGACGAAGTGCTCCGCCCAAGGGGGAGAGCCCTGGGGACAAGTGCTCCGCCCAAGGGGAGAGCCCTGGGGACGAAGTGCTCCGCCCAAGGGGAGAGCCCTGGGGACGAAGTGCTCCGCCCAAGGGGAGAGCCCCCTGGGGACGAAGTGCTCCCGCCCAAGGGGGAGAGCCCTGGGGACGAAGTGCTCCGCCCAAGGGGGAGAGCCCTGGGGACGAAGTGCTCCGCCCAAGGGGGGGAGAGCCCTGGGGACAAGTGCTCCGCCCAAGGGGAGAGCCCTGGGGACGAAGTGCTCCGCCCAAGGGGAGAGCCCTGGGGACGAAGTGCTCCGCCCCCAAGGGGAGAGCCCTGGGGACGAAGTGCTCCGCCCAAGGGGGGAGAGCCCTGGGGACGAAGTGCTCCGCCCAAGGGGAGAGCCCTGGGGACGAAGTGCTCCGCCCAAGGGGGGAGAGCCCTGGGGACGAAGTGCTCCGCCCAAGGGGGGAGAGCCCTGGGGACGAAGTGCTCCGCCCAAGGGGGGAGAGCCCTGGGGACGAAGTGCTCCGCCCAAGGGGGGAGAGCCCTGGGGACGAAGTGCTCCGAGCTGCAGCGCCCTTTATCGTCTTCTTCTATGAAATAGCCGGCCTTGCAGCTCCTTGTGGCAACAGTGGAGAAAGTGGAGACAGTGATGCCTTTATCGTGTCAGACCGCGTTCTAGCGTAGTTTCATTACGGGTGCTAACTTAGTTAGAAGGTGTTGAAACGCTTTTAAGATGTAATAATGGTTGCGGCAACGAATATCGTCCTGATATGATTGACAGGGCGTTGCTCCGTCCTGGGAGAATAGACAGAATCATTTATGTTCCACTTCCGGATAAAGAAGCTAGAAAAGATATTTTTAAAATTTATCTTGCCAAAACTCCTCTCCCAAACGATGTAGTGTTGCAAGATCTTGCAGAAAGGACAGAAATATTTTCAGGAGCTGAAATTCTTTTTTGTGTCGCGAAGCAACGTTAGCTGCGCTACAAGAAAACATTGAGTCGTGTGAATTACACAGGCGACAGTTCAATTTAGCTTTTATTGCAGTGAAACCTAGAACTTCCCGAGAGTTGATTGAACTTTACAAAAGATACGAGAATGAAAGTGGTATTCGTTCTATTTAATATATATTTTTTTTATAAAGTGCTTTTTTATTGTGGATGTGGCGTACTAACGGCAACAATAGCCTGCGCATCCTAGTCCGTTCCTAACAGCCGATTCTATTCAAGGAAATGATACTCCTTTTATTTCATATTACATATGGGTGTTCTAGAAATATCCGAAGTCTTTTATTTTTGGGCGTGTCTAGTTTTTGCAGGCGTTTATGACGTCACGTCTACATTTGCAAGTTCCAATAATCCTTTTGCAATAGTAAGTAATGTGAGCAACTTTCTGTAAACACGAAAAGAATTGTTTTTGGAAAAATGATTTTAGCAGGAACGGAAAGAGAAACAAAGTCATACTTTTGACAACTTTTGAACTAGTAACTTAGTTGCTTAATTACTTTCAGAGTTTCAAAGTTTTAAATGTCTTGAACAACTTGCCGTAGTAGGCTCTTTTCAAGTAATTCCTTGCTGTTACTTTGGCTTTTGCTTTGGCTTCAGTTTCATTTCACTTCCAAGGAGATTCCACGCATAGTAAGTGTTTCCTCTATAGTTGTTATTCAGGCTTGAACCAGTGTAACAACTACTGTACCACCAGGCTCCTCTAAAATTCACCGCACATTTGTAACTTCTCTTTTTGTCACTATCACGGTCCTTAGTAGTAAAAGCCTGGAACTATGATAAGTAAGCTCGTCAGTTGCTGTACCAGAATAAAACCCAATGAACAGTGTGTAGTTAGATGCTTCATTAGTGACCGTGAAATTGCTATAACTGGTGTATCTATACCCAGCGAACGTAGTGTTGATCTCTACACACAAGTAGCTAGGAATTTCCGTCAGTTGATGAGTCTTTTCCTTCCCAAGCCAAAACTCTCCTCTGAGGTCACCAAAGCCATTTTTGTTTTTGTTTTTGTTTTGTTTTTTTTTTGCTAAATTTTTTTATTGAATTTAAGACGAGTTTTACAATGTTACTTAAGAATAAACATTAATTAAATGAATATACAATTCTACTTAAAAAAAAAAAGATAAAGGATAACAATAACAACGAAATTATATGTATATATTACAACAACCACGATAACAATAAAGATGCCTACTAATTTTAACGAACCTACGTGTATCAACTACTACAAAGTACATAAGTTAGCTTCTCCCACTTTTGATAATGAAAAAGAAGTTTATTTTTCTCCCTGGCGATATGGAGCGCAATATTGAAGACACGTCTTGCCATAGCAATAAAACCTCTAATTGAAGTTACGCTATTATGACATCTCCTACAGTAGATATAGTATTTAGCTAATAACAAAATATGATTTATTAGAATATAGTCGTCTACAATATCAAATTTTCCAAATATCACATCAGACTCATTAATTGTCTCAACATGAACATCATTATCTCTTAGCCAGGACAAGACATGCTTCCAAAACTCAGAAGATATCCTGCAGGAGAAGAGTAAATGCTCGACAGATTCCGCTGCTTCTTGACAGAAAGTGCAGTTTGGCGATTCCACTACACCAATTAAATTAAGTTTCACGTTTGTAAAGAGTCTACAATTTAAAATTTTGTAATGAAATTCCCTGATCTTTGTGTCCAAAGTGCAATGAAAGGCCAAAGCGTAAGCCTTTTCCTCATCAATATCTATATTTGAGTACTTGTTTGATAATTTCTGTTTTGCGGTGGGCGCAATTTGCTTTTGCTGCAGAAAGATTTGATAGATCTGTTTAGGAGAGATATCAAGGATTGGCACTACATTACCACTCGGCAACTTAATAGTTGGGGTAATCGGTATGGGATTAGCTGATGTTACGTTTGTAGATGCTTTAATAAGAAGCCATTTTTGTACTCCTTCCACCCCCTGTAGAATCCGACAAACCCATTAAACCGTTTGTGAAACTGTTGTGACTGTCCATCCACCGCCATCAGTCTTCATGTCACAGAACACCTCAAAACTGGATTTGTTTGTTGGGTTTACCGTGTAAACGCCACTTTCTTTGAAGCCGACTGAAAATAACTAGGTACAGTCCCGTGCTGCAAAAGAAAAATTCATTGAGACAGAAAGAAAAAAAGGAAGAAAATATTTCCTTTTCACTGACCCGTTCTTTTTCCAAAACGAATCTGTCTGTTTTTGGGATCACACCTAGCCTAAAACGATGTAAAATTAATTAAATGTGGAATAAACACCTTAAACCCATCTGTGAGAACCTGATGATTACTTCCAGTTTGGCATTCAAACCCAATAGCGTCATTGAAAGCGAGGCTGTTTTTGGAAAATCATAAAGCAAGTGTGTTTTCTTTAGAATGTGTTCTGAATGGTAACAACACATTCTAAGAAATGCACACCTTTTTTCGAGTAGACATCACATGTATGAGAAAGAAAAATTCGAGGTTTTACTCTGGTAAACTGAACAATTTCTTATCAGTGTTTAACGGAAAGCAATCCTTATGATATTGTGGAATCGCGTTTAAAAAAGAAACGACTGTTTAACATCTGTAATGATATTGATGAGGTGACGTCCATTTATGTCATTATCGGGGGGACATGAGTACACTTTTATAAGGGCCTCTAACGGTAAATGATTTCTCACCAGTTTTGACTATAACTTTTACTTCAGTCTCCACGTGAACTAACTCGCTCTGAGCTCTACAGGTGTAGGGGTCACTGTCTTCAGCCGTCAAGCTGTTTATCTTTAGTTGTCCACTCTCCATCAGTTGTGTCCGCCCTTCTGTAATGTGTCCTTTGCAACGTGACCACGTGATAATCGGTACTGGGTGTCCATCTGCAGAGCAGTTTAACTTGACCGACTGTCCAAGATAACGCTCTATCTTTTTGGGTGGCCTGACAGTAAACTGCGGCACTTTATTGATGATTAAAGGTATCATAGCGTTCGAAGTGCCCATGCTTGACATTTGTAGCGGAGCACAGTGTATGTTCCTGCATCCTTCTTCTTGGCTTTTACTATGGTCAATGTTTGTCCTTCGACAACAGCTGTTTCAGTGAGAATTTGGTCAAAACGTTTTGTCCAGGATATTGCTGGAGGTGGATATCCAATAACCTGGCATTTAGGTAGCTTGACAGTTTTGCCGCTCTCAGCAAACTAGTTGGTCCGGTGATGAGGGAGACGTCTGGACGAGCTGCAACAAGACAAAACAAAACAGTGAGAACAACTGATGTTTACAAAGAGAGAATAACGTGCGACCACTTTCAGGGTCTACTTCTTTTAAACAACCTGTCCAATCGGCGAAGTCAGAACATTCCAGTTCTGAATTGGTCCTGAATGTTTCCATGCTTTTTGTTTTGCTACGTAAAAATGCCCTATTGTGGCATTTTCAACCCAATTTGGGCTGATTTGTTTTATGTTGGTAGGTAGGTATAAACTCTTAAACGAACTGTTGAAATGAAAAAAAACTATAACCCCTGCATCTACTTTAACAGATCGCGAAGGTGACGTAGAGCGTACACGGGCAAGTTGTCAGTCAATCGTAAGATTTCACTATTGATGATTTGTCACACTTCACTCATCAATCTGACTTCAACGTCTTCAGCCGCGCTTGTGCACTCTGACTTCAAACGGCTTTGTAAAATTTTGATCTTGTTTTAATGAACGTTGAACAGTTCAGGATTAAATCTTCAGATGACTGAAAAAGAAGCTATACCGTAAAGCCTTATGATACAGCGCAATAAAACTTGATTACTTTGGCTACTTTATAGCACTCGCTAGAAAAACGCAAGGCAGCGCGTATGTTGCAAGGTTTGGATGATTGCAGGTATCAAATTTAATCAAGGCTACTCTAATTGGCCATCCTTGGATAGATCGGGCCTCCATTCGGGATGAGGCACTTTCATTAAGGAGCCAGTGACCACTTTGCGATGGTATTTCTTTTATTAACGAAGGACGCTTTATGTCAATGATAAGCTCAATTAAGTCAATTTTTTCTATTCATAGCAGCCCCCCCGCTCCTCCCCCGCTGATCAAGCGGTATCGCCCTATAACACAAAAAGAGTTAGTTTAGTTGAAGATTTGACATGTTACGCGTGGAGGAACGAAGCCCAGTGATCGTTGCAAACTTCTGCCCGGTTCAAACATCGCATTAAACTTACGCTGAATCTGATGCAAAATTCAATGGGGTAAAAAAAAACTATTCCATCTATGGGCATCGGATTTTGTTTCAGTGGAGGGGCTGGCTCTGGCTGCCCCAGGATCTCGTCAGCCACTCTCTGTAGGTAAGCCATATATGCAGTACGTAACAGCCGTAGACATTTGTTTGCGTAAAAAGGCAGGGGTACTTTTCATCAGGTCCGTACAGGTATAGTCTTGCTCCAACTTTTCGTCATGTCTTTAGATCTGTCGTCCGAAGCTATCACTTGGACTGGTGCAGAACAATACTGTTTGGAAGTCATGAAGCGCCTTGATATTCAACGAAGAAGTGAAGAATTTTGCGATGTGATTCTAAACGTTGGTTGCGGTATGTCGTAAATCGCGTGTTTACATATGTAATCAAACCTCATATCGCATATAGAATTTGATTGTTAAGTGACCGGAAAGAGATAGGCATCGAATCTGCCAAATCAAAGGAAACATAAAACGAATCGCTTTATCTTTCGTTGAAAAATTATCAGGAGTTGTGTTGTAATAAAACCGGGGATGCTGTGAGTGAAGAATATATGTTTAAAACCTTACATCGTGAGTGAGTGATTTAGGACCGTTTAGCGCGAGTTTATCGGGACAACAGTGTGTTGCAAGCAAATATCCCATTCCCAACACAAAGTGGCACCTCCGACGGGACTGAACAGAGGGAAAACAAACAGATCTGACGCCGGGATTTTACAATGGAGAAACTTACCACGGATCTAGACACACAACTACAATTGCTCAACTTCACAAGGGATAAGAGTGAAGGAATCACCGCAAAGGGAAATGTGGAAGCTGTGGACCGCCAACTTCAGTCCTTGAGATCTATCGTAACGAAGGTGGAAGATTTTAAGCTTCAAATCGAGCAAGCGAAAATCGCGAACGGAGAGAAACTTGAAGACGTGTCAGAATGGAGCCTCACAGTTGAAGCCGCCCAAACATCTGCTGATGAGAACATCGCGTACTTGCGGAAATGGTTAACAGAATACAAGCAAAGAGAACGCCTTTCGGAAAATGAGGGTCAACAAGCCTTTCTGGAGCAGTCAAGAAAGGATCAGCTTGAGTTTGAACGAACGCAACTGGAGATGAGGCTGGCATATGAGAAGAAGATCGAGGAGACAAAAGCAAACCATTCGAAGACCACGGAGCCGACCTCAAATCAAGCAGCGAAGACCGCCAAACTTCCTAAGCTCGTCATTACAAAGTTTAGAGGTGAACTAACGGATTGGCCACGGTTCTGGAGTCAATTTGAAACCGAGATTGACAAGGCAGAAATAGCTGGCGTGACAAAGTACTCATACCTAAAGGAACTCGTAGACCCGAAGATACGAGCGGAAATAGACGGCTTGCCCTTCTCAGTAGAGGGATACGAGCGTGCGAAGAACATCCTGGCAAGGAAGTATGGACAAACAAGCGAGGTCGTGAACGCGTACGTGGAAAACATCATGTCTTTGCCTACAATTGGAGGAACACAGCCAGCCAGAATCCATGATTTCTACGAGAAGCTTTTTTCAATGTGCAATCATTGGAAACAATGGGAAAACTGCGAGAGGTGAATGGATACGTGCGGATGACTATTGACAAGCTGCCGGGGATAAGAGGGGATCTTGTGCGAACAGACGATTCTTGGCGAGAGTGGAATTTTCCAAGGTTAGTGGATGAGCTTCGAAAATGGACAGAAAGAAACCCGATCCAATCCAAGCAAAGCGATAAGCCCTGGCGTGTCGACAAACCCTGGCGTGACAAGAATTTCCAAGTCCAACAGCAGAGATGGCAAAAATCGGGGATGCGTTTATTGCGAAAGCCAAGATCACAGATCGGTCGACTGCAAAACGGTAGCCAGCCTCGACGATCGCAAAAGGATGCTTAGCAACAAACGCCTTTGTTTCAATTGCACCGGAGGCAAACACAGGGCTGAAGATTGCAAAAGCCGTTCCATGTGCCAGATTTGTAAGAGAAGGCATCACACGTCCATCTGCAACAGCGTCAGTAACCAGTTAATGACAGCGACTTCAACGCAAAGACCAACTGTGATCTATCCAGTCGTCGTAGTGGAAGTGATGGGAGTTAAGTGTCGTGCGTTACTAGACACCGGCGCCGGAAGTTCCTACGCTTCAGCAGCGTTACTTGATCACATAAAGATTCGCCCTCATCAACGAGAAGTACGACAGATCGAAATGATGATGGGAGTAGTCACTAAGCCGGTGGAAATCTTCAAAGTGCAAATAAGTTCACTGCAGAGCGATTTCATCCTTGAAACGGACGTGACTAAGGTGAATAAGGCACAGCTTTTATCCCTGGAAAACCCTCGCTACCAGCAAGTCCTGGAAAGGTACGACCACTTGAAGGGAGTGAAGATGGACGATATGGACCCAAAGGATTACCTTCCGGTGCACCTTATCTTGGGAGTGTGTGACTATACTAAGATCAAGACTGTAACAGCACCTCTTATTGGAGCCGCAAACGAGCCTATTGCCGAGAAAACTAAGTTCGGATGGACCATTATTTCACCGGGCAAAGAAGTGGATCTGTCTCCCATGTTCCTGACGCAGACATCAACGGTAGATTACGACAACTTGTGCAGACTGGACGTGCTTGGACTGGCAGATTGTGCAACTGGTGACCAAGACGAGGTGTATTCAGAGTTCAAAGAGCAACTAAGACGAGATGATGAGGGTTGGTACGAAACTAGCCTACCATGGAAAGGGAACCACGCACCTTTACCAACCAACGAAGCAGGAAGTCTTCGCAGATTAACAGGCCTCGTAAAGAAGCTGCGTGGCCAAGGAATGATAGAACGTTACGATCAAGTAATCCAAGACCAAATCAAGACCGGGATAGTCGAGAGAGTTAGCACACCCGCAACTGGGCAGCACGAATTCTACATTCCTCACAAGGCAGTGGTACGCGACACAGCAGAAACCACTAAGCTTCGAGTGGTCTATGACGCGTCAGCACGGGCCTACTCTGGTGCACCCTCGTTAAATGAGTGTCTGAATCCTGGACCACCTCTTCAAAACAAACTCTGGAGTGTCCTAGTTCGTTCTCGATTTCATCCAATAGCAGTCGCAGGAGACATTAAGCAAGCTTTCCTTCAAGTACGAATCAAGAGCCAGACCGTGATGCGCTGCGATTTCATTGGTTAAAGGACCCAAGCAGTCAAACAGTGGAGACGTTGAGGTTTACAAGAGCCCTCTTCGGTCTCACATCATCGCCATTCCTCCTGGGAGGCGTGATCCAGCACCTGTTGGAGAGTTGCAGACAAGACCACCCGGACATTGTCAGCGAGATAGAACGCAGCTTATACGTCGACGACCTCATCAGTGGTGGCCCTACCTGTGAAAAGGCAAAGGAAATCAAATCAGCTTCTCAGGAAGTATTCGCCAAGGGCACCTTCGAGTTGCATAAATGGCATTCGAATGTGAGAGAGTTGGAATCGGCCGCCTCTGAACCAGCCGCTTCTGAACCAGTCTCGATTGAGGAAGAAACGTATGCAAAGGAGCAGTTAAACGTCCCCAGAAGAGAAGGAGCTACCCTGCTTGGTTTGCCATGGGACAAAGCAAACGATACCATCGGAGTAAGTTTTCCACAAGAAAAGGCTGATCCCAGCAAGCGGGGAATCTTAAGCAAAGTGGCACGGATCTATGACCCACTGGGATTGGCCTCTCCTATCTCATTAGGCGGTAAGCTCCTCTACCGTGACGTGTGTGATGCCAAGCTAAACTGGGATTCAAAGCTACCAGGCGATATGATGCAGAGTTGGATACGATGGGAGAAGCGACTTCCCGAGCAGCTTACAGTTCCGAGATCTTTAGCAGCCCATCAAGAGGACATTCAGTCAATAGAGTTGCACGCATTTGGTGATGCCAGTGGGAAGGGCGTGGCCGCGGCTGTGTATGCTGTAGTCAATCAAGAGTCGGGCTCAAATCAAGGGCTCGTGGCAGCGAGAGCGAGACTCTCAAAAGGGGACTGACGATCCCTCGGCTAGAGTTGGTGTCCGGACATATGGCAGTGAATCTCTTGGTAAACGTGGCCTCCGCCCTGGACGGATTTCCCTTACCGAAAAGTACTGCTGGCTCGATAGCACCGTTGCCCTGCACTGGATCAGATCCCCAGGCACATATAAGCAGTTTGTGAGTAACAGAGTCGAGAAAATACAAGCACATTCAGGCGTGACTTGGCGGCACGTAGGGACCTTGGAGAACCCTGCTGACCTTGGAAGCCGTGGTGGAGAAGTGAAAACCATCCCTCTTGGAGCAACGGGCCGAAGTGGTTGAAGAACAAAGCGATCTGGCCTCCAGACATTGTGACTAAGGCATCAGAGGAATCAATGGCAGAAGTGAAAGCAACAAGAGATGTTTTTGCTGTGGCGATAGCAACTACAGATGAGCTAGACAACCTTCTTGAGAAGTTTACCTACTGGAGGACAATGAGAATCTGTGCGTGGATAATGCGGTTCGTTCACAACGCTCGTTCAGAGAAGATACAAAGACACGAAGGACCGCTGACAACTGAAGAAACTAACAAAGCGACAATCTTCTGGGTGAAAAGAGTCCAGACCAGAGCCACAGCAGACAAGCATTACGAAAGAAGATCGGTTGCAACTGAATCTGCAACCTAACCAAGACGGCGTGTTAGAATGTCGAGGCCGAATACAAGGGCATTATCCGGTGTATTTGCCCGAGAGTCAGCGCTTCACAGAGAAGCTCGTAACACAAGTACACCTTTGGGACGCTCCACGGGGAGTCGTCAGTACCATGGCAAAGGTACGAGAGCTGTACTGGGTTCCGCGCCTTAGAAGATTGACAAAAGGAATCGTGAAGAGTTGCCACGGCTGTCGGCGGTTTCAAGCCCAAGCGTTCTCGTCCCCACCCCAAGGCGACCTGCCAAAGGATCGGACAGAAGGTTCTTCACCCTTTCAAGTTGTTGGAGTGGATTACGCGGGACCCATTAAGTATCGTATAAGCAAGAACAGAGAGGGCAAGGCGTACATCGTTCTGTACGCTTGCAGCCTGACCCGCGCCGTGTACCTCGAGCCGACCAAAACCTTGGAGACGGAAGAGTTTATCGGAACTCTCAAGCGTCTCATCGCCAGGAAAGGTCGCCCGGAGAAGATATACTCCGACAACGGGAAAACATTTGTGGGAGCAGCAAAATGGCTGAACAAGGTGATGAAGGATGAACGTCTACACGACTTCCTTGCCAAGATAAACGTGAAGTGGCAATTCAACTTGTCCAGAGCACCCTGGTGGGGTGGACAATTTGAGAGACTGGTGGGACTCGTGAAGCGAGTTTTCTACAAGACAGTGGGAAACGGAACGCTCACCTGGGACGAGCTACAAGACGTCCTGCTTGACGTCGAGGTGACACTCAACAACCGACCGTTGAGCTACCTAGAGGAAGACATTCAGCTACCCATCCTGACCCCGAGCACCTTCCTTTATGGTCAACCGAACATGCTTCCAGAGTTAGAACCTCATCACGTCCAGGAACACGACCTGCGGAAGAGAGCTAAATATTTGAGGAAGTGCAAGGATACACTATGGTCACGCTGGACAAGAGAGTACCTCCGCGGACTGAGAGAGAGACACCGGCTGAAGCACAAGGGAGACACGACCTATCCATCCAAGGGAGAAGTCGTCATCATCAAATCAGAAGAGAAGAATCGAGCACAGTGGAAGTTGGGAGTCGTAGAAGACCTAATCACCGGCCGTGATGGCGTGATTCGTGGGGCAAAGCTGAAAACTGGAAAGTCACGCCTGGAGCGCCCAATACAGCATCTGTACCCTCTAGAGCTGAGTTGTGACATGCCGATGCAGAACCCACCGGAGCCGCTGAATCCAATGGCGCCAATCTACAGGCCGCAAAGGGATGCCGCAGCAGCAGCCAGAGTTCGTATCCAGGATATGAACGAGGACGAACAATGAACTGAACAATGCATAAATTTAAGAACCCCAAGAACTATGAACATTACGAGTGAACTTTTATATTTTTTGAGCATTTCATGCCAGATGGCACATTGATTTTAAAACTCTAATATTTGTTATGTTATGATGCTGCTTGGTCAACAGACTGCAGTTCGAGACTCTTAAATTCAACGACTGATTTTCTATCTGTTGATTAAGTTCTGGACATTTGCTCTCTCGAAGCAAATGGGGGGAGGGTGTCGTAAATCGCGTGTTTACATATGTAATCAAACCTCATATCGCATATAGAATTTGATTGTTAAGTGACCGGAAAGAGATAGGCATCGAATCTGCCAAATCAAAGGAAACATAAAACGAATCGCTTTATCTTTCGTTGAAAAATTATCAGGAGTTGTGTTGTAATAAAACCGGGGATGCTGTGAGTGAAGAATATATGTTTAAAACCTTACATCGTGAGTGAGTGATTTAGGACCGTTTAGCGCGAGTTTATCGGGACAACAGTGTGTTGCAAGCAAATATCCCATTCCCAACAGGTATTCATCAAGCTCGCTTGAAAGCCCACAGAAATGTGTTATCTGCGGCAAGCCCCTTCTTTTACAACGCTCTTAACAGTGACATGAAAGAAAAAGAAGAAGGAGTTATCAGTTTAGAAGAAACGAGCAAAACTATAATGGATGGAGTTTTGAAGTATATGTACACAGGATATGTTGACGTGTCCGCAGAAAATGTTCCCGAATTGTTTGCTCAGGCAAACTATTTCATTCTTCCAAGTCTGACGTATTTTTTGAGCAATTTTATAATACAAACACTTTCCCTCTCCAACTGTGTAAAAGCTTATTATTTGGCCTGTAAGTACCAGTGTGAAAGGTTAATGAAAGAAACGCGTGGTTTTATCTTGTCAAATTTTGTTGCTGTCGCCAAAACCGAAGATTTCCTGAATTTGAGCTGTGAGCAGGTCGAGGAGTGGATTTCAAGCGACGAAGTAGTCGTGGATGTCGAAGAAAAGGTGTTCGAGGTAGTGTTAAGATGGGCTGAAAGAGATGAGAGTAGAAAACAGAATGATTTCCGAGATTTGTTTCGCCATCTTCGCTGTGGTTATGTATCGCGTGACTACTTATTCGAGGTCCTTCTTCCTCATCCTTTGGTGAGAGAAAATTCAGGCTGTTTGTCTTCAGTCTTCAACGCCATGAAATCTGCCTTGGATGGCACAGAAGAGTGTTTGTTTTTACAGGCACCAAGACAGTGCCTTAAATCCCATGAAGGTACAGTTGTTGCTTGCAGGGAAAACCGTGCTCTGTGTTACCTTCCCCCAACTCAAAAATGGTTTGAGTTACCCAAGATGAATTCATCATTTAGGTATCCTGAGCAGACTGAGCATGCGATTGGCGTGTGTCATGGAAGATTATACATAATCGGGAGGACAACCACAAGGGGTTATGGTTCCACGTCTTGCGTTGCCGAACGTTATGAGCCATCGCTCAACAAATGGTTTCAAGTTAATCCACCAGCAAACGTTGCTTCATTTTTTGCTGTTGCCACACTCCAGGGATTTATTTACATTCTGGGTGGAAAGGACAGCCAGAATACATCACGGGATTCTGTACAAAAATACAACCCTGACACTAATATGTGGCAGGAGGTCCTGCCACTTAGTAGCCCTAGAGCAAAAGTTTGTGCCATTGCTGATGGAAGTTAGTTATATGCTATTGGGGGCAGTGATTCCGCAAATCAGTACCTGGACATTAATTGTTGAGAGGTTTGATCCCAGAAGCAATACTTGGAATAAACTTCCATCAATGCATTCAAGGAGGGCAAGTGCAAGTGGTGCGGCAATCAAGAAAAAAGTGTTTGTATTTGGAGGGACCCAGCCAGAAGGAGTAGATGGCCATGCTTGTGAAATGTATGATCCCGATACTAAAGTTTGGAGTGCTTTTGCTAGTCAGGTTGCACCAAGGATCACAAGCGCTGTGAGTTTTAAAGGAAAAATTTACGTCTTTGGTACTTTTCGAGATGTAAATGGGCATGAAAATGCACAGGGGCTACAAGTTTATGATGCTGATCAAAATCACTGGGAATCATGCACCAATGTCCCAATTTTTAATACTTTTTTGCAAATTTCATGTCTTCGAATACCAATACATGTTTTGGCAAAATGCAACGCACTACTTTCCTAATATTTTGTATGGTGCTAAAGAAGTTTATGTAGCCCTTCGTGGGTAATAAGGTAAAACACTGCAAAGACAAAATAGCATGAAATAGGTTATTTTATTATATAAACACCAATGAAATACCAGGTGAGCTTTCGCACGAAAACTTGATATCTTCACGTGTGAAAATAACATGTTATCTTCATGTGTGAAAATATCACCGTTGCTATGGCTACATAATAGATCACGCACGCCTTTCACACCAAAAAACTATTAAAGTGAAATGGTTTGGTAGTTCATTGGTGTTTATATAATAAATAGAACATTACATGGCCGCTTGGAGATACGAAATTTCTCTTTGAGTGTTGATAAAATATTTCACTCGTTTGCTGCTCTCATTCATGAAATATTTTTCAACACTCGAAGAGAAATTTCGTATCTCCATGCGGCCATGTATAGTATCCTCTATTTCCTAGTTAGGACTCAATGTGAACTGAATCAGGGAGAAATTGAATGAAACTTTTAAAAGACAATGCAATTTGACACTGTTACTGTTGCTTTCTGACTAGTACAGTTGCTATCCTTGTAGATTAAACTTCATAAGTTTTATCAAATTGTAGCCTGAATTTCAGACGATTACTTTGAGTCGTTTTCTCCTCTCAGCAACGTCGTTACTGAGGGAGTAAAAACGACTCGAAGTAATCGTTAGAAATTCAGGCTAATTAAATTGACCCTTTATCACAGGTTCAATATTGTTAGTAATGATAACATAATATGCAGGTACAATTTTAGATTATCAACTTGTAAAACTGAGGGACAACAAAAAAATTTTGTATTTTATGGCAGCATTAGAGACCCGGGGGGGGGGGGGCACTTGGGTGTTTTTTGGATGGGTGTGTGCCGCCCGGGACTCCAAATTGGCATCCCGTTCTAAAAAACAATTCCCCTAAAACTGATACCCCATTCTAGAAATGGGCCAGTTTTTTATACCCCATTCTAGAATTCACCCTAAAACTGATACCCGATTCTAGAAATGGGCCGGTTTTTTATACTCCATTCTATAGGGTGCAACAAGAGTACAACAGTTTGCTTGGTAACACATTGAACTGTATTTTTAAAAAGCAATCTGTCCTTGAATGATTTCAAATGGCTCCTTACAAAACTGGAGCTTTTGTTCGTTCGAAATATTATACCCCGTTCTAGAAAACGCCTCTGAAATGGATACCCCGTTCTAAATCAGGAGCTTCAAAATCATGACCCCGTTGGGCAGCACATACCCATGTAGGTAATGTATGGGAGTCCCCCCCCCACCCCCCAGGATTAGAGACCTTCAGATTCGAGGATGAGGATGACTATGAGGACAACAATTAACTTAAATTTGTTTTTGCGTTTTCTTAAAAAATAGAAACCCTAGAAATCTTCATTGTACTTTTTTTCACAAGAAAAGTTAGTTGGTTCATGCGCACACACTACAAAGTGTTTAGAAAATCTTGTTCTCTTAGTCACCCTCATCTTACAATCCAAAGCTCTCTATTGTTTGACCTACAACTTGTGTTTTTGTTTGGGTTGTATAATTTGTTCTAAATAAAGTTAGGTAGTAGTAGATTGACAACATAAGAGATTTTTAATTTGGTTTTGAAACAAACATTCTTGTTATGTCTGACTTTTATCTCAATATTTCTAGTTTACCTTATAAGACTTAACTAGTACAAGGTAGTTAAGGATAATGATTGAGTTATGTGTCTGTGTGGAGTTTGAGTTGAGTTTGATTCAAGATTGAATTAAGTTTGAGTTACCGTTTCAGGCATTTCTTTAATTTAAATATGGAATGTGGATGCAAATATTATGCACAAATTATTAATTATTAATTATCAAAATATTATGCTCAAATTGGGTATATAGCATTATTTTCTCTTCTTAATGTGGCAAAGAAAGTGTGCTAATATTGATCTGTAGGAGATATGGAGAAAGGTCCGTAATTTGATCCCAGTCCACTTCATCACACCTTTTTGCTCAGACACGCTCGTTTCATCGCCCAACTGTTTATCCAACATGATCTTCATGGCTAAATCGCGCCTCTTCCCTCTCTTCCCAGTCCCCCGTCCTTTTCCCGCTGTCACAGTGATATGGATTGGGCATCCCCATTCCCAAACCCTACAGGTAGTGATGTATGGGCATCCCCTGTAACCCCAACCCTAACCCTAACCCTAACCCAAATCCCTAATCCCTAAGGTAATATGACAAGGGGATGCCCATATCACTTGCGTTTTGGAATAGGGATGCCCATATACCATATTACTTTAACACTGCCGTTCCCAATTTCTAAGGGAAAAAGCCCTGGGAACGAGGTTGAGAGGAATCCTGCCTCCCTTTAGCCCTTTTTCGATTGTGAAATTTGTTGCTTTAGAGAACTTACACTTTCCTCTCTTTCCTCTTGCGCCTCCCGTACCACTCCCTCTATTTTCCAGGGGTCCCAGCCCCCTGTCCTCCACTAGCACAATCCTTGTTGACACCTGCCTTTCAGACCACAGGCGGCCCAAGCTCATGTTATGAGGGAAGGGTGTAAAGTAATTTACATACCATACTAATTTATATACCAATTTACACACCATACTATAGTGCACTTTGTTCTATGAAAGGAGTAACAGTGGTTATGCAATAAAGCCAAAAAAAACAGTAAAACGACAAACAGACACCAGAACACATTGGAATACATTGCAGGTACCGTAAAATTCCGAAAATAAGCCTCGGGGCTTATATTTTTCAAAGACCCTTTTTGAGGGGCTTATATTTGGAGGAGCTTATATTGGGAGGGGCTTATCTACAGAGGGAAATTTGCGTTTCAAAATCGATTGGGCTAGCCTTATAGTTGGCAGTAAATTTACCGTTTTTGCTTTGTTTTACTTTGTATTTGAGGGCAATTTCCAAGTACAAGCCCCCGGGGGGCTTATATTTGGAGGGGCTGGTTAACGGAGGGTGTTTTGCGTTACCGGCTTGGGGGGCTTATATTTGGAGGGGCTTATACATGGAGGGGCTTATTTTCGGAATTTTACGGTAAGTCTTTTTTATTCATTTCATCTAAGAAAAAGTAAGGTTTAGCGTTATTTAACATTCGCAGATCTCCAGTAATATATTTCTCATACAAAGTCTCTTATATTTTCAACGGTTGCCTGTAACGCGACACCGGCGCCTCACCTATGGTATGCAAATTTCTTTACACCCTTCCCTCGTAACGTGAGTTTGGGTTGCCTGTGCTCAGAGTTTTACACTCTGCGGAGGAGAAAGTTGTAATCGTTAAAGCTTGTGTCTCTGCCCACAGTTGTCCACCATGTTCGTAGATTTATCATCCGAACCGATCATGAATACTGGTACACAACACTTTTGTGTGGAAGTGATGAAGCGACTCGATATTGAACGAAAGAATGGACAATTCTGCGATTTGATTCTGGAGGTTGGGTCAGGAGACGAGAAAGCGCGTTTGGAAGCCCACAGAAATATATTGTCTGCAGCAAGCCCGTACTTTTACAAGGCACTTAACAGTAACATGAAAGAAAAAATAGAAGGAGTAATCCGTTTAGATGAAACAAGCAAAGCTATCATGGAAGGAGTTTTGGATTATATCTACACTGGATATGTATCCGTCTCCGAAGACAATGTTTACGAATTGTTTGCAAAGGCAGATTATTTCGATCTTCCCGCCCTGAAGTCCTTTTTGAGCAATTTCATTTTAGAAAACCTTTCCTTGTCTAAATGCATCGTGGCCTATTATTTTGCCTCAAAGTACCAGTGGGAGCAGTTGATGAAAGGAACAAGGGCTTATATTCAGTCAAATTTCTTGTCTGTTGCTGAAACCGAAGGTTTTCTAGCTTTAAGCTGTGAGCAAGTAAAGGAGTGGATTTTAAGTGACGAAATAATCGTGGATGCAGAAGAGAACGTTTTCGAGGTAGTTTTAAGATGGAGTGAGAAGAATGAGAGTAGAAAACGCGAAAATTTCCGCGATTTGTTTCGGCACATCCGCTTTGTCCATATGTCGCGCGATTATTTGTTTCAAGTCATTCTTTCGCATCCTTTGGTAAGAGATAATGTAGAGTGCTCATCTGTAGTGTTAAATGCCATGAAATCAGCCTTCGATGGAACAGATAATAGCCTTTTCTCGCAAGCACCAAGAAATTGCTTGAAAACTCATGAAGATGTCATTGTTGCCTGTGGAGAAAGAAAAGTGTTCTGTTACCTCCCTGATGATAAAGTATGGTATGAGATGCCTGTAATGGATCACTGGCGCAACTCTCTCCATCATTCTGTGAGTGTATGTCATGGCAAACTGTATGTAATGGGTGGGAATCAAGCCGGTGTAGTGGAGCATTTTGACCCATCCCTTGGCCGGTGGCATGAAGTGAATATTCCAGATAAAGTTGCCTACTCATCTGCAGCTGTAACCATGCACGGATTTTTGTATGTTGTGGGTAGGAAAGAAGGGATTGGGAATCAATGTACTGTACACAAATATAGTCCTGACACAAATCAGTGGCTTAAAGTTTGCCCACTGAGCACCCCCAGGTCAGATGTGTGTGCTGTCACTGATGGAAGTTATCTATATGCTATTGGGGGCACTGATAAGACAGGACAATACCTGAATATTGTTGAAAGGTTTGACCCTAGAAAAAAACACGTGGGAAAATCTTCCTCCTATGCTTGCAAGAAGAGCCAATGCTGGGGGTGCAGTCATCAAGCAAAGGTTGTTTGTATTTGGAGGAGATTCAAGAGATAATGACTCCTGTGAAATGTTTGATCATGCAACCAACATTTGGAGTAGTATTCCTGGTCGGGATATCCAAAGAAAACCTACCAGTGCTGTAAGTTTTAAAGGAAAAATATATGTGTGGACAAATAGTGCTGGTTCAAATGGATCTAAAAAATTTCAAGTCTATGATGTTGATCAAAACCAGTGGGAGCCATGTATGTTTCCAGTGGATACTTACGAACTTTATAGACTTTCTTGTCTCAGAGTTTCAAAAAATGCTTTGTCAAAATATAGAAAAGTTTCAAAGTAACCAAAAGTTTGTGTTTTATGTCCTTGTTGTTTATTAAAAAGAGAACCCAAATCCTGGAGTGGTTTACATCCAAAACATACAGGTTGAAATAAAAACCTCATTATGATTAATCCTCTTTTATGCAATTATGTCAGCTAGTAAAAGGCATATTTGTCACAATTTACTGATATATTTTTAACCCTTACCACTAGTGATCTGTAACTTAGTGTGAATGATGATAGTCAACTTGCAGTTAGTAGGTGTTTTCTTATTAAATACATTATAAAATAAGTTGAATGTAATCATTAAAACTGAATGGTTTTTGAAAATGTTACCTGTGTTATATTTTTCTGACTATCATTCCCTGAAGCACGAAGTACCATTACAAAATCTGTTACATACAGCCCTGTAGCTAGGGCACTTATTGGTCATTGCAGAAAATAGGATGTGCAAACTTGCTAATCAGCTTTGCAAACCTATTTGATAAAGTCCTCTTATAGGAATCCTTGAGAGATTATTACATGGTACGTACTGCTGGAAGCTAAAGGCTGTGTACTGCATTTTATTATATAGATACTGATGAAATACCAGGATTTTTCCTTTTACTAAAAAATCATATCTTCATCGCGCGCAGTGAAGATACTATTTTTATCTTTCACATGTGAGTATAACTGTGTCACCATGGTTACTAACATGATTAGGGAATTACAAGAGAGCTTCCCATTTTTTAATAGAGTTTTCGAAGCTTTCACGACAAACTGAACTTCTCCGGACCCTGTGGAACAGGCTAAACGTTTTTATTTTCTCATTGGTTTATTGATATTTAATGCTTAGTTCACACACCAGATAATTTTTCATGTTGACACTCTCTTCTCTGCAGATGCATCCACAGATGAGCTTCAAGTTGTGTTTTATGTAGGAATTTCATCAGTATCTATAAAATAAACAGAACATTACATGGCCGCTTGGGGATACGAATTTTATCTTCTCGTGCTGAAAGCATCTCTCACTCGTTCGCTTCTCTGCAGATGCATCCACAGATGAGCTTCAAGTTGTGTTTTATGTAGGAATTTCATCAGTATCTATAAAATAAACAGAACATTACATGGCCGCTTGGGGATACGAATTTTATCTTCTCGTGCTGAAAGCATCTCTCACTCGTTCGCTTCTCTGCAGATGCATCCACAGATGAGCTTCAAGTTGTGTTTTATGTAGGAATTTCATCAGTATCTATAAAATAAACAGAACATTACATGGCCGCTTGGGGATACGAATTTTATCTTCTCGTGCTGAAAGCATCTCTCACTCGTTCGCTTCGCTCACTCGTGAGAGATGCTTTCAGCACTCGAAGATAAAATTCGTATCCTCGCACAGCCATGTAATATCCTCTATATATGGTATAGGCTATGGCAAACATTTATTGAAATACTTGGGACCACAACTTTGACCAAAGCTACACTGAAGAATAAGGAACACACCATCAATTTATTAATGCTTTAATAAAGGCTGTAAGAAAGCAAGATTTAGAATATGCCCTAGTAACCAAACTGGTTATTATGTTCATCTTAGTTTCTGTAACAGGAGCGGATCCAGGGGGAGGGTGCAGGGGGTGCGCAGCCCCCCCTGGGATGACCTGCGGCCGCTTTCTAATTAACACTGTGCAGTCGCTTGACAGACATACAAAATCTGCTCTATCATTTGATATGTATTCTCAGCAGTTAACATTATGTTATTTCCTAGTCAAAAGCCCTCTTCTTCGTATTCGCTTTCAAAATATTTTACGTCATCAGTCAGTTAGTGGTGCACCCCCTTCGAAGAAAAATCCTGGATCCGCCCCTGTGTAAAATATTTTAGCAATCTATTGTATATGATTTTTTTACAGTTTTTTTACACTTTTTAAAACTATCTTATTTTGTAGTAGGTATACCGGAAAAAGGTTTTTATTTTTGGTTTAGGGTTAGTAGGAAACCGCTATTAATTTTTGACACTTAAATAGAGTTATCTGTCGGTCCATCTGTCCATTATTAGGGCCATTTATACAAGGAAAAATAAGCGCGTCTTAAATAAGATGCGAACTGTGCCATTTATACGAGCATGTCTCATCTAATAAGACGCGTCTTAGCTAAGCCGCGTCTTATTTGAGACGAAATGTGCCGTTTATACGGAAAGTTCGCATCTTATTTAAGACGCGTCTTATTTTTCCTTGTATAAATGGCCCTATTGATACATTGATGATAGTATTCTATTTTTTCAAAAAAAAAATCATAGCAAAGTCTTGTTTTTATTGTACAAAATTTTATAAACAAGCACATATTAGAGTCACTCTGAGATTTTACATCTTTTGTCTATACAGTCGACTCTCTCTTAACAGAAACCTCTATAAAATTAACACCTCTGTAAAACGAACCCTAGAGTTGGTCCCTGCCTTTCTTTACTCCCTTTACATTTTGACTCTCTATTGGTATAAGTGTTGGAACCATGTCTGGAGAATAAATTAAAAATGAATTTGAATTCTTTACTGCTTCTTCTTTACTGAGTCAGAACAGAAGAAAAATAAAAGAAACATGACATAACATGAAAAAAATTCTGTCAGACATATAAACAGTGATTTCCTCAATATTATTATTTTTATTCTTAACTATGTATAATCATCTACATCTCTTGAAGGGAGAGCTGAACGGCCATCTGGAGAACTTCCTCTTCAGTCAAATCTGAAACAAAGAGGAATAACAGATATTGAGTAAGACAAGCATCAGACAATGTAAGATATTCAAAACTAGGAATTAACTTTGTATTAACTCTTGGGGAGATTTTCAATAGACGACTAATCTGCCCACTTTCTAAACCCTTTGGTAGACTGCAAAACAGTCGGTTTTTTTCCAAAATCAGTAAAGAAATCAGTAAAGCATGGCATGAGAGTCTTATGCGTGCGAAGTGCGCGAGTCGCACACACCCTATGGGTGTGTGAGGCGAGAGAAAAAAAACTTGACAGCTTGGTGACAGCTTGCATCTAAATTTAGCCAATGGGAATTGCCCGTGACTGGGAGAAGCGGGTAATTTGAATGAATATAACGTATGCAAAACGGACAGTCCATATTTTTAGCGTCTCTCCCCGGTCTCGCTCTCTGTTTTCAGCCTCATTCCAGACTTTTTGTTTGACTGCTTGAGGGGGATGGTTGAAGGATTTTTTTGGGTATGAAATTTTCGATTCTGGGATTTTTTGGGCGAAGGAAAATTTGGTAAGTATTTTTTGGGGGTGGCTTGATTTAAGTAGGGCCTTTTTTAGTATTTAAGAGGCCCTGCCAGGGTAAATTCCGACAAGCGACATGACCCAAAAAGTAGCGACAGAGCGTAAAATGAAATTGTGATAAAAGACAACCTCCCTCGGCCAAATTGTGACAGTGGTTGTCTTTACACTAGGCTGTTAAGTAAGACTTAAGAGCTGCTAAGTTTTACTTAACCAAAAATTGGTGTGTGAAGGCATAAGTAAAATCTCAAGTAACTTTGCTTTGCATCTCATTAAAGTCGGAAAGTTGAAACAATTCAAGAAAGTTTCAAGCGACTTGAAAACCATCCTTATGACCGACTTAGCTGACTTGCGGTTTCTTGAGCTTTGAGAAAGGTGAGACATGTCAGTCAATCTTAATTTTGTTGCATGGGAAAATAACCTGAAGTAAAAAAGAATCGGTTGTGTGTGAAGCTTTACTTTACTTGAAGTAATTAAAATTTACTTGTCTTGAAATATTTCTTAGCTTATTTAGGCTCCAGTGTAAAGACTACTAGTGATGGCAAAGCCATGAATAAGTGACAAAGAACAGTGATTTGGCTAATTTATCACCAGTCTGAATGCCAAGAAGAAGTATTTTTCGTCAATTTTCCTTGCGCTTCTGAGAAGTCAGAGAACATCTCTTGTCTCTTGTCAATGAGCTTCAGTGGAACCTCCTGAGCGCGCGTCGCAGTACACTTCATTAATTTTAAGCAACCCTGCAAAACTACTGGGAGACCGTGCCTTCACGATTATCAGGTCAGTAAGTCTTAAAATGTTGAACGTGGATCACGTAATTGTGAATGGTGATGTATAGGTGTTTGATATGCGCAATGTTAACCGGGAAATTGCAAAACTGTAATGATTTCTTTACAACGCATCGCTACTGCCCCCTTTTCTAAAATTCAGACAAAGACAAAGAATTTTTGTTCAATTTCCGACAGTGACATGAAGCATTTATAAACACCGACACGAGATCTTTTAAAATTCAGACTAGTGACATGGGACTCCCCTCCCCCCTGGCAGAGCCTCATTCAAAACAATCTGAAGTTTGTTGTTAGTACCCGCATATCCCATCCACAAACACAAACATTCAATCATTTTCCTAATTAATTTCTTGTGTTTAGTATGTCATTTAATGCTTTTTTTGAAATTTTTAGGCTTGGAATTTTGGGGGATTAATTTTTGGTCCAGAGGTTTTCTTGGGTTTTGTTGGAAGCCCTAGGGACTTTTTGGGGGTTTTGATTTTTTCCCACCATTTTATCATCCCTGTCACTTGAAATCCACAGTACCCCCGATGGGGAAGAGGCTGTTCTTTATGGTACCCTGCAACCCCTCTACTTACTCCAAATACCCCTTTCCCCTACCCCCAAGTCAAAATCCCTACACTGCTCGATCTAACGGTTTTGGTCGAGATTGCATGTGGTTGTCAGAGGATTTTGTCAATTACCAGTACTGTTCCATTTACGCCTAATACAAAACAAAGCGCATGATTTTAAGAGATGGCAATTGTCATCATTTTTTTTTAGTTATAGGTCACTGCCTTATTAGTCAGAGGCAAGGAAAGGCAAGATAGATAATATGCTGAATATCTGTTCCATTAAAGTTATCATAGAGTTAAACTGTGGCCTTCTCTATTACACTCTGTTTGGGCTGCATTTTATGGCTGTATTCTAGAATAGGAATATATTTTTTAACAAAACTGACACTACGAATCAATTTTTTGAGTCACTGATTGCAAGTTGTAACTGATTTTACACTGGCTGGCGGCCTAAGGAAAAGGATGAGTACCTATAAACAATCTCTGTTGACCAGTGAGAAAAAAAGGAAGAGTGGAAGGTCAAGGGAGAGAAGAATTTTGACATGGGGTCTGCTTGAGAATGAGGGATTCTTTCTGGTTCCCTTCAGACAAGGAATACTTTACATTCTTCATCAAATATCACCTGATATTGGTCCCTGATGATTTGAAGGTACATGATCTGTTTGTATTGTGGTTTGATTATTACTCGTCTGGCTTTCTACTTGCCTGAAAGAAGGACAGTGACATGTTTTTACAGTATACCCAACAGGCCTGTAGGGGTAGTGCTTGCAAAAGGAAAATGCGATCTACATTTGGATTTCTTGTTACGGGTGGCAAATAAGAATGGTAAAATTTGCAACTCAGGAATGGTGATCTTGAATGTAAACACATCAAGCATATAACAAGCTTGATTAAGCCTGGTAATTACCAAGACCTGCAAGAAACGTGCTCCAGTGTAAAAGAATTACCCTACCCACCACATAAATCACTGCCCAGAAGATCCTGTACATCTCTTACAAACCAGCAGAAGGCCTGGTGGATGCACCAAAATTTGGCAAAATATGAAACAGATGATCATAAGCCAGGTTTGTTCAGCAAGTACTCAGCGGTGTCATGGGGAAGTGGACCACTCTTCAAAATTGATAATAGAGAGCTTAAGCAACAGTGACGGCGATTAAAAGGTGATTTAGCACTGCCTGAAACTTTATCGCACATATTCCATCTCATTTAATTCGTCAAATGCTGGCAAATTTGTTTGGGCTCTATCAAAGTTCAAGAAAAGAAAGAGAACATTGTTGTCTAATGTGTTCCTGTCCTCGACAAAACACAAAATTAGGCACTTTCACATTGTAGTCATGCAACGACAGCTACAAACTGTACAAAAAAGTGTCATGCACATAAAAAGTTGTTGTTTTGCTAATATAAACCTATTACTTTTTTGCCATTGTTGTTGCTTAAGCTCCCTAATAGAGAAAAGAGGTCCCCCTGAGTAAGGAAACACTTCATTCCTTTGAAAATGTAATAAACTCTCTTACCTTGTAAAATATAACTCTCGCTTTCTTCTAACGTCTTCCATATCTACAGGTTGGTCTGATTTATGATACATTAAATAAAAGAAAAATGAGGTTTATATTACAGGCTACCAATGCTCTTACTGGCAAATTAATGACCATGACTTTCAGAAAAAAATATGGAAGTAAACTTAACACCCGCCCATCAGTACAACCTTAACTGAAACAATCACCCAAAACCCACAAGAGTTGGTGGTCACAACAAGCAACCTCTTGTCACTAAAAATGCCTTGCATACCCTGAGTGGTTGTTGAGGAGCAATACGTAGCAATGCAGGACACTATACATTGTGGCAGAAATTTTCAAAATTTGTGACATGTAAAGTTCTTTACTTAAGGAAAGATGTACAAAAGTTAATGATTGGCTCGTTAAAATAATCAGGACAAAACAGGAGAAAATCAAGCAGACTTAAGTACTATATCTATTCACACTAGTAAAAAGGGTCTGGTGTTTCTCTTCCTTTAACCTACAAAAAACAAAACATTTCTTTTACCTATTGTAGTTGCTTGCTGAAGGGCAGCCGATAAATCAGATTTATTTACAAATTGATACGAAGTCATTTTAGTAGGAGGCTTTTTCTCAGGTTTAGCTGGACACAGCTTTAATAACTGATCTGCTTCACTTTCTGGCAGTCTTCCCATGATAACAAATATGGAGTAACCTATAAAAAGGAAGATTGACATAAGGTTAATGGTTATTTATGTTGGACTCTCAAATAATCATTAACATCTTGATCAGCAAAGTGTTTCAATGCTAATGAATGATTTCAGCCCCTTAAAATGCTAAAACTGAACTAAACTGGCCACAGCAACTTGTTGTAAGACAAAACACAGGAAACATCATAATCATCATCATTGGTCAATCAAGCTTGGTATTTAAGATAAGCCCTGTGTTTGCTGGGTCACAGTTTCCAATCAGTGAACACCGTAGGCTAGCTTAAGCTCTTTCCTAGACTTTACCTTTGCATTCCCCATTCTTAAAAATACTGAGCAACACTCTTACAGACCATCCAGAATCTTGTCTGCTATGCTTTGGATCCTCTACGTACTACTAACTTGCTGGGGGAGGGGGTGGGTGGGGGCAGTTTATGGTGTTGATAGGTAAGGTAAGGTAAGGTAATGCTTTTATTCAAAGAGGGTAAACACGTGACAGTTATGAAAAAACTGATAAACTTGTGGCCCTCTATAAAACACAAAAACAAAATTAATATTAAAATAATTTTACACTATCACTATGAAAAGATAAAAATTAACATTAAAAGAAGGAATTTAAAAACAAGAAAAAATAGTATTTAGAAAACTATCTAGAGTCTTATTTAGAAATTTTAACTATTTAAAAACTATTTACTATCTAAAAGAAGTTATTTTATTTGGAAACAAACTACTGATAATAAAGATATTGAATATCAAATTTCTATACAACATCTTAAAAATTATTTCTAGGGGAATACAGACACCTCCTAAAAAATTAAAATTAACCTTCATGCACATGCATGGGGGTGGGGTTGGGGTTGGGAGTGGTCACTGTATTAGGCAACAATTCATTAAACATTTCCTAGCTACTAGTCCCATCATGATTTCATGCTTCTCTCACCTTCTGTTTGTAGCTGTTTCAGATATAAGGACAAGTATGTTTCTGAAATTAACTCTGGTTTGGCCAGCAGTGAGTTGAGATTAAACCACTAAAAGGAACAAAAGTAAACGGAACTTGAATAACCATCACAATATAGCATTTTCACCTTAGTTAATACAGTGAATTGGCCAGTTAAGTGATTTAGAACAAGAAATTCCAAGTGCTTGTTGTCAGAGATGCCAAAGGAGGATTATAATATGATAAGGATAAATTGGCCAAAACGAAAGATAGTGAAGGGCAGACAGCATTGGCAAAATTCCCCCTCTTATCTCAGGTTTCTTTATGCAGCTGGACCCAGGGCTATCATTACATTTTGAAGCAGGCATAGTGTATCACTCTCAACCCAAATGTTTTTGACATCTCTTTTGGCTACAGCAGTATCATTACTAGCTTCATAATAAACAGCTCTACTTGATTTAACAGGTTTTAACGGTAATACACTGCTTTGAAAATTTACGTTGATAACCATATTACAGTGTACAGTCAAACCACTCTAATTTAAACATCAAAGAGACACACTCAGCTTCTGTGCTATTACAGGTTTGTCCATCAGTCTACAAAACAGCCACCTGTAAGGAGAGGTTTGACCATCTTCAAACCAGCAGTCTCTTTTTATTTTGGTCCATTACCTGATTACCCAGCTTTCGTATTGTTAGCCAATGTTGTTGTAAATTACATATGAATGCCCTCTGATTTCTAGTTTGAGGAAAGCAAGAGTAATAAAATATCAAAACTATGTGTCATGCAATTTTGGTCTGAAATCATACTTGGGATTTCAAATTGATTTTAAAAGAGTTTGATTTCAGATCAAATTGTACTCCCCTCAGTTCAATTACCATTATTAAATATCATTCAGACCTTGTTTTCTTAGTCTGTTCTGAAAGTTGCAGAACTTATTTTTTGTGGGATAAAAAGCAACTAGGCAATCAACCTGTGATCCAAAGTTTCAAAACTGGGTTGTAATAACTTCCAGTTGAGTACGGATCTTTAACTTATTTATTAGTAGGAGGTATTTGTTACCACCTGAGATTAATCAATGGTGGCTGCTTCATCAACATGTCAGTAGAAACACAGGGAGTGCATCAATTGATAAACTTGGCCGTAAACTCTCAAACCCTCAAAAATCTCAAAATAAAAACATGTCCAATGACAGTGATTTCATCTTTTACTGACTAATAATCAATTTAATACCACATGATCAATGATTCAAAGCGGTTTATTAGTCTATGATATATTAATATTTATATTTTTTCTTGATAGAAAAAGTATTTTAGTAATTTCTACTCTTTAGGTATAGATTCTTAATTACAATTAAGTACTTTAATTGGCATGTGTTTAATGTTATTAAATATGTACACTGCCCCATAAGCTGTCATTCTAGCCGTGTTTAAATAAAAGTTGTGGTTGTAAAAAAAGTTTCAGTAGAGTACCAAAGCTTACTGAGGATTTTCTCTTGCCTGTCCGGCATCTGGACTAAGGAATGGAATCAGTTCAATATTCCATACTCTAAGTGCATTGCATATAACCTAAAAAAAAAAACAAAAACAAAAACAAAACTAAGTCAAACAATAAAATTGTTGGCAATACTATTTTACTTTACAGTCAGTCAACTGGTCATTTATATTAAGAAATGTTCAATTTGAGCAGGATATTTGATTTTATTATTTTTAACCTTTTAAATCTAAAGAAACTATAGCAGAACATGCAAAATGTCAAGGAATATTACCAGGTACATTTTTATGTAAGGGTGCAGCAGTGGTGATTTCGTGTATGTGGTAGGATGCTTGAGATGAAGACACCAACTCCTGTGCTTGCAGATGGCTGGATGGTTAATAGCATAACTCCATACCAGAGGTTTTTCTCACCTCTTTCCCACTCATGGCTTCGGCCTTCAGCGGAAGATCTGTCAGCTCAAACCCGAAGCACCCCACCACACACAAGAAAAACCTTCTGGTACCTATAAAGGTATCAGGAAACAAAACTGACTTTTTTCTTTAGTACCAGTCATTAATTGTTTGAAAAATGCCTACCAAACCACTGAACAGTGCTGGCTCCAGACCTTGAGATAAGGGGGTTGGTCTCCAAAAAACTTTTTCAGCTCTTTGGGCCTCAGTTTGACCAAAACATAAGGAAGGAGCCTGGGCTCCCAGGCCCCTCCCCTGGACCCACCACTGCTGAATGAGATGAATATTAACCCCCCCCCCCCCCCCCACCACCACCATCAGCCAAACAAAAGAACGTTTCATTGATACCTGAATGGAGAAGAATCCACTGTCATCCATGTTTGAAGAAGGTTGCTGATTGAAATAGAGGAAATAATTCTAACCATAAATATGACTGCATTACATTTCATTTTGTTATATTACACTATAGGTTAGATATATTGAAGTTCAATTTTATCCTTAGTCTAACTTTTAGTGGGTAGCTAATGCATGACACAATGAGTTAGAGTCAAAGAAAAATAAATTTCAATCAAAGATAACACATACAGGCACATTAGGGTGCACGCAAACACGTTCCTAGTGTGCTTTCCTACTCAGAACCCGAGTGAAAGAGGGGGCTGTGTAGGGACAACCCTGAGAATGAGGTTAGGGCGCATGTATTATGGTAGATAAATATATTAACTAGTTCTACAAGCACTACATAAAATCCTTGTTGCACCTTTAGAAATTCCTGATAATCTTTAGATGTGACATCGCCCTCTGCCATTCTGTCTCTTTCATCTTCATCAAGTTGTCTTGCTATATCAGCCAAGTCTACTGCAGTGAAGTAAGGGCCTACATTTCAAATTGAAAAAGGGATAGAATCACGTTTAAACTACATAACATCATTCTGTTTTATGGCAAAAAAAGGGTATATTGTCTCTGAAATGATCACAGATGATCAACTCATGTTTCAGGAATTCATCCAATCACGTAGAAAGAACTTACATTGCAAACAAAACACAATATATAGTTATTCCAGCTTGGAAAGTGAAAATGCCCTTCAAATGGCATAAAAATCATAAGGTCAAATTATTTTTGGAATGAAAAGATGGGATCTTTTGGGTTAATTATTGTATTTCGTTGATAACATTTTTAAGAACTTCTGCCAGTCATTATCTCAGGGAAAAGCTACAATAAATTTGACATCCTCTTTCAGTACTTTAGGTTGACAAGAAAAAAGGACTATATTCTAGAAAGTCATTTTTAATGTTTGCTCACTGTTAAAGTTATCTACTTAGAAATGCCTTGATAAAGGAGATCGTCATCTAAAGAGGCAATTACTATTGAATTAAAATGAGCTCAAACTTCAATAATTAGATTAAAATTGAAACTCCCAAGCTACAAAAGATGTAGCACTTGATTCTATGTTATATGCAGCCAGATATATATGCCAGTCTTTCAGAGCTAGCATCGATCCAAGAGTTCTGTTACAATAGTTTTCATTGTACAGAGATGGGCATTATATGAATTATAGTCACTGAGGAAAGAAACGATCTAGAGCTGATCCACAGGAAATAAACTTTTTTGAGGAGAGGTTTTCACCGGGTTTACATTAGAAAAAGTTTACCTTGTAGTAAAGCATTCAGGCAGTGTTGGGCACAAAGAGAACCTTCTTGCTGTATAACAAACAAAAACTAGTCGTTATGAATAAGATTAAACATTTGCAAGTTTAGAGGAAGAAAGAAATCGACTGAAAAATGTACCTTCTCATGAAAAATCGCCTCCATACAGACTCGATCAGTGATCACCGGCAGAGAAACTGAAAAACAGCGCGACCGGAAGACTGGGACTTAGTGAAGCAAGATGTATTGCTTCACAACCCAGAATAGTCTTTACTAATGGCAACAAAATGGAGGATTCGCAGGAAGGTAAAGCTCTTTCTCGGCCCTTTTATCGACGTTCTTTAAAGTTGCACAATTCTCTGTCATGAGCTAGCTTGTTTCTGGTCTGACATTTATGAAAAGAAATCCAAACGTTTCATTTCTGCTGGAAAATGAAGGCGATTTCTTTTCGCTCTCCAGTTGCATTTTCGTCTACTTGTTTGAATCGCCATGGTTTTAATCGCCATGTTTTCCTTTCTCAGTCGATATTTGCCGGGTTTGTCGAGCGGAAGGAACTCAGGAAAATCCACTGTACCATCCCTGTATATGTACGGGAAGTATTAAATTTATACATCAAGACTGGTATGTAGTTATTTACGCTTAATCTAAGCTTAAATTTTTGCTTCCTGAGCAGAATCGAGACGATATGATTTCCCAACGATAACTGATGATTAAAATCATTCTTGGGCAATATCAAGTACGTGATAAATGGAATAGTGAAAAGTTTGTCCAATAATGAAATGTCCTTCAAGAAGACCTTAAAAAATTGACTGCCACTGTGTTAGAGTAGTTGTGTTATAACAAGTCACTTCAAGTTTTTATTATTTGCCTTGAATGGGTATTATTAGTGTTAGGCTTCACCTCAGTGTCACAAGACTTTTAATATGTTTACCATTTTCTATGCAGCTTGGTTCGTTGGCTAAAACACAGTAAAAAAGAGTAAGTGATAAAATTTCACTTTTATGATATTTATCCTTATGCATATCCACATAAATTAATAATATTATTATAGTCATCATCATCATCTATTATTATTATTATTATTATTATTATTTTTCCACAGCTTTATTGAGTACTCCTCTTGTGATATACAATATAAATTTATAATACAACATAAAAAAAAAAGAAAAGAAAAAAGAAGCAAAAACCCAAAAGGGGTAGGTGCAATGGGACTAACGTAGGTCCTAGGTTAAAATATAATAAAATGAATGCTCAAACATTCGTACAAAAAATAAAATAAATTACGAGTGGCATGGACATATAGGGACTAGTATCCACGTGCAGGGTTATTGATTTCATATACTCACGAAAGATGAGTGCTCATTAATTTGTGAACAAAAAGTTGAAAGGCAGTAGGCGAGGAAAAAGTGGTTGGGGTGCTTGCTTACAAACATAGTTCCATAGTTTAACAATATGTTTAAATTACGAGGCCTGAAAAGTTGATGTTTTGCAAAAAGGGGTGAGAAGATTAAGGGAGTTACTTAGTCTTGTACAATCATGGGAAACAAAAGATACATAATTCCGAACATCTAAATCGGTACTACAGTAAAGGCATTTATAAAAAAGATCAAATCTTTAAGTTCATGATCTAGAGAAAGTGGAACTAAGTCTAGCAAAGTCAGCTGCTCTTTGTACGATGACTGGTCTTTGTACATGCGTAAAATCCACCTGCTTGCACATCTCTGCACCTGTTCCACCTTAGCATTCAGAGTAACATAAGCGGGCATTATTGCTATTATTTAAATCAAGCCAACATTAATGTTGTTTACAGCCTCTAGCTGGAGTGACATTAATGAACTGTATTGAGTTTCCTTGAATTTATCTGTTATTGTTAGATTTTAGGTAAAATCTTTTAGGGTAAACCAGTATTCAACCTAGTGTTATTTAGAATTGCATTTGTTCCCTAATCCTGCCTACAACATCTACTTAATTATTTTTGAAAGTACATTTAGATTTTTTTTCTTAATTTTCCTTCATTAAGAATAAGGGAAGACAGTGCATTTTATTCAAATTAACTGCCGTGCAACTAAATTGACTGAATGAAATTATTTTACTGCTGTTGTTTTCATAAATTATAAATACGTTAGAATATATTTAAAAGTTTGCTAAACCGTTTCTTTTGTTTTTTAATCTTGAGTGTGACTGTATGTACTTCTTGAGGTTTTACTCCAAACATTTTATGCTTAATTGCATACAAAATTCTTAAGAGACTTGCATGTATATAGTGGTGTATGTTCAAGAAAACAGAACAAGCCATCACCCTACCCCTGCCCTCAACCAAAAGTGGCTTAGATAATTATTTGTTTTTTCCTTCAACAAACAAGTGGCAGTTTCACATTGCTTTTGAGGAACTAGAGGGGAAAGAAGAGCTAGCCTGAAATTCATCCGATTGCTTTGAGTCGTTTTCTCCTCTCAACAATGTCTGAATCGACGGTCCGTTAATGCTGTCCAGTGACGTCACTCACTACCCGAAAACCGGGTAGTGATTTTGATTGGTTGATTGTCTAAACATTTGCATAATTATGTATAATTTTGAAAAATTTTAATGGGATTGTCGCTTGATTTTCAGTGGATCGCATCCCTGGCATTCTTTCGTGTAGTTCAAAACATTTTGATAAGCTTAATCTTTATCTTAAACAGCAAAATTGCCCTTGTCTTCGAAACTGAAATGCTAAATTGAACTGCGAATGAAGAATCATTGCGGAGAGTCGGTAGGTTTTTCATTTAGAGCCACTTTGTGATTTCGGCAGCTGGTGATTTTGTTTACGCGAAGTTTTCTGAGATCAATGTTATAATCTTCTTGCTATTTTCACCGTCAAGTGTAATGATTCTGTTAGCTTTTCTTTCTTGTTTCCTTGTTTTTTTCTTCGCTAAGGACCAGATAGCTTCTTTTCAATTAAAGCAAATCATTGTGTTTTTGAACTAAGTATTTCATGTGTGTGTTTATTTCATTGCGTGATTGCGACCGAGTTTGATTATAGAATTCAGTACAACCGGTTCAGAGTTGTACTGCATGCAGTTGATAGTTTGAATGTTAAACATGAATTACGATCGAAAAAAAAAAAAAACAATTCTGTATCATGCAGACATTTCCAAACGATATTTCTCGGGTTGCCATTTGAAAATCATGTTTGACTTTTTGCATGAATTAAAGCAAAGGTCAAGGAGTAGTGACGTCACTGGACGGCATTAACGGCCGGTTGATTCAGACGTTACTGAGGGAGTAATAACGACTCGAAGTAATCGGATGAAATTCAGGCTAAAGAAGAGCATGAGTTTCACTAAAGTGAAGAATTGAAGAAAAATGTTGAATTTTACATTTCATTTCAAATGATAAAAGAATACTAGTAACAAAACACTGCATTAATTTATTATATTCTTTATTAATATTTAAGCTCTGAATTTATTTTCTGCTATCCTGTATCTCACTCTACTGGTTTTTGTTTTGAAGTAGACAGGGTCAGGGCAAATAATTATGAGAAATGTCAGTGAGGAAAGAGGGTCTAAACTTTGATGTCCAATACCCATTGTATGGTATTGATGGGGAGAATTCATCAGTTTTATCTTTGGTAATCAGGTCATCTCTTCTCCTGACCTCTGTGTGTTTGATGAAGCAGTGATTTTATATATGGAGAAGTTAGATTTTGGTCAGTTAGTGACTGGTTTAAAAGATTTTCCAAATAGTGCATTAAAACATTGTTTTCTTTTCCAGATATTGTGAACTATGCAACCATCACTTTGCATTCAAACCAAGTAAGCAAACAATTTTTATTATTGGATGAGTCTTTGACTTAATAATATGAAAGATTATACAAGTAGCTTTTTGTATTTTCTTTCTATCTTTTTAGGGAGTAGTTTGGCCATTTCTTTTTTGATAAGTGTTTGAAATCTTCCAGCCATTTCTGTGTTCTCTAACTCTCCATTGCTAAATAGAGCTCATCATTGTCCCCTGTATGTTGCCATTTATCCAATAATAATATTTGTAATTTCTCATGTAATTTTTCTGTGAATGCTCTTTTAAAGTCTACGCACCAGATATGCCAAACAGACTTCCTGTCAGTGACTTTGTTGGTGGGTTAGTAAAAAATATTCTCAGAGCTCTGAAGTATTGGTTTCATTACACACTGGTTGCCCTGGCGTGGCTTGGAGTGGTACCCATTACAGCATGTGAGTGTAGAGTTCTTTTAAATATCATTTCATTGTTAGTGTCTAGAGGGGCATGGTATAGTGGAACCTCAATGTAATGAACCTCCATGTAACAAAGTCATCAATATAACAAACAATTTTCTTCATCCCAGTAATAGTAAAATTATGTATAAAAGTGAAACTCAATATAATGAAACCTCATTGCAGTGAACAAATTTTGTCAGTCCCTTGGCCTTTCATTATATCGAGGTTTTACTGTGGTCTGGTCTTTTTTGTTTACTATTGCAAATTAATGACCTTTACTCAATGTAGCTTCCTGACAAACAAATGTTTTCCCAAGTATTGTTATTAAGATTAAAAAACAACCAAATCAACTTTGAAAAACTATTTAGCTGAACTGGTTTTGAAAACCTTGATGAAAATCTGTAGTTTTAATTTTTCCTTAAATTATGTCTTTCCATGCTTGGATAATTTTACCTGTAGGATTTTTTGGGGTAATTTTATCTGTAAGATTTTTTGCATACCAAAATGTGTAAAATTCATCACATTTAATGTTTAATTTAATCTGATATCACTCCTTTTGCTGTATTTTAGATCGTATATACAGATGTCTTTTTGCCGGGTCTGTCAATTCACTTCTTACTCTACCTCTAGACATGCTATCAACGTAAGTAGTTTGATCAGTTTATATTACTGAACTCTCTCTTGAAAGAAATTACTCTTACTCTTTGTGCTGCATTCCTTCACACATGGCTCCCTCAAGAAACTGGACATTTTAACCTAAAAGGGAATAGGTTACAGTATTGTTTACTTAATATGAGAATTGCACTTTTCAAACTGCTGAGCATTGGCCTATTAGAGATGTAATCATGGCCATCTAACAAACAAGGATAGTAATAATAGTTTGGTTTCCCCAACAAGGTCACAAGTCACTGAGTTTAACGCAACAGGTTTAATTCACTCCTGCATCAACAATCACACAAAAAGTTTAAAAAACCTGAGTCACAGTCAATTGTGCTCACATGTACACACATGTGTTACTTGCAATCAAAATCTCAACTACGTAGATGTTGTAGGTAATTTTTTATCCCAGGTAATTTTTATATTTCATTTGTTTCAACTTCATATACCCAAAAACAAAAGGAAAACAAAAATTACCTGAGATAAAAAATTAACTACAACATACATGTATACACTTGGGCCTAGTCTCCAACAAACATACTGTCCTTTAATAGCATGAAGTGTAACTTGAAAATATAGTCAGGAAGTTTTTTCTAAACTTGAGTTACATGCAATCAGATTTGCATGTACTAATGAGATAGCGCAAATTGTTTCAAAATGCATCTTGGCCTCCAAGTGTTGATTTGAGTTCAGGACATTAGTGTGTACCTAAAACTTACGTATCCTTAATGTTTTTTTGGCAGTGAAAATTTATTTGCGGACTGTATACGAGGCTGTTTTGTGGTGGCCTGTACATTATGCGCATTCATCAGCTTGGTGTGGTTGCGAGAACAGATTGTAATGAATGGAGGTCCTGATTGGCTTGAACCTAATGTTGTGGATCCTGTTCCTCAAGTTCAGGGAGTGAGTTGATATTTTGGTCTTTTTGTATTTGCATATATAGCATGGTGGAAAAAAAAAGTGTGAGAACATTTCTTGGAACAAGTCAAAAAAAAAAAAAAAAAACTGGTGTCAATGTAAAAAAAATAATTGGGGACACTATATTTTTACGTCCCTAATGGACAACATTTCTTCATCCGAACAGTCCATAATCAAAAAGACCCTGAGTATTGGTCCAGCCGCGGGAATCGAACACCTCCCGATAGTCAAGGACAAAATCCTGCCATGTTTATCTTTTAAGAGGGGAAAAATTATGTTTTAATTTGGGGGAAAAAAAATAAAACTATTTTAACTTTGTAAGCGTGTAAATTGTATAGTCAGGTAATAGTATTCTCAAATCCTTGATGATTCTTGGAGAGAAAACAGACAATCAGTACTGTGAAGGATGCCAGTTACCATCAAATTTTTGCAAACTTTATGTTGAATTTATTCAACAATCAGTTAGCCTGCATCACAGCTGCAGTCGGTTAGTAACGTCTGAAAAGCAGTGCCAAGATCCTTGGTCAATGGGCTCAATGAATTGAGAGAAGTTCGCTCATAATTTCTCTTTGACCTGATTAGCCAATAAAACAATAGCTTTTTAACTGGTCAGCCAGGATGTGTACTCAAATCCTGGTAAGTAGCTGGCGGCCCAGAAAAAGGATTTTGGCACTGACTTGTAGACAGACTTAATGAAAGGTTTAATTTTGTCTGTGGGGCAGGCTAACAATCAGCATACATTTGGGAAGCTAGAAAGCAAACACCTGACACAACATTTTATTCAATTACTTTCAGACACCTTGAGTATGGTGTAACAAACTCAACCACTCTCAGTCTTTTTAACCCACTTCTCTGTGACTGGTTAATGGATACAAACAATGTACCTTGTATTCCAGGTCAACAATGATGGTGGCCCAGGTGGTGGTGGCGGTGAAGTTGCAGCTGAAGGGGATGTGGGAGAAGAAGATGCTAACAATGCAGGAGAAAATGTTGGTGAGGAAGGAAACAATGCTGCTAATCAAGATGCTGAGAATGGAGCTCAGAATGGAGATGGTTAGTATTAATAATTAACTATAATTATCAGTATAGGTAATAGCATGATTAGTAGTGATATTTGGCATAAATACCGCGAGTGATATTTCAAAAATTGTTATACCTAATTTCTAGAAAATGGAGTTTATACTACTACCCACAAAAGGTTGTAATTTTCACATGTAGGTATTTCAAATTAAGCTGAAATATCACTGCTCTAAGCCAATCAAATCACAGAAAATTCTCATGTAGTAGTATAGTAATAGTAATAATAATAATAAAATAGTAATAATGCAGCTCAAAAGATGATGCAGGTTGCTGCTTCTTCCTCGATGAAGATGGTGACTGTACTTGTCAGTAACATAAACAAAACATGAATGCTCTTAAAAGCTTTAAGTTGAGCTTGCCTGTTGATGAGATAAGAAATAAGGAGGCAATTAATTCTACACACAACAAGATTTCCTTGCAAAAAATTTTTTTACTTCCTACTTTATCGATTGTCTAGTATTCTTCAGGATATATACTTTTTAGATCATGTTCAACAATTTGCTTCTGAATTGATTGAGTACAAAAACACAAAAATTAAGGGCCTTGATTTGAGAGAAATTACATCATTGCCAGAGAGCAAAAATGTGATGAACATGGTGCGTCATTTCAATCATTGCCAATTGAAAATAAACTGTATGCTAAAGACAATACTCATTTGTATACGGTGAAAGTTTACAACACCCAACCAGTTAGCCTCACCATTGAAGATTCTTCTTTCTTTTCGACCACTGAAGTGTTTGCTTGTTGCAAAGTAATCAATGATAGAATTTGTGGACCGACCCATTCCAGAAAAGATCTACATCTTTCGCATCAATCTGTTCTAAGCTCTCTTTCCAAAATATGCATGGCGCCTGTCATGCCACAATTCGTATCCCTGGTTTCCATAGCCAGGAAGGCTTGGGACCCTGAGCCCCTTTTGGCACGCACACATGAAAAAAAAAAAAAAAAAAAAGGTTGATAAATTTTGATTTTAGAAATGCTCACCACATAAAGTTCTTCGCTATGCTGTTAAATTTTTGGAAATAATGATTTTAGAGAAAACCAGAGTACATCCACATGAGATAAACCAACAACAACAGAACCAACATCAAACGCGTGGCATCAATAACAGGTTTTGAACCAGGGCCACATTGGTGGGAGGCAAGTGCTCTCACCAGCTCTCACCACTTTGCTGCCTTGCCCCATGCTCTTTTTCTCTAACTTGAGAATTTTGAAGTTTAAAAATTTCATTTCTATTGCAGATGATGGAAACTGGATTCATCCTGTTGAATGGGAAAGAGCAGCAGAAGAGCTTACATGGGAAAGGGTGAGGATTTTTTATGTTAAACCAGTAACCCAATCAGGCTCCTATATGCAGTTGTTCAAACGATGGATAATGCTATCCATCAGACTGTATATAATGGGAAACCAAGTGTCTAATCCACTGGATACCAGTGTCACCCAGTGGACAGTGCTGTGTACCTTAAGAACAACAGGGTCCAGGTTAACGACTTCTAAGCCTGTCAACTAGAACTTATTAGTAAACCCATTTACGGAGGGAACAGAGCATTCAAGTCATACCAGAATGAGTAAGATGCAGTCCAACAGCTCAGAGAAAAATGCTTTAAAACCATACAAAGTTGACTAGAAAATCACTGAAAATCTTGCTCAACCATTATACCTCTTGGTGATAATTTTACTAACCATTGCGGTTTTCACTAAAACCATTCCTACTGAAATGAAGCCTAGTGAATGCTCAGCAAAGAGTTGAAAATATATGGGGGTGACGAAAAGCTAAAGACATTGGGACGAGAGGAAGCAAAACAGTCTAAGTAAAGTAATGCATACTTTTTTCCACAGATGCTTGGCTTGGATGGGTCTCTAGTATTTTTGGTAAGTTAGTATGCATGCTTACACCTTATTAGCTAGGTAACATTGAATTATACCAAGGATTAAGACTTGTATTTTGGACAGGGTAAGTTAGTTTGAATCAGTTCATTCACCATAAAATGATTTTTATTGACCTTTATAAAGGATGTATGAGTACGAAGTAATATTGTCTTTTGCAGGAGCATGTATTCTGGGTGGTATCTCTAAACACTTCATTCATTCTGGTGTTTGGTAAGTGTTTCTTCCAGTTCTTGTTGTGCCTTTGTAGTTAAGGGTTGACATATTCAGATCCCTGGAAATTTTTTTCAGTTTCTTGATAATTTGCTATTTAAATTTGTACATGTTCTTTACTATTTGGATCTTAATAGTACATCATTAATTTACTCTGCAGCCTTCTGTCCCTTCCACATTGGTCAGTTCACAGTTATTCTTCTCTCTCTTGAAGAGGCGGTAAGCGCTTGCTTAATTTTTTCTAGTTCCTTGTGTCACTTTATGCCTTTTATATTATATTTGAATCATTCAAACACATCTTACTGTACATCTTGGGGATGCATTTGATTGGCTGTGTTGTACGGCATCTTAGAGTCAGCTAAAATATTTTGTTTGCCATGTAAAAATTGGTAGCTAAATAATTGATAAAAATAATACTGTATGAATTTATTGTTGATATTATACACACTGTATACAGTCTAGAGTGAATCAATAAATTAATGTCAACCTATTGTATGATTTCCCTGTAATTATGCAAAATGCTGTATGAAAATGCTAATAGTTTCATTTTGTTTAATATGGTCAGCTAAGAACTTGCTTTATCTGTTAATTGATTTGTTATTTCCGACAGTTTCAGTCATCTAAATTTGAAGGGCTTCTTACTGCTGTCTTGGGATATGTCATTCTTGCTTTTGTCCTTGTGCTGTGTCATGTATCCTTCAGATTTGAATACTTAAATAACAAATGAATAACAATAAGTTAAATAAAAAGAAAATAATACCTGCACTGTAAATTTGATTATAAATTATACCAGGTCATATGCACACCTATTGGCAGGTGCTCAATAGAAGAACTAGAGTGTTGTACCATTGACGTGACCTGATCAACTGAAGATTGGCCTTGGCATTTTGTTGTCTTGATAAAATTTAATATTATTATAATGTGTGCAACATGCCCTAGTGTTATGAACATTGTTAAGCATTTTAAAAAATTGCTCTTTGAAAATGGTTATTACACTAATCATGTGTTTTAAGTATTTACTAGTATCTAATATTTACTAGTAACTGTTTGTGACATAGAAAAATGCATTCCTTACACAGACTGGAGTGAGATGTATGGGACAACTGTCATTGATCCAACAGATCTTAGGACAGGTATCTGGCATCCCACAGATTTTATAGTCTGTGCCAAATGACATCATCACCATCTTGCAAAAAGGGAGAGATTGTGGGATTGAGATCGGTCAAATGCACTCTGTACTCTTTACACATCCTTAGTTATATTGGTATACTTGTCAGATGTTTTTATTCCCCTTGACTGCTTCTTTACAGAGTGTAGCATCTCTTTGTGGATTAAGGAAGTACGAATCATTTTGTTTACTTTCTTTTCATTCATTGTGTTTCAAACTATGAATTTTGCTAGTTATGCACTTTCACATTTATTATGTACCTTGTTGGTACTTAATTTAGCAATTTTCGCCACACAGAATTTCGGGGGGATTTATTTTTGCAATTTAAATAAGAAAAATATGAAAAAGGGCATTAAATTTCACGATTTTCACATAAATTTCTATATTACTTGGAACAAGCAAAACGGAAATTTAGTGCCAATAAGATAACTTGATTTTGACTTCTCAAGCCTGGACAGTGACCTTTTTGTTTATTACATTATTTTGGAAGGTATTGTATTGGCTTTCTTAATGATAAGAATGAAAGAGTTTTGGTGTGGAGGAACCTTGACCCTTACATGAGTGTGTTTCCATCTAGTTCTCATAATGACAGTGTAATTTATACAGTTCATTTACTGTGCACCTTTTCAAGGTTGATGTTTTCTTTCTCATCAGACCTAAAAGAATACTGGGATTATGTTATGTAGTGGTAAAAGTAAGTAATTTAATTATTGAGACACTACATTTTTGTGGTTTGCTTATTATTTTCTTTAAACCTATGATATCTTTAAACTTTCACAGAGTTCTAAAGTGATGACATCATAAAAATCAAATTTCTGAAATTATGGGATTTGTCAGGATATTCTGGAACAACAATGTCCAAGAGGCCTACTTGCCAAAAATTAGCATTGAGGCAATTTTTTTCTGAGATCTTAGCCCAGTTACTCTCTGATAACTCCAAAACCCGTCTAAATTTTTTTGGGGTCGACAGAATGCTAGTTTTTGGACGTTGTTCTTTCAGAATATCCGACAAATCCCATAATTTCAGAAATATAATTTTTATGACTTCACACTTTAGAACTCTATTACAGTTCAACAGAGATGGCACTTTATGTGTCCACTGTCCACTTTAACCTGAGTTACAACTAGCATGTCAAAAGAAAACTTTTGAAAAGGGGAACTTCTTTGTGAATGTTGGAAATGCCATGTGCATTCTATCACGTATCTGTATGGAATCCTGAAGAATTTCCAGCACAAATATAATAAGTTATTGACCTTTTTTTGTAGGTTTCATTGTTGATGTTGGTGGAAATTGGTTTGTTCCCCTTGGTGTGTGGGTGGTGGCTAGATGTATGTTCCTTGGTAAGTTACGAGTTGCCCTCATTTGAATAAATCAAATAATCATTGTCATGATCACTCATATGCATTTTATTTTATTCCTTGAACCACTAACGTACCATCAAAAATTTTTATTACAGTACATGTACCTCTCCATTCCTGCAGACATGCAACGATATTGGTCCTTGTTAATGAAATGATAATGTGTTTTGGTATATCATCCATGGGAAGTGCTGTGGATGCACCCTAGAGTTTAGTTTTTGTGACGCTACTTTGTTGGTAGTGATAACCAACAAACTGTATAATCACAAAAGTGGATACACTGAAACCCCGATATATCAAAGTACCAAGCAAATGAAAAAAAAGGTTGAATGAATGCGAAGGCTTTGACTTGTAATTTATTGAAAGCTGAAGATATCAGTCACATTTTCTAGTTGTACATGCTTTTTGCACTGTGTTGACTGCAAGGGTTAAGCAAATGTCTTTGTTTTTGTTGTTTTCCAGTCCCTATTTGGAGCTACATTAAAGGACAGACTTGCAAGTGTTGACTCAGCACCAGGTAAAATAAGAAAACCATTTTCATCTGTTTAGGCTTGTAATAAATGCATTTCTCTTTGGAGTTTAAGCTTCGGTATGACTCTGACTCTTTTAATGTACAAACTGTTTCTGCCACAACTCTGCCCATAACGAAGGCAGAAATTTCTTACGATATTATTCGAATAGTGCCTCAAACTAGCTGAAATTGATTGTACTGTTTTGTTTTATTTCCTAATTTCAGGTACAGCCATGTTTCTTCACTGGCTTGTTGGTATGGTCTATGTGTTCTACTTTGCATCATTTGTACTGCTTCTAAGAGAGGTATTCAGACCTGGTGTCCTGTGGTTCTTGAAAAATCTCAATGACCCTGACTTTCATCCAGTCCAGGAGGTGAGCTATTTCTCTGATCTTTAATCAAACAAAACATAACTTTATTGTGTCCTTATTCTGCAAATAAAAAGAAATTGTTGTGTTCCTACTGTCAAATATTAAAGAAGCCTGATAAAGTTCTAGTTTGCCATGCTTAAGATTTCTTTTCAAGGTAATTGACTGAACATCTCAGCAATAGGGTTTAGCAATAAGACAAGACAAAGATTAATGATATATCACAAATAATTATCATAAGTTAATGATCCTCAAATTTTGTGTGAAAGTTACAAAAGGGTCACATCAGCCTACTATAGTGTATCTGCCTAAGATGCAGTGATAATAAAAGTTTCCTTGTGTGCTTGTATGCAACTGCATTCCTGCTCTGCATGATTATCATTATAAGAATTTTTGTTGTATTTGTAGATGATACGTCTTCCAGTTTACAGACATTTAAGGAGATTCTTGCTTTCTTTGGTAAGTGATTTGGTTCAATTTTACTTGAGCCTTTCCAAGGGATTTTTTTTTTCAAGATGATATTTCTCAGTTTTTTTTTGGGTGGGCCAGCAACAATCACAGTTATCTCCTGCAGTTGCCATCTTTGATATTGAAAGGAGATGAAGATTGGGTTGAGTAGAAAGTGTGATCTATTAATAGATTAGACCTTATGCGAAAAGACAAATAATATTTAGGAGGGAGGGGGAAAATTATGTTGTTGCCTTTGTTTTCTGCCCCTGCCTTCTGTCCCACCTTCTGTGACTCACAGCAACAGCTACATAGACTGCGAGTCGTCGTCCTCCTTCCTAAGAGCTACACATGGCAAGCAAAAAAAGTAAAATTATGTGAAAAACCTTGTTCCTCGCAGCTTCGCACTCGTGCCTTACACATGTGTGATCTTGATCTACTGTGATGCAAAAGAAAAATAAGAGACTGCTCACAGTCTAAGGAGCACCACAAAGCTCTCAGAACAGGTTGTTTAATTAAATGATAAAACAATAAGTAGGTGAATGACCTGAGAAATGTCTTTATCCCTAGAAATAATAGCAGGTTAATGAAAACAGAGGCCTCTGAGAGCTTTGTGGCTCCAGGACATCATGCCCCCTTTTTTTTGGTAGTGAATTCTTTTTTTTTTTTTTTTACCCCCTCCCTACACTATAGGGTAAATTTGTTGTCTTCAGCTTAATCTGCTTCCTTCTATTTCTGTTTATTTGTCAGGTTGTATTTGGTACTACTGTTCTACTGATGATGCACCTTCCTGTCAGACTCATCAAGTGGCTCTTACCAACCTTTCTTCCTTACAACATTCAATTGTCTAGGTCAGTAAGTACACTTTATGCCCCAGTATCCACGTACAAATTCTCCTGTCTGATCTCCATACATTTCCTTAAAGAATTAGTTGAGAGAATTTGATAAAAGATCAAAGCATTTTCTCTTTGGTGCTCGTGTTATTAATTCTCATAACCTTTTTTTTTTTCAAGTATCCATTGCTACTGTCAGGTGAAAATTGATGTTGGTCACTCTTGCACAGTCCCTGTTTGTGATCTGAAATTTGGCAAGTTTCCACAGCATGTTTTCCCCAAAATCATCCTGATACTGCAAATGAGTTAAAACGCCATATACCCTCGGGAGGGTGAAACGTTTATCTTAAAGTTGACAACATCTTCTTTGGCGCCCTTCCCCTCCCCTCTCCCCCCTCCCTTGACCCAGCAGAAACTTGTGCTCTTACATGTATATTCAGTGGTACAAAGGTTTGTTTTGTTTGTTTTTGTAGCGAGGTCCCAGTCAGCGAGCTCTCACTTGAGTTGCTCCTCCTTCAAGTGGTGTTGCCGGCGTTGTTGGAGCAGGGCCACACTCGACAGTGGTTGAAAAATGTTATGCATGGCTGGGCAGTAACAGCTGCGTATCTGCTGTAAGTTTCAAACTGTCCGCTTTATTTGTGCAGTATTGTCTTCTTTATTAACACTAGCTTGTTAATATGAATGCCCGGAACAGGCAATATTAAAACAAGTGTTCCCGTTTTGTCCGGGTGAGTGTCGACAAAACTGTTACCCTATTTATATCCAAAAAAGACAAAAAACAGAGGCGTCACGTACCTTTTCACAAACTTATTTCTTTTTTATTGTTTGTGCGTTATTTGCAGAAACCTGCGATCATATCTTCTGGGAGATGTGCCTTTGGATGGTGCAGAAAATGTAGGTTGATCTCTTGATCCTTTAGTTACTTCCACTGAAATAATACCAGCTATTGAATCTTCTTTTCGCAATTTTCAGAACCAATCATGTGGTGTCTTGTTCTCTTCTAAAGACTGAAGTGAGAATAGTTCTGGAACTCTCTCAATTTTCTTAGAGACAGAAAAGAGAGCAAAGTCGGGGAGCGCATTGTTTCCAAGGCAGCTGTTCTTTGTGTTGCCACGCAACGCTCTTCCCCACGGGGCCTTTGTGGGGAGGAGCGTTGCGTGGCGACAGCGTGACAGAACAGCTGCGTAAGAGAGTAGGGAGCTCAAGGAAAATGCGCTTCTCGGGAGGAAATTGAACGTGTGTGGTGTCGCGTCTCCTCGTCGGAACCAATTTTCTGTACACTCGCGTGTTTAGCTCGCTGTACTCTCTGAGAAAACCAAATGGTCTGTTTTGATTTTCAAATGTCTCACCAACTTGTTGCTTTTAGGTGTATGGTCTGCATTTGACCAATCGTACCAACCAACGGAACCAACAGAATGTCAACAATGTCCAGCAAGGTGATGCTGCTGGACAGAATGCAGTGCAGGCTCAGCCTGCACTGCATGGTAATGCTGCGGCTGGTGAAGCGGGAGGAGCAGCTACTCTTGGTTTTCAACCTTACATCAGACCACCTATGTTCACCGTTAAGGTATATTATAAACCTTGGTCACCCTATTGATCACAGCATCTCTAAAGTGTTATTGTGTGGCCTTGTGCTTCTAAAAGGAATGTTTTGTTATGGCATACGGGGGATAATAGGGTTACAGTTTAGTTGCTCACAAGTTGATTTTTTGAGCGAGGAAAGTCTCGAGGGTAAAAAATTAAGTGATTTTGTGATTGATTACGTTATCGATTGCTGTGCTTAGCATTGTTTAGGCAAAAAAATCTCATAAAACACCATCTTTGCCTGTCTGAAGTGTAAAAGAGTTAAACTGCGACTTATTTACTCGCGCTTAACGTTGGCTCGAGACGTGAACAATTTTTGTGAAGGAGTTAGTTTATGAAGAAACTGGGAGGCCTCGTCAAAAGCTTACCGTGATTGAACGTGAACGTGATGTGAATGCGACTGAACTCTTATAAGTCTTTCATACTAACAATCAACCTCTCTAACCTAAAAGTTTGCAAAAATTCCTCGCCATATTACCCCAACCCTAAAGCGCATCTTCGCACACTGGGGACTCCTTAGTCTCCTTCACAACCGCGCGGGCCGGAGTCACGCAATGCTCCCTGCTCCCAAGGCGCTGGGGCGGGGAGCATTGCGTGACTCCTGTCCGAGCGTCTGCGTAGGAGACTAGGGTCTCCCGTGCCCAGTTTACAGGATCCACAGTTTTTCACGGACACGGCAAACGTCAGATTCAAGTTGAGAAATTTTTATAAAATAGAAATTGAGTAGATAAAAACAGTCCAAAACAATTCTTATGGATAAAACTCGCGTGAAACCATTAATATTTGTGTAGATATAATGAACAGTAAATGACAGGCAGAGGGAAAACGTGGTCAGGTGGTACAAATTCACGTTTGCCGTAAACTTGACTCTAGATCTCTCTATTATGTTCTTAGCGGTTTGGCAGGTTCTCTAACCCGAAAGCAGTGATGATCGGGTATTGAATAAGGACTTATTTTCTTTTAGATTTTGCTGCTTGTTGTGTTCATGTGTCTATCGCTCTCTTTTGCAAGTTTTGTGACTTTGACTGGACCTGGTAAGTTTACACCTCGCTCACTATTTTTTTAGGTTCTAAAAGAACAAAGGGGCGTCGCCTCGTAAATCCTCATGTAAAACACAGGTTCAAACACAGTCTGAACTACAGTTTGAAACTTAGATTTTTGGCAGTCTTACGTAGGCGTGTAATGTTAAAGTCTGAGCCACCTTGAACAGTATCAAACAAAATGAAACATAGACCAGTGAACCTGCAAATAATAATAATAACGGTTTAATATCAGTACATCCATGGTATGGCTCTTCGCCTGATATAAAAGTAAAATGAGGAAATTAACATAAATCTGAATTGTGAATTTGTAAAAAGCTAGGTGATAAACAGTAAAATGTAATTATACAATATATACGGACAGTATCTAAAACTAGGCAAGAAATCATTCCGCCCTATATAAATAGCCTCTTAATATCAAACTACAAACTCATAAGGGGTTTTCAACCCCTTATGAGTTTCTGATCAAACTTAATCACATCATTCAATGTTAACATGTGCTGCTTCTTGTTATTTGTTTTATTTCAGTTTTTATTGGTCGCAGTGTAATGCTACTATGGATGGGCGACGCTTCTGTTCATGAGCTATACACTGCAGCCTGTGGTCTCTATTTTATATGGCTTGTTTGTCGAGTTGGAAGTGTGCTTCTTTCCTGGGTACCTCTAGGCTGGAAGGGTGTGGCAGGCAAAGTGTTTGAGTGGGTTCTTTTGGTAAGTACTCTGAAAAATTTTCAGTGCCAAACTTTCAATAAAGGTTACTACTGTCGAATTCTAGATCAGGAACAAAAGATGGGTGTTTAAAATTTTTCCCCGATTTTCTCCCGTTACGTTTTCCAGCGTTTGGCACCTGACACACTTTTCTTGGCGTCTGGCACCCTTAACACTTTTTCTGCACTCTGCATCAGTTACACATTTCTCGCGATGGGTACCACTTCAGTTGCACCATTTTTCTGTTTTCCCGATCTTGGTGACAATAACACTTTTTCTCGCGCTTGACAGTTACGCTTTTTCCCGCGCTAATTGACAATTATACTTTTTCCACGCTGGGTGACAGTTACACTTTTTCTCGCGCTGATTGACTTTTCCCCGTACTGGGTAACTGTCGTACGATTGGTATGTATCCGTGAGTCACTGAAGTAATTTAAAATTGCGATAATTATCAAGTTTAAAAATGGTTTGTTTTTGCAATTTCGCAGGGACTGAAGTGCGTAATCGTGGCCCTTGCACTTATCGGACTAATACCTTTACTTCTCGGATTACTGTTTGAGCTCGTTGTGGTAGCACCTCTCCGAGTCCCTCTGGATCAAACCCCTTTGTTCTTCCCGTGGCAGGCGAGTATCCGGTCTTTGTTTTAGGCCGCAGTGTCCGCTCTGTTGAATCAACAATCTCTTTCTGTTTTCATAGGACTGGGCTCTGGGCGTGCTCCATATGAAGATCATATGTGCGGTGACCATGATGGGACCGAACTGGTGGCTCAAGAGAAATCTGGAACAGGTACGACGTGTCTGGCCCGCTTTAGAGTGTACCCTTGTTTTAGGGTTTTCAATGCTATTGTTTTCTCCGTTGTATCTAGTCTCTGCGCTATTGTTGATTATGCCTTTGTGAACTTATACTGGATGATTTCTCACCCAGATGAATGCCCGTCTATCTAACTCTAGACTGTTGTGAATGCGCAGGACAGGCCTAAAATATGGGTCATATCCTCGCTTCCTTCTCGCCACATCCTGAACACAAATGTGGACGTTTTATAGTCTACTCAAAGTGATTCCTGGGAATCCCAATAAGCTCTTTTCCGTCAAAAGCTGACGTGTTTACGATCTCTTCATTAAAATAAAACTTCGCAATAGTTGTATTCTGAATTGCAGATACGATACGATACTTTATTTAACGTGGATATTACTCTCAGCTTTATCAGCTAGTTTACAGGTAATCCAATACTGCAGATAAGAAAGCAGTTGACACATAAGTAGGGAGATTTCGCAAAAGGTTTTTCTTTTTTGTTGTGTCACTTTGTACTCTGTGATTTTTTTTAGGCTTATCAAGACGGCGTTAGAAATATCAACGTCATGTTCATCTTTCGACACGTGACCTTACCTGTTGTAACTTGTCTGTTATTGGCTGTTACGGTCCCTTACGTCATTGCCGCGGGAGTGGTTCCCATCATTGGTAAGTACGAATGAAACTTCGTTTTATGTCCAGGGCCGGGTTGTGCAAAGCCTGGATTTAACTAGACCATTTGCACGATGGCGTCATTTTACTACTAAGACCAACATCCTTTTCGATTTTCCTGTCATATTTAAATTTGGTGATCCCAGCGAGGTTAAATAACAAAAGCCGTATTTTGCACAAGAAAGAAAAACCCTGAAGGATTCTGGTCGTAGTAGTAAAATGACATCATCGTGCAAATGGCCTTTAAAAGTCAATTCAGTTTAATTCTTTTTGTCTACAATTTGATGATGGACGGTCCAAAAACAACGGAGAAAATTATCCGAGAAAATGCTTTTGATCGAAAGAAAAAGAAATCCAGCTGAAAATTTAACCCCTGGTAAACGCTGATCGGCCTTCGAAAAACTGGGCCCTGTATTATTGAAAACTCAACGTGATGGTGAGGCTTGGCAGTGGCTACGGGACATTTCTTTGATTTCTGATTGGCTCATTTGATTGTCCCGGTGTCTGTGATTGGCCAAAGTACCTCTACCATTCTATTGAACTGTTGCTATTGTATTTCAGTGCGATCACCAGAGACTTCGCTGTTCTGTCTTCGTCGTATTTACCCCTTCCTGTTGGCCATGGTTATCCTTATTGCAGGATTTATCTTTCAAGGACGGCAATTTCGACTTCTTTACGAGCGCATCAAAAACGAAAGGTAAGTCTTTATCACGTTTTGTGAAATTTAGTTTTACGCGATTGTTTCTTTGCAGGTTGTTGCATCTTGTTTTTGTAAAGTATAGATTTATGTCCCCGAAAAGGCGCTAATTTCTTGCTTACTTTATTTACATTCACTCTTACGCCATGTGAGAAACTTTGGTGGAAATAAACATAAAGCAAAAACCATGCTATGCAATGGAGTTCTGGGAACAAAAAAAACTAAAGTTCTTCAATATTCCATTTAAACATATTCCTTTGTTGGATTTAATCCTTTGGGGAATGATTTGGGAATACATTGTTGCAATAAATTCTTTTAATATAGGTTATTTCCGAGTTCCAAAAAAACCTCGCTTTCAAAGTGAAGTCAAGGACAAAACCCTTCATGTGAAAAAGAGAATTGGCTGTGTAACAATAAAGAGGACGTTCGTATCCTAGCTAATGAGACTTCGAGCAAGTCAGAAATGGCTTTAATGATGAATAATAATCTAGTTTGGAGTATAGTTTAATCCAAATCGTTAAAAAATACTCTGCAAAAGGTATGATTGTCAGCAGAGTCCTTTATGTCATTCGGTTTATGACGTCATCTTTACCCGTGATCCGCCATTTTGAATACCTGTCTTGAATGCCTTAACCTAAGATCAGGCCCAATTTTAGCGGTTCTCATACATTCTCTCTAACGGCTCGCCGGAATGTAATTTTCAAAGTGAAACGAAAATAGAGCCTGATCTCAGGTTATGAATGCCTTAAAGCACTTTTAGTTAAAGAAATATCTGTTTGGGTTAAATTTCAGATATCTAGTTGGCCAGAAACTAATGAATTATGAGCATGGTAAACGAATAGCCAAGCCTGCTCCTAGAAGTCCAGTCGAAGCCGAGTGAATATTTGAGGACTTCTGAAATGTTACATGGATCGTGACTCGCCTCAGACTACAGTGGTCGTCGCGTAGTTTTTCTAGCCAGTAATTAGCGGTTATTTACTGGTTAGAAATATTGCTTGTCACACAAGCCACCCTGAACCAACATTAACGGGTTCAAATGAAGTAGACGTCGCTAGTAAGGAGGCAACGTCTTGTAGTCGACACGTCGTGTGGAAAAGGTTAGCGTTAAGGAACGTTGCGTTACAGGCGCTCTCAAATTTATTGATAAATCTTGGAAGAGAAAACCACGGAATTTCTGGACAAGTTATAGATATGCTTTCCTAGTAACTGCAATAGATTTAAATTTCTCCAAGAATTATCAGTAGCTTAAGAAGATGCAGTCAGCTCTCTCTTTAACGGGCATCTTAGGGAGCTAAACCTGCACCTGCACCTGTGAATTGCTAATTGCGTACGAGCTTTCGGCGTGTGGGGAATAGGTTAAGAAGGCCCACAACGTCCTCAGTCTTCACTTTCAGGTTTTTTAATCACAGTTTTTTCTTTTCTCCTACAAAAAATAATCCACCTCTCACAGGCCTCAATCGAGCGAACCCTAATCTATGGCACACCTTGAATAAACATGAGCTGATTGGCTAAAACGATATTGCTGACAGAAAAATAACAAACGTACTCTATTTCACAATAACACGTGGAATAACGTGATCTTTGCCATTCAGATAAAAATAAACGCCTTCAAAGATTGGCAGCTCGGGACAAAATAAACATTAAACCCTATGCTATTATCGAGTTTCCGACAGGCGCAGCGATCTCTGGGATCGCTTGGGTGGACAAACGTTACTTATGATTGGGTAAAGGTTGCCTTGAATATGATCGACCAATCATAACAGACGCTTGTCCACTCAAACCATCCCAGAAATCACTGCAGCCAAACTTTGAACCCATTCTCCTTAGAGATTCTGAAGTGGATCGAATAGAGGTGTACGCCCGGGGGGCGGGGGTGTATGCAGATTTAGCAAAGACAACATGACGACAATGACGACAGGACGCAGAGAACGACTTGATCAATGATAGAACGGCAAACTGAGAACCGGAAGTCACGTTCAGCCCTTTCCCCGCGCTTTCGCGTTAGCGTCCTCGCTTGACGTTGCATTGTCTTTGCTAAATCTGCCTATTTTGACTCATTAGCGGTAGGTTCTAGGGACGAGTTCTTCTTACAGAGGTGGCCGTTAAGAGAGAGTTGAATGTGTATGCAACACTTATGAAGGAATTTCGTCTGGTACCCGGAAGTGGCCTGCAAACAACAGGCTCTATTTTCTTTTCGCTCGGCCACTTAAGGTGACGTAAGAAAGCGGCAAAAATTTGGCCGACAGAGAACTCGCGATTTTTCAGTGTGTGCATATCCTGATGTAATAAATTCATCTGTTTGATGTGGTACTTAAAAGACTGTAAAAACATCTGGAATGACTTTACATGAAATTGTAGCCTGCGTAGCAAGCGTTTATGTTTGGTTTCGGAGCGAAGAAAGATTGAGGAACGGGATTTTTGTTCCTCCTTCTTTTCTCCCGAAACCGCACGGAAACGCTTGCTACGCAGGCTAATGAAATTGAAGAAAATATTACAGAAAATATTGAATAAAGTAGATTCACCTCGAGATTAGAGTAAACTTTAGGGGGATACGAACGATCATAGTGCAGGACCTTATACCACGCACAAGTCTCTTTTTGTGGGTTTTTACTGTTTAATGCGTGGAACGCAAATTTTGTAGCAATTGTCTTATTTATTTGAATGTTCGTTTTCTCTACGGGGTGTAATTAATGACTTGAAAAATCTCATAGGAATTAAATTCATAACACAGCAAAACAGTTATGTGGACGTTTCCTGTTAAAAGTTACACTCGAAAAGGCTATCAATGGATGTGAAATTTGTCCTAAGGCTTATCATTGATGTAATGTCTTTGTTGCTTACGTTGTTTGAATGTAGTGCTCATTTATTGTTGTTTTCCCGTGCTTGGTACTGGACGTTTATCGTGCGAGTTCTTATGATCTGAAAGAGAGAGAGACCTGGGAACGAGGTTGGCGCGCCTTTGATTGACCTCTCGACAACCTATCGACGTCGTGTAGAGCATTTTCGCGCACGTGGCCTGTAGCTTAATCTCATACCCAGATCTCCCACGGCCAGTGTAAAACAGAGTGAGATCTGGGTACGAGATTACTGTAGCTATGCAATATTATTAGAATAAAATAAAGTGTATACATAAGAAAAAAGGTTCAACTCTCACAGGATTAGTTTGGGACACCAACATGACCTCCGTTGTGTTAGTTTGGGACACCCGTGGTGGACGCGTGGTAACAGTGACACCATGTAGTTTTATTATTGGGTGACCTGTGGTGTTCTTTATCTAGTTTTCAAAATCGAACAAAACAATTTAGATTGTTTGGTTTTATGTGAAGAATGTACAGTGAAATTGTAAATACAAGTTATTTACTTGAATTCGAATTTCTACTGCTGTAACAAATCTTGTAGGATAAAATATTATTAAATCATTCTTATCTCGCCACAAAATGAAGTTGTGATTCAGTTTAATTAACCGTGTGTTTTTGAAATTCTTAGAAAGATTATGTTAATGTGTAAAATGTGTGATGCATCGCAAATATTGCTTGTCCGGTTTTTTATATCAACAATTGGCTTATTTTTTTTACATTTACCGAATTTATAAGATTACGCAAGTGACCGCAAATCCTCATATAAGTACCCATAATCTTAAAGGCTTCAATACTTTATAGAAATATTGAACGCTTTAAATTATTTACACATTTAGTATGTTAAGGTTGCGCTATTTATAAAAAGTCTTGGCTAAAAGTAGAATTCCCCGTACAAAAACCGAATTTTTCATTTACATCTATAATTTTTTAAGTTTGCCATGTCATCAAATCGTCGATGAGCGAAATTTAATTTTTCTGTCATAAAATATGTCCTTGACTCCAAATATCGGTTGTAAAAATTTGTTTTTGTCCTTGCCAAGCTTGATATTCGCCAACCCGTTGATCAAACTATCCTGGCGAAGTAACCGCTTTAAACGGTTCATCGTATATTTGCGTCAAAAATCTTGGTGCGGAACGAAGACTTTTACTCTAGGTAGAGAGGAATTAATAATCTAAAATCCCTTTCCTTCTGTTACTGTGACTTCACTAATTGTGTATCGAGAGGAGTTTTATCAACAAGTTCCTGGATATTTTTATCTTTGAAGTCTGTTTTCACCTGATCTTTTAAAGAAACTTCGATATCGGTGTCTATTTCGGGAATCTCCATATCTTCATGTAGCGACAAAGGCGACGTCGGAGCATCAGATCGGGGCGATCTCAACCCCCAGTTTTCAAAATACAAACGGGCAGTTTCTATATATCCAGCGCTTTCCATAGCTGTTGCCAGCAAAACTAACATGTCTTCGTTCTGTGCGAGGTCAATTGGCAGGCGGCCCTTGCAATCGACGCAAGTCAGATCCGCGCAGGATTCTATAAGAAGACTAACAACATTACAATGGCCAGCAATGATCCCAAAATGAAGAGCTGTCCATCCTTTGTCATCTTTTCCTTCGATGTCTGCGCCGTGATCCAGAAGTATCATAACAAGTCTTATGTTTCCCTCGAGACAGCTTTGCTGCAGCGGTGTCAAGCCAAATTTGTTTTTTTCGTTGACTGAAATTTGGTTTCCGCCGTATTTTAATAAGAATTTCACCTTCGCCACGTCGCCTTCGACTACCGCCTGATTAAAGATTACGTTGGACGAAGACGGCCAGCGTGAAAGCGGCTCTTTGCGATCGTTCAGTCCGGCTTCCATAACGCTAAAAACAAACTTCATTGGCAAAAATGTTTCGCCGCGTCGATGCTAACAGTGGTAAACCTTGTGACCATCGTGAATAAAAATATAACCCGGTCGAAAGCTATTGGATTATTCACGTTTCATGACAGATATGAGTGAGGCTGTATTGCTTGCTTGTGATTGCCGGTTATCACCGAGAGTTAATTCTCGGTCAAATCTTTTTAAGTCAGCATATATTACGAAGTCGCGATCACCCAACAAATAAAAGTAATTGTTGAATAGAGGAAAGTTTTTAAATGTTTTATCTGCTCTCTTCACCTGGCCGGAGCAGGTGTAAATCGCGTTTTGGACGTCTTTGAATTAATTAAAAAAAACTGATTGAATGCGAAATGAGGCCTGTCAGCCGTAGCAGATTTACTAAATACGTTACTGGCATCACTGGTAGCCCAAGCTCGAAATATGAGCGTCGGCGAAAATCAGCATTGTTGTGTAACGTTCAAAACATAAGGATTTGTATGGGAAAAAGCCTATCGTTTCTGTAACCTACGAAAATGAAAGGATTTCAATAAAGAACAGCTTACCTTACTTAAAATGTGTATTACGTCTCTCCTGTGTGGTCCACGGGCTGATTTATAGCCGTTTTATGGGTTTTTTAGCCTGTGTACAGACGTCCCCCCTCCCTCAGGCCTCCTGAGGGAGGGGGGACGTCTGTACACAGGCTATGGGTTTTTATGTAAACGGTTTTCTCTCTATATAAAGGTAAACGTTTATATAGAGAGAAAACCGTTAATGAGGTAAGTTGTTTTTTATTGAAATCCTTTCATTTTCGTAGGTTAGAGAAACGATAGGCTTTTTTCCCATACAAATCCCTATATTTCGTATGTTACGCAACAATGCCGATGTTCGCCGATGCTCATATTTCGAGCTTGGGCTACCTGTGCTGGCATATCAAACTATAGCCCATTCGGGCTCTATTACTCCTCGAACTCGAATGGGCTCTGAGTCACAGAGGCCGTGAGGGCGAGAGGAATAATTGTGTTTGTAAAATCCAACTAGTTGGTAAAAAATATCGAGACAAAACAACTCTTGAGCTAGCAAAACGCAATTCAGCCGCCATTGTTTTGGTTTTCAAAGTCGGCGCTTTCGCCACTAGCGGGCTATAACGTATAGCCTAGTACTAGCTCAACCAATCAGAACGCAGCATTGATAATAGACCACTAGTTGGATTTTACTAATTGTTAAATAGCTTCCAATGGACCCGTGCTGATTCACAAAATGTTACAAGTGTTTTTGATTATCTTGAAACAGTTCCCAAGGGCAACCTACTGTTGAAGGTTTTTTTTGTACGATACCACAGTAACGCGTTTTCCAGTCCAATTGATTTAGGGACTTATAATATGGACTACGAATGAAAACTTGAGGCAGTCCTACGTACAGCCAATCTTTTTGGGAGCATGCGAAAAGGCTGGGACGAATACACGGTTCGTTGATCAGCGGTCGATCAAAATAACGTTAGCTCCCCAATTTCCCGCGAAATTTACTTCGCCGTGAAAACTAAAAGCGACGACCATACATCAGGGAAGTCAAGCTTCTAAACATTTCAATGTGCAGTTCATGATGGTTCAAATACTCATCTCAATGTAAGTATCGAAGAAAATCCTGGTATGTTATCGTTTATGAAGCCTTAAAACTCAACGCCATCATGTTTCTTCTTTCAATATTCCTTCCAACGATCTTGGCATGGGATGTAAGCTAAAAATGTCAGGTTGTTGTTGTGTTCTTTGTTGATCAGGGCTCCAGAGGTCGATAACTGGATGATTATCGAGCTTCAAGGAACACTAGAGACTAAAGAGGACGTCAGTTTGGAAGGAAAGGCCATTGGCGACTTACATTTCGATGCAAAGGTCGGTGCATAGTGACAGGTCGTTTCGCCTGCGTGTCGTTTCGCTAAAGCATCAGTCAATAGACCTTGTCACGGTTTTCGACGCCATCTTGACGAGTAGGCAAACGCGTGAGAAATTGCAGTGTTTGTATGAGAATCTAATAAAGCCGTAAAACGGCTGTTCTGAAAAAAATATCAGTTGTAAACTAAAGCTACAAAGCAAAGGATTGTCCTAAAAAATTTGGGGGGTGTACCTGTGCTTAAATTTCTCCAGAGGCTTGCTTTAAATTTTCCATATATTTGTCTGTAATTTTCCCGGGACTTTCTTACAGACAAATGTATAGAAAATTTTAAAAAGTGGTTCTAGGTCTTCTAGTGCATGTAACGCCCTCAAATTTTTTCAGGAGAATCCTTAGGAGTGAAGCTTTAGTTTACAAATCATATTTTTTCAAAACAGCCGTTCTACGGAAATTATTCGGCATTAGATTCTCATACAAACACTGTAATTTCTCACGCGTTTGCCTACTCGTCAAGATGGCGTCGAAAACCGTGACAAGGTCTATTCCAGCTACGCCTCCATCCCCCTCCTCCGGGCTACCGCGGGGCATTAGCCCGCCTTTTCAGTCCGGGGGTGGGGCATTAGCAAATTTTGGGATGCCCGGGGGTTGGGCATTTGCCAACCCTGGGGTGAGCCCGAGCTTTTGACACGTGGTGTCCTTTCTAAATATTACTACACAGAGGAGTTTACTGGAAAAACGAGCAGATTGGCTCATCTGGTTGGGGGGTGGGGTTGGCAGGGTGGAACTGGAATTCAATTGATGGATACAAAACGTCCCATTCGCTAACATCTTATGTCATCCCGCTAAGAAGCGAAATGAGTGCTGCGCATGTATATGCTTTGTTCTCTCCGCCATGATACAAAAAACTGCAATATGCATGTATGTACCTTGTTCTTTCAGCCGCTGATCAGGCAAAAGCAGTTAGGTAACAGACCAAACACGTAGGCGAAATGACTTCAGAAGTTAGTTAATAGGATGTTGGCAAGATGACTTGTAGGTGGAAGGAAAGTAAACCCGGAGCATTATGATCCCATCATCTGAAGGCTTATTCATGCAATTTTCAAACTTGTTGTTTGGATTAGAAAACTCACTGAATTTTGCTGATTTTGATTTGGCAGTCCCTGTTCGCTTTCATTTCAGGCCTGAAAATTGTTGGTAAAAGACTTCGTGAGCATCAAAGGATTTACCAATGAATCCACCACTCAGGGAAATGATTCATTGGTTTTCCTTTGATGTACTATGATCTAAGTGATGTTGGATCACTGATTCAGATCCTAAAGGAACACACCTGAAGATTTCACTTTGCAGGGTATATCTAAGTAGAAGGCAGGGAATTGAACAGTTAAGAAGTTCTTTTGATTCAGTTTTCCTTTTGTTTCCTACCAACGTAGCTGGGTTCATGCTCATAGTAGCCTGGGGAAAGCCCTAGCCCCCAGAATTACGATCGTCTCACTACAAATTTGTTTCACTACAAGTCGTCTCACTGCATAATGAAGTCGCTTCACTGTGAAGTCATTTTGCTGCAAGTCATTTCGCTGCATTATAAAGTTGATTCGCTGCAACCAACCTTTTGTATTAAACAGGTTAAAAACAACTTAGAATGAACTACAAATGGGTATAACTTGTTAAGTTAATGGAACTACTTTACAACTTTGCAGCCAATCAACTTCATTATGCAGTGAAATGACTTGTAGCAAAACGACTTTGTAGCAAAACAACTATACACCAGCCCCCAGCCCAAAGCGTCAGCCCTGAAAGAAAATTAAAATACCCCCAGTATGTAGGAAAACGGTTTTGGGGGAAAACCAAAATAAGAAAGTTACCATTAGCTTGCCCAAACAACAAGATGCTGCTTCAATTGACATTCTCAGGGAGACTCAGAGTTCCAGGGTTTAGCCCAAAATGATGTCAATAATATTATAAATTTCTTTTAGAGTGCTTAAAATGCTTGGCCATATAAAGGGACTGGTCATTTGTTACATCCTGGGTGGGGGGGGGGAAGTGAGTTGTGTTTATCTGTAAAACAAAGTGTATCAAAAATGTACTCTCTTTATTACCCCACCCCCTCACATTTTGACTCTTGCTCTTTGATATAAATTCTCGCCCCCCCCCCCCAAAAAAAACTGCCCCACCTCTCCACCCCCAAAATGAACAAGTAGTCCCTTTTTATAGGTAGCATGCTATGAAAACACACTAACTGCATTTTGCTGGGTCACTCACCCAGTCCTTTGGGGTGTTAAATGTAGCTAAATGCAATTTAAACATGAGAAAATGCTGGCCAGCGGTCTGCACCACTAATCGTATGTGGTGGCAGTCTTAACTTTAGCAGGGCTTTAGTAACATTATTTTACAGTGCTTTCGCAGAAGTAAATCATTTTGCTCATGTTGCCTTCGTGTGCAGTAGCTTTAGCTGGTTTTACCCCCAACCTCCCCTCCCCTTTGGATGTTTGTCTTGGTAAGTATCTGCACATCTGGATTGAGGTTCTCAGTGTGACGGTGCATGGTGTGTGCCACTCACAGGGTTTTCATGATTACCTTCTAGGCTCACTTGCTGCTCCCTTCGGTTTCACCAGGTACCTTCCCCACACCCATCTATTGCTGATGGGTTTAAAGGAAGAGAAACTTTCAGTATGTTAACTTTTCAGTGACAAATTTGTAAATGTAAACTAAATTTTGAGCTTGTAGCAGAAGCAACATCTTTCACTCACCTGCTTTCCATTGATATCATGTTTGTTGACGTAAAAATTTTAATTTCTTTTGTTTCTTGCCATTGTTTTTGTAGGGAACACCTATGCTTATTATTGGACACCATTTACTTACTGGTAAAGTAGTGGACCTGGACAAACCGTATGCTGTGTTACACAAGAAAGCAAATATAGCTGACAATGACAATGGAGGAAAAGGAGATACACACTATGACATTTGCGCTTTGGTGAAAAAGAAAATTATCTTTAAGACCAGACCCAAGCCAATTGTATTCAAGTCTGTTCCTATTTCCAGGTGACATAACATAAGGAATCAAATTTATGTACTATTGTTATAGTACATAAATTGATCTGCCACCCCTTTGCAGAGTGTTAGTTTACACATCAGAAAGGCTTTTCTTTTTCTTTTTTATCTCTACCTTTCAAAGAGAAGAAAGATATTACAGAATACTCTTTGCTCTATTTAAACACCTTTTCTTCAAACAACACTAACAAGAAACGATGTGCTACAGTCAAAATGATTTTATTTTCCGTGTACTTCACTTCAAGGCCAATGTCATTGGACCACACTGTTACAAAATGTATACTTATTCTTACATCTATACACTGAGGCCAATAATGCAAAATCTCTGTTCCAGTTCTCTAACAATAAATTAACGTAATTTGGGTGTAGTTGAAATTCAAACAATGATGGCCTGTAGTTCTTCTTTTTGACTGCAAGATGCAGCATTGCAGTTAAATGTTGCAAACATTACACTGTGTCTTGTCCTTTACAATAACAGAAGCATTGACATACATGTCACAATAATTATTGCATTGTGAGGCAAGTTAAATTTCTTGTATATGTGTTACTCCTTACAAGGTTCCTTAACGTCGTAGTGTTTTATTTATGCCATATTATATCAAACTTTTTTTTTTTCACTGATTGCGTCCACGCAAAATGCGAGGTCTGGCACGTGGAAGACAGCGAGGAGTGACATTTGGTGAGTCAGAAGGTGAATTACATGGGGTCTCTTGTGGTGATTTTGACTTGCGAGTTCTTTTAACATGGCATTTTCTACAAAGTAGATGTTGGTCTTTAGGATAACACTGCTGTTTGCTTGACAACTGAAGTCCACACTCCTGAAAAAAAAGGAAATAAACTTTTTTTACTCATTGACAATATTTATTACAGAGGTGGTTACAAAGCAAACTTTTCTTATTTACTTAGATAGATTTTTGTAAGGTAGCATAAGGTGCCCCAGCAGACAAAGAGAGTAAAAAATGTAAAAGACTAAGTCAGTGACACCCTGGTACAAAAATTCACTCAAAGACTATGTAACTGTCTCCTTCAGTGCATATAATGATCTTTCTGCTTCACAGGAACACCTACTTAATACAAAGAATCTTGCAACATCACAGTTTGTACAAAAAC